CAGATGGTGGCATTTAAAGCAGTGATGAGTAAACTAGTGTCATAGAAATACTTTAGAGTGGAGCAGCAGTAAAGAATAAGCTGACGCTTAATAGAAGAAATGTAATTATGATGTGAAGAACAGAGGAGCAAGCCGTGACATTAAACCCCATGATGAGCTTTTTTCTAAATTTCTAACCAGACAATGAATACAGAAGGAAGCAAAGTAGCAAAACATTGCACCAAGTAGAAGCAGAGACAATGTAAACAAGCACAGCAACACAACAGCAACACCGCAGCCCAATATGAAAACAATAAAAAAATCCATTTACCTTAAAGAAAGGATGCAATTATTTTGGGGGGTTTTCGTGTTCCCAAACTGCTGAAATCATCAGGAGGGAACTGTTTTTTTATATTTTTTATATGAATTAGAGCAGCAGCTGCCTGCAGACACGTTAACATCACAGTTAGCTAAACAAGCAGGGCAGCGGGTTCAAAAAGTTTGGGGGGAGCAGTTGTATTTAATTGGCCGCCATTTTGAAAAAGCCGTGTTTCATTCCGGGGAGCGTAAAAGGTCTCGTTCGCACAGAAAACAATTTCTTTCTTTTTGGTTGCTTAAGTAATTGGTTGTGTGGCGTGTCCAATACATGTTGCTTCAGTATTTTGGCATGTTTTTAGTGATTTATCTTTCTCCCTCTATTCCGTTATGGTGAATTGAGTAACTAATGGGTTAAAATGATTAAAATCCAGTTGAGACTAAAACATTTGGTTGAATTTGGTGAAAATTTGCAAAAATCATAACTTCAATATTTTTTACAATTTTGTGAAGAAACTGAATGGTAAAACTATTCAACATAGACATCAAATGTTTCTTCCTTTCGGTCATTACATGTGTTGCGCAATTGAGAGCACAGGAAGCAGAAGAAGGTAATTAGTTGCCGTGTAGGAAACCAGTCAGAGGGGAGGAGTCTCCGCTCGCGGCCTCAGCCAATCTCTGACCTGAATGCATTGATGAGGTATGGACGACGTGGGACGTGTGAAAACGTTTGAATAGCATGAAGCTTCATTGAAGAGCCGGTAAATACAGACCGTCAAGGTGAGATGAAAAGGGAAAGATGAACGCTACGGGTTTCATCACCATACTCATTGTATAAATCTGCATTTTTGAAGAGCTCCAATTATTTATTTACGTCACATAAAAACGTAAAAATAAAAAAAACTCGTAAGATGACTCTTGTCGGGTGAGTGGCAACCTGCTGGATCCAACCACAGCGCAGGAGAAGATCTGCAGCATATATTTGACAGTTTATGATAAAAGAGTCTAGCTTCCTTTCAAGAGAAAACCTTTTGCACTCCATCTCTCACTTTTCCAAGTTAATGACGGTGTCATGCTACTCCTTGTGCTCGGCGGGCTTTTATCCACCCATTGCCTCTGAAGCGTGTAACCCCATTAGCAAAGTGGACTATGTGCAAGGTGCACACTGGCTGCATGGTTTGTAATGAAAATACAGGAGATTTGTTTGATGAGTGATGCCTTTTGCGTCAAGTCAACAACAGCCAGCCTCTTCGGGGGCCTGAACACGGCTTACATTTGCCTACTGCGCAACTTCTGCTAGGGTTTTGTGTTTTCCTTTGAAGTGTGAAGAAGTGAACAGAAGAAAAAAAAAGGGTGAAACATGATCTTCAGAACAAATACATGGTTTTACGATTGTACTTTATTCCCACAGCAGCACAACCAGCAGACGGTGAAAACAAGTCAAAGGAACAGAGAATGAGGTCCTCACTTGTTGTCTCGAGGTCAGCAGCTCCATGTTTGTGTTGGCGAGGGTCTATGATCCCGATCAATGAACAGCAACCCCCCTCCAGCATGCCACATTTCACCTGTTGCCTCTCCCTGATGTCACCATCTTGTTTTTCACGTTCAGCATTTAGCTATTGACCTACAGTTACGCCCAAGAGGTAAATACATCGGTAGGTTTGACATTCAAACCACTTTGATGGATTTTAAGAAAGATGGTAAAAGGCGACAGTTTTATTGGCTGCAACACCCTCGTCAGATTTTGGGTTTCTGCCTTTGAGGCTGTCGAGTGGCGACGCACTGGGAAAGGAGGAGGAAATATAAGAAATCAAGCAGCTTCTAAATGCAGATTAATGTTCATTCAGCTCCAACAACTAATGACAATTTAAAGTGCTTCAGATAAGGCATTTTTTTAAATATTCACATGCCTTTTTTCATTTGCATAAAAGGTCGACGAAAACATGATGTATTGTTTTTGCTTCAAACCATAGTGCACGGTGTACTGGGGACGGTGCTCAACCCAGCGATGAATACTGTGACTTGCGTTGGATGCGTAGCAAATATGATACACTACGGCGTTTTGGAAAAGGGCACTAAAACAGTAGCTGACCAGTATCTGTTTGGTTCATCCATTCCTAATCTACAAATAAAGATTATAGCAGTTTTAAAGTAAAGCTGAAAGCTGCAAATATGCCTGGTTTTTATTTATGGCTTTACTTCCCTGTAACACATAGAAACATCTTCACGGAGAAATGATGTGCAGCGACACAGAGTAATAATACCGAACAACGGGGCCCCATTTCCTGTCGTACAAAGCAGCTGAATAACTTGTGAGACTTAACAAAAGTGGATCGAGAAGCCTGAATTACAATTGATCTGAGCCGGTTGTGGTTCCGTCGTGGCCGCGGCCAGCAGAACCGATCGGCTCGACGGCTGCACATCGATTTGGAGACGGAGAACGCGGCTCTGCTTTCCCTGGCACGGCTCTGCCTTTGGCCTGTGGGCAGACACGTCTCCCCCCCCTCTATCTCTGCCCTCTCAAACACACACACACACACACACACACACACACACACACACACACTGGCAGTCAGAAGTGTCTGGAGACGCGCGTACATGCAGACAAAGACACACAAACACATACAGCTGGGCAACAAATGATTTCCTGTTTGGCATTACTAAACCGTGAGGGGAAGGAGCTGAGAGGAGGTGATTCTCTGGACAATGCACACAAACAATCCATGTATGGCCTCTCCTCTCTTATACACACACACACACGTCATTATATGGACAAACATTCACCCCGTTGAAAAGTTTGCCAGAAAAAGCCTTTTCTGTTCAAAGGGCCCGTCCACCATTTCATCTCCACATCTATTATTCTTCCCTCCGTCCTGTGGATTCTCCCTCCTGTTCATTCCGTCCGTTTTCATTAAAAGAAATGAGGATTTTTTTGGCTCCGCATGGGGGTGCGTCCACTTCGGCGCCATGTTTAACGGCCCAACAGGTTGGATACGCGTTTTATTTGGTTCCTGGTGGATTTAGATTTATTTGCTCATCTGCATCTCCAGCCTCCTGCTACTTCCAGGACGATCTCGGGGGCCGGGAACTTTTTTTGTTTTTGCGGCAGCGGCGGACGGGTCGCTGTGCACCTGGAGAGCCAAAACACAATCACACGTCCAAGCACTTTGACGCAGAACTGAAAGTGTGTGTGTATGTAGGCACACTTATTCTCCTCGTGGGGAGCGGGGACTGATGTGTGTGTGTGTGTGTGTGTGTGTGTGTGTGTGTGTTCCCTCCCGAGTCTTGCGTCTCCTTGAGTTTTGTCAAGAGTTCCTGTGCATGTGCGACTTCGTCAACTTGTGTGTCCGGATGTGTATGCGCGTGAGGCGTCCGTGTGTCACTCTCTCTCTCCGTCTCACTCCCTTCCATGTAGGCTGCGTTATTGGACGCAGTAGACCGGACAGGGCCAGAGGCGTACACCAAGCGGTCACGCGGCGTGACAGAGGAGCGAGCGGAGTCGCTGTCAGAAGGCCTTTTTAACACACTGCTGCTCTCCGTTCGGGGGGGGGGGACATTTTCCCGCAGTTTGACTGCAAAAGGCGCGAGATAAACGCAATTCTCAGAAGCTCCCACAGAACCACCACTGAAGCCCCAGAGGCTTTCTACCTGAAAATAACGCACTAATACCTTTGATGTTGCCAAAGAGATGTGCCAGAGAGCGAGGCGAGGAGGGAAATGGAGGGGGGGGGGCTGCTCAAACACACACACACACACACACACACACACACAGCTTCACCGGTCTAACAAGTCCATGTTAGCTGAGGATTCTTTACGGGGGTCAGCGAGAAGAAGAAGCATCAAACCACAAGTTATTTAACGGAGTTCGACTCACACCCAACGAACGAGGAGACGTTATATTATGTGTGTTTTCTGATTTATTGGCATTAGAAACAGGTGCCGTGTCCTTGCATGACTAGCAGATGTTCAAGATTGTAAGATATTAAATTATCTCTCTTTGTTGCCTCCTCTCTATTCATCAAATGGCATTCTTCCTGTTGCTCTATTTCCATCTAAAAATACACAGTAGCAAGTAGCCATGAAATTACAGAGTCTGTCTGTCTGTCTGTCTGTCTGTCTGTCTGTCTGTCTGTCTGTCTGTCTGTCTGTCTGTCTGTCTGTCTGTCTGTCTGTCTGTCTGTCTGTCTGTCTGTCTGTCTGTCTGTCTGTCTGTCTGTCTGTCTGTCTGTCAGTCTGTCAGTCTGTCTGTCTGTCTGTCTGTCTGTCTGTCTGTCTGTCTGTCTGTCTGTCTGTCTGTCTGTCTGTCTGTCTGTCTGTCTGTCTGTCTGTCTGTCTGTCTGTCTGTCTGTCTGTCTGTCTGTCTGTCTGTCTGTCTGTCTGTCTGTCTGTCTGTCTGTCTGTCTGTCTGTCTGTCTGTCTGTCTGTCTGTCTGTCTGTCTGTCTGTCTGTCTGTCTGTCTGTCTGTCTGTCTGTCTGTCTGTCTGTCTGTCTGTCTGTCTGTCTGTCTGTCTGTCTGTCTGTCTGTCTGTCTGTCTGTCTGTCTGTCTGTCTGTCTGTGTGCACATGAGCATCAGTGAGCCCACAATGTGCTTTTGCACACTTAAGTGTGTGAGTGCTTTATTCCGCTGCTCTTTTCAGCTATAGAATAAAACTGATTTCCTCACTTGCACACTGCTCCTCTAATCACATTGCCACCACCAGCATGGTGGGATTTTTTTAGAACCGCCTTTATTCAGTGTGAGAGTGACAGCTCCAAGGAACTTCAATACATTTTGTTTTGCTGTTATTTTCAATCTTTGACTTTTTTTTGCCTCAATTTCCCCCAGCTATTCTATTACACTGCAAAGGTCACATTCATATCACCTCCGTGTTTAAAAACCAAACACCAGTGTGTCAGCGGGCACAGCGGTGTGACTTTTAAATTTGATAACAGCCCGGGGCTACAACAAGATAAAAGCTGACTTTTGTGAATGGCGACTCTTTCCGTGCATTAGCAGCATTCATGTGCACGGCTTGTAAACTTGACATTTATTCTCCTGTAAATTCCCCTCAACCCGTAAACTGTATACAGTGAATGGTTGTGAAGATTAGATCTCGCTACATATTTAAGCTACAAGCTGGGGCTGTAGATGCTAATTTAGAAACGGGCAAAAATAGCAATGGAAACCAGACAGGCGGTCCATGAATGGTCCACAAGGGATAATGAGCTCAGTGCCGGTCCCTCTGACACTGGGAAGGTAAAACGGTCACTCTGATATTGAAGCGGGGGAGAGAAGGGGATGAATATCACTGTGATTCCACTTTGGAGTTCTGATGGATGGGTTTTCGGCTCCTCAGGGAACCTTTGGCTTGGGGAGGCATGAGCGACTCAAAGGGACCGGGATCCTGGCTGACCCGGGCTCCTCCGTGTGTGCGTCCCCGCCAGGCTCCGGTGCTCGGCGAGGCTGAAGCGGCGAGGCGCGAGCCGGACTCGGGGCCCGAACCCGGGGCGCGGCGCTGAAGCAGAGAAGGCCCCGAGATGGAGGGGGCAGCCGCTCGGTCCGCTTAGCCGGAGGTCCCGAGGAACATGCCGGCCTCAGAGAGCCGGAGCCACCGGGGCCGCCCGGCTTCGGCGAAGCGAGGGACCCGCGCTGGAGGAGGCGCGGGGGCCGCAGCATGCGGGGGCTTGGCGCACCGCGGGGGGCTTTCGGTTCATGCTGCGCTGCAGACGGAGCTGCTGATGCCGGACAGTCCCTGGCAGTGACCCCCCGAGGAGCCTCAGCGCGGCGCAGGTGGCAGCCGAGGCGAGTCGGCTCGCCGGGGCTTGCCGGCCCGCACGCGTCCGCCATAAGGTCTTCAAGAGGACGGTCAGCGTCTTCCGCTCTGCTCCTCGGGGGGTCACTGCGGCCCTCGGTGGGGGGAGTTTTTACTGGTCTTCCCTGGAGGAGGTGCTCTCTGAGGCAGGGGTTGAAAGGCTGTAGTATTTGAGGCTGTAGAAAAGGGAGAGATATAATGACGAAATAGTCTTTGATTAGTCAAAGTATAACGATGTACAAATCTGAGCGGGTCTGATCGCTGTGGGGATACAGGCTTTTGAATAATTTGTTGCTGCGAAGAAAATCACGAATTTAAAAAGCAAACAGTAGATTTATTCTTTGAGAATGGAAGAGGCAAAGTCACAGGAGAAGCCCCTATTCAGCACTTAAACACAAGCAGAGGAAAATAACCGTGTGAGAGGATGTACTGAATTCTCATTTTGTTATCGCTGCTGCAGACGGACTTTGAAAGCCTTCAAACAGAGAGCTGCGATACCCGCTGCCTGCGTTAGAACTGGCTGAGTCGTTAACCACATGACATTTAGACCAACCGTGGCGTTGTCCTCCATCTGGGGACATACGAGGTACAAACACAAAATCAGAAACACGCCTACAAAGTAATTGTCATTCTATAACAGCCCGGCAACAAATATACTGAGTGGCTCACTGGCAGTTACAGTATGTCCCAGTAGATGTTTTTGCTAATTATGCAGCACAGCAAAACAACTAAAGGAGGTAACAGTCCTCTGACGCAAGCGACGTCCCATTATGATTTAACGGAGTTAGCATTTGTTTCCACCAGTTTTGGATTGAAGGTTCCACAGATTTTTGGGGGGGAATGTGGATAATTTCGCTCTCCTACCAGAGGTACCACTATTTACCCAAATCATGTATAGATCCATACCACACTGCAACCTTGTTTACGACCATTCTGCACCACATTTCAAGATACGACTAATAAAAGGCCAATAGTGTTAATTAATCCATAAAACTACCAGCAGGAGCAGAGATGCTCAGATGAAAAAAAAAGTCAATACTGAACTATATATGAATATTTCACACAGTATATTAGTACACTTTCTGAATAGCTTATGACCTCAACGTCTATTAAAAAAAGAATGTGTCTCAGGTTAGACTACTTAGTTAAAGACTGATTCTGTAAGAAATGAGAAACTGCGACTGGGCTTCGAGCAGAATCGAAAGAAACGAAATCCACCAGGAAGCATCTCAGGCTCCTGAAAAGCATGAACTTGGTTTTAGCACAACCCTCCACTCAGGTCACGACGCTGTGCCCGTTTCTACCCACAGTCATTTATATTTTAAGTGGGATTGGATGTCCGAGGCCACAGCTCCATCTCCTGGTCCCCTGCCTCAATGCGTCCTCGAGGCTCTCACCGAACCCTCGTCCACCTCTCACTGTTTTTGGGTGTTTTTGTAGCAAGAAAATACTGCTTTTAGATTTTAAAGCCATTCAGGAAGTTAACACGAACCCAATGATGGATGATTGTATGATTGGACCATTCAGCGGCACATGGAGTAGAGCGGGCGCACCGGGAACCGCAGGGTTGGCGGTTCCAAAACTGGCTGGTCCATGTCCCATGTGGAAGTGTCCCTGAGCAGGACACCCAACCCCTAACAGCTTCACGGCAGCCCACTGCTCCCACTGTGTGGGACGGGTTAAATGCAGAGAACAATTTTCTGTATGTGTAAAATAATAACATAAAAATGGCTTCTTCTTCTTCTTCTTCTTCTTCTTCACAATAGCTCTGATCATCCGGTGGCTCACACGTCTCACACAGCGCGGTATTTCTTTTATTTGGCCTTGACAAACAGTACAGCTGCTATTGTGGTTCAGTCTCAGAGTGAGCACCTTCCAACAGAGTCCCAGAGTTCAAAACTAAATAAGAGCCTTTCAGTCCACAAAGAGAGTCACCAAGGTATTCACCTCAATAACTCAAGACTATCTTTTTTTTTATAGTCTGGACAGTTTGATTGATGCTAAAAATACCAACAGAAATGTCCGTTCTCATAAGAACATTCAACACCTTTAATTGAAGGTTTGCATTGAGCGCACAGCAGGCTTATCTGGAAGAAACCTCTGAAAGTTCACACTCAATTATGATGATTGCCATCTACAGGTGTCTCCTATAGATATTAATAATTACCAAGAATCCTTTAAAACTTGCACTGCCAAGAATATACCAGAAAGATGTTAGGGCCTAACATAAGCGTGTCATCTTCAGCGTTCCTCTCGCATGATTGGAAAAGCATCAGGCAAGAATTTGATCCACTTTATGCGCATAAGCAGATCGGAGCGGCAATATGGTGGCACTTCCTTTCAAAGCTATAGCTTTGTAGTAGGATTTATTATAGAGCGTCGATTTTGGATCGTGTTGGAAGCCGTGGAAATAGCGGAGGAGCAGATGACGTGTGGTTGCTTTGATTGTCCCTGGCTCGCTGTGCTTAGATGCTTTGATAGTGGAGCGATTGCTCGGGGCAGCAGTGATATGCATTCACGTGCCATAACAGAGGGGTTTCCCTACATGTTTTCACTTTCAATACACTCCATTAAAACCCTTCCACGTACGCATGTAGTATGTTTGAAGGATAAATGATAGAAAAACAAAACCACACAGCTAGATGTACCCATGCGTGCATAACAGTTCTTGTACACCGAATCTGATAGGATAGAGCAAATTAAAAAGACAACAGATAAAAGGAAGTTGGGGGAAAAAAATGAACAGCAAATCTTTTGGAAGAGCAGATCAAACTCCAAAGTGGAAAATACACAAAACCCAAACTCCCAAACTATTGAAAGTCGAACGCAAAGCATGCACACACAGAAGTGGAGGGGCATGCTGCAGTCCCCCGGCCCAGCGTGCAGGAGGTGAGGGCAGCGCGTTAACCGCATGTCAAAGAAACGTTACTGTACCACGCCGTGTCAGTGAAGTACTGCACTAGGTGCTCCACTCCTTGTCAGGGGCATTAGGTGTGGGGAGGCAAAGGCAGAACAGAGAGAACATGGAAGATTCAAGTTCAATTATTTTAGTGACATTGAGATTTGAGTTGAGAGGGAAAGAAATAAGTAAAGGTTAAAAATAGAGGTACGAGTGAGATGGAAGGAAGACGGACAATTAACAGTTAACAATCAGCCAATGCTTGAAAAAAAGAACACAAAATGTCACACATTAGTTAGACATTCAGACAAATTGAATGCAAAATTAAAGGATGGCCTCCCATTCAGTCCAGTTACTTCTCCTGTACGGAAGATTGTTTGATGAATTAGACAATGCTATTGCCCTTTGACTGAACGCTGATGCTCTGTCAAAACTGTCTTGTATAAATACAACGACACTTGAGATCAAAATAAACCGAGGTGTACTAAAAGAAAATACACCTGTGCAACATTTTTATCACCTTCCCCCTCGATCCGAAGCCGAGTCCCGCGGGGGTAGAACAAAAGAACACAGCGTGGGTGCTTCTCTTCTTCTGCTCTTTGCGTACTTTCTGCAGCCTGTTTACCCATTGTCATCCTCTAACTAATTACTAATTAACTCAAGCTCCATTTAATCCACGTAAATGACGTTAATTTAAGGCATTCAAGGCTTAAGACCACGTTATGGTTCTATTTAATTTCAATTTATTTGTGTATGTATTTATTATTTATTTATAACTAAATAACGGATACGTTGCGTGGTGAGAAGATGGAAATACGGCGGCGAAGGATGTTAGTGACTCACTCTGTCTGCGCTGGGGCATGCTGGTACGGGTCAAGCCCTGGTGCTGGGCCTGCCACGGGGACAGCAAGGGGGTGGGCAGCGCACCCTACGCAGAGAGAAACACAAAAGGACAAAAAGGCATATGACGTACCAGAACACACAACCACGCATACACACAGAGGCGTGCTGACACAGAACACATGCACTCCGTTAATGAGGCTGGCGAGCGCAATTAACACAGACGTAATAAAACACGGGCAGATTTGCACACATGCCAACGCAGAGAGTCAAGTGTTAAATCCATCTGTTGTTAGATTAAAATGACATTTCAGTTTTAGTGTTAATGAGTGTAGGTGTTAAAATCAACTCTTTCATTTACCGGTGAGTACATTTTTTTGTTCGTCGGAAAAACGCTTTTATCCCACAATGTCTGACATTTTCATATAGCAAACTGCAGCTTTTCACTGAAGCTACATATTGGATGGATCAGTGGAATATTCAACCCGGGATCCATTTGTGTTATGGCAGCTATTTGGCATCTATGGACAGTTTAAGGTCCCCACTAGAATTCAAAATAAAAGTTACACACAGATTTCAAACCACACATTTATTTTAATGCACATTTTGGGTCCCGCTATTCATTCTGTCAAAATGTGCAAAACGGTTCGCCACACACACACACTTATAAAACATTCTCTACTTGGAAACGGCTATCACATAAATGCGATGTATGTCGACTAACAAGATACCTTTCAGGGTAAATCTGTTTTGCCGGGATGTAAGTTTACACTAATAATTAGTCACTGAAGTCCAACAATCCAATCTAATGAAACTGAAGCACAATGCTGCGGGTGAACACGTTGAAAGTCTGGTTCATTTTGAGTGCTCTCAAATAAATGAAATATGTCAGACTGATGTTTCACCTCATTTGCTGTCCGTGTTCTCCATCAGTCATGTTTGCATTTTGTTGTCCGAACATTGTGTTTAAACCAGACATTGTGTTTGAACCAGCACGTGGACATCTGTGCACAAACATGTACCCAGAAGAAGACGAGCCCCTTTATTGATCGCAAATCTCCAGGTGAAGCAATTCAAAGATCCCTCGGCCCCCTTCAGGAGAGGCAAAGTGAAAGGGAAGCAAAGCCATCACGTAACGCAGACACACGGAACAACAGCTTATCGCTGCTTTCCTCGGCTGTGGAGGGGGTCGCCGATCAACTATTGCAGAACGAGAGAAGCACTGAATTGGTCAGAGGGAAGAACGGGTCGAGAGGGATTAAAAAAAAAGCAGAAAAGCAGCAACTTCCCAGCAGGTCCAGCCCGAGCTATTTGAGAGGCCCCCCTGGTTCGTCCGTGTGACGGGGGGAGGAATGGATTGCCCTGATCGGTTGTCGTCCATCCTTCAGCACCAACAAGTGCTTCAGCGGGGGGGGGGGTCTTGGCTGAAGCCTGCCGTGGAGGCATCACTTGCGATGAGAACAAGGGGGCATGTTGGAGGGCTCCTGAATGTTTCCGACTGTGTCTGGCCGCGTTATTAGACCTCCGTAGCACCGAAGCCTGTCAATTTTTCAGCAGTGAAGACTCTTCAATGAGGGGCTGACAGACCTTTACAAGGAGACGGGAGACAGCAACTGGGAATATAGGAAAAAGTTTTTCATTTTCCATCAAAACTCATTTTGATATCTCTCCCGCCGCACGGGAGCCGTGGGTTCGACGCCTGCATGTAGTTGCAACTCCAAAACAAGGGGGTTCTCGTCCTTATTGCTGCACTCGTAACTTCATCTGGATGGATGGTTGGTCGGTCGGTCGGTTAGTCAGTTAAGTACCGTTTCGGCAATTGTCAATGCAGCCCGTCTACCCGTCTGCAGAGTCCTAAAGCAAAACTCTGCCAAAGGGTAAGAATTGGAGTCAAGTAAAAAGTTGTTCTTTGTGATCTTACAACCGTTTTCATCAAACAACAACAACAACAGCAGCGTGTACAGGACTCCGGGAAGCTAATCCTCTAATCCACCACACAGGGCTCCTCGTGGTGGGCTGCAGCTAATACCTCAGGTTTGTCCGCGATGTCTCACTTCACAGACTCTCTCCAATTAAATCCTCACCTGGCCGAGACCGGTCTGCTGTGCTCTGGGTATTAATGAGCGTGCGCGTGTCTGTGATGCAGCGCAGCACCCAGAGGGAGCGTGGGTGGAGAGTTTATGTCAGAATCTGAGGGGGGGGGGGGGACTTGTTCTTTCAACTTACAGCTTCTTAACACTGATCACTAAGCTTATGCAATCCCCCCCCCCCCCCTCACCCACCGCCTGCCTCTCCCTCTCTCTCTCTGTGGCGGCAAATTGATCTAATTACCACCGAAAAAAAGCAGCGCGGTGATGTCCAAGGAGGGTTGACACAGACAAAAACACAGGGAGAGAAAAGTATTCACTGAAGCGAGATGGAGGGAAAGAAAACAGACTGAGAGAGCAGGCAGCGATAGGAAAAGACGGAGAAGAGGTGAATTGGAGGGTGTTTAAAAAAAAAAAAAAAAGGCACAGGCGGAGTGGGAGGGGAGCCGTAATTATCTCCTGTGTCTGCCCCTGATGAAACATTGCCCATTGTGTTGCCGTTGTTTCACGGCTGCTGCTGCTGCTGCTCATCCGCGTTTGTTTTTGTTTGGGTTATTAACACGGTCGGCTCCTCGGTTCTCAGCCTGATGAACCCATTGTTCAGTCACACACCGAGTGTGACCACCCCTCCCGACACACAAACAGGCTGCAGTCTTCTTCTGGTCTACATTTGAAATTGCAAAAATACTGCTCGTTGAGGCAAAGAGGAGAGGGGCTGAAGAAAGCCTGCTGCTGTGATTGCTCTGGGGGAATCATTCGGGAAGATTATTTCTAGACAAGTGACACTTGAGTAGTTTCCAGTTACACACTACATGTGCGTCTTACTGCGACAAGTCTGTCCACTATCTCTCCTTGTGTTGTATATTCATATACTCATATATACTTTTGGCTTTTCGACCGGAATTTGGATATTAAGCAGATTAAAATGGGAAGCCACTGGAGCTCGTGGCCCAAGCAGTCGGTTAGGCTATGTTGCCAAAGCTTTGCTACGGATTGGAAGAAAGTAAGGAGATCAGTTCATCACAAACAAGTTGAACTGTTCAAAGCAGCAACAGCCCACAGTGTTTTGTTCCGGAAAAGTAACGATGGGAACGATCCAATATCTGTAAGGGAAAATATCAACTGCTTGAAGAATGAACTGGGCGGTAAAGCCATTAAATAGCCATGTGCACGGGTCAGAGACCAGCAGCTTACTCTATTGTTGGGCTGCTAATCGGAGCTAAAAGCACAGCAGGATTCCTCTTCAATCCACGTTGAAGTTGCGGGAAAGCATCAGGAAACGACTACGGGGTGCCGATAGCGGCAAAAACGATTATAACCGATGGCCTTTGACAATAAGACTATTCTAGGTTGATCCTTTCCGCTTAGCGCTGAAAAGCTACTATCACACGGCAGGAGCTACTTGAGCGCTGTGATCCAATGGCACTTTAAATGTCAGAGGTGCCAAAAATCAACAAGAAAAACAATAAAGATGACAGCGAATAATGAATGTGTGTGTGTGTGTGTGTGTGTGTGTGTGTGTTTTGGACGACAAGCACAGAGACGTGAAATAGACAATGAATGTGCGAGTGGGGAAAAAGAAACTAATATTTGTATATAAAAAGGGAAAAGGGTTAGAGAGAGAAAAGCGGAAGAGACGGATTTCATTAAAACACTTTGAAGGATTGTTTAAAAAACTCGAGGTGAAAGCGAAGCATTGTTTGAGGAGCACTGTGAACCGCGGCTTGCTGCAGGTGCTACACTTGTCATCGCGATGTCAAAAGCTTTGATTTCGATATGAAAGTAAGAACAACCGGCAGAGAAACATCCCTTTCTCTCTGGTATTTGTTTACTCTGTGCTCGCTTTTCTTGCTACCTTGTCAAAAAACTCAAAGCCAACCTTTTAGAGCAATCTCGCATGCTCCGAGAAATAAAATGCCACGAACATAATGTGTTTGTCCCCACAGTGCTGCAAAACACATCGGAGAAAAATAATCTCCACTCTGGTGATGACTTCAATTGGCGCTGGTTGCCTACAAACACAAAATAAATCTTAAAAATGGTTGAAAGAATAGAGAGAAGGGCCTCGACTGTTTTTGTGTGTTATCATGCATCAGGCGCTGCAGGTCACAGGTAGATGTTCCCTCCACTGAGATGCTTCCTGTTGAGCACAACTGGCCCTACTTTGATAGTTGCCGTGGCAACTGCTAAACCATATGCTCTTGTGGTAAGCAGGGAGCTACTGTAGTTGCTGAGCTTGCTTGGTTTCATCTTTTACGTTGTATAATTTTGACATATAATCTTTCGCCGTGCCTAAATTTAAATATAAGTCATTCTAATTTAATTTAATTTAATTCAAGGTGCTATATCTATCCCTACACTTCAGCCTCTTTATGCGTGTGTGTGTGTGTTCTTCATACACTGACAGCTGAGAGCAGGTCAATTAGGAGAGTGTTTACGCGGCATCCTCCCTGGGACACTCCTGGTATTGAATCAATATTGCACCGCAGCTTACTAGCGTGGCTTAGCACTGAACAAATATCCACCCATCTTTCCGCCTCTTTCGGTCTCTGTCTGTCTGTCTGTCTGTCTGTGGATCCCACTCCCTATTCCTCCCACCCTCCAACTGCTCATCTCCTTCTCTCTCGAACATTAACACCAGCCGCTCAAGTACCCGTTGGGTGTGAGATCTGGGTATCAGAGTGTGATGCTGACAGCCCAGTAAACGGTGTTACATGGAGGGACACGGTGTAGCCATTGAACAGTGTTTGCCGTGGCCCCGAGAGAAACAGACTAAGCGGCCGATGCGAGCGGACCCAACAGAACAGGCAAGTGCTGGTGTCTGATAACTCCTTGGTGACTGTTGGAATGAGGTCATTTCAGAGCGCTCTGAATGTTTGGTCTCACCCCGTGGCTTGGTGGTCTCCAGTAGGTCTGGGTGGCCTTGTCACACTGGTGCCTCATCCGTTTGTCCATCTGTCTGTCGCTCTGTCGCAGTGAGGAGGGAGCCCTCTGGTGGTGGCACTGACACCTGACTGGCCAACCCTGAGCAGACTGAGGGGGCAAGAACGAATAAATCATTAGAAGGCAGAGTGAGATTTTGCATTTATTATCTTGTTTTTAACCCGGGTCATGCACCAATTAACTTGACACTCTGCAAAACGGTATAAAATTCTTAATCGTTTGCATCACAAAGGGCAAAACAAATTCAAAAGATGAACTTTGAAGAGCAGGAAAACAATATTTAATTGTTGTGTTTCACACATCGCATTTGGCTTCTCCAGTCGTCTAAAAGTTAAACCTGAGTGGTAAACAGTGCAGGAAAACCACCCTCACTGTTGTATATTATCAGATATAACAGACAGAAACTAAAATTATTTTTAAAAGAATGATGTTCTTCATGCGGCTACTATTAAAAAAAGGAAACGGATGTTATTAAAGAAAATGTATGCAGATTATCAGGCTTCCGCTACGAAATGTCATCCCGTGTGTCCACTTCTTCAGATGAACGTGGGGCATGATGGGAAATCAACAGGTAAAATCAAGCTTTTTTCTTGTGAAAAACTGACTGATATAAATTTTAAGCACATGGTAACAGAAAAAAAATCCTAATTTTTTAGCCGGTAAAACGATTATGACTGACTAACTGATGCACATGTGAATTCATGAGCAATTAACCCAATCCAATATAGGAATAAACGACAGGGCAACTAATGAGGCGCACTAAATGGTTTTGTAACCATTCCTGTAACCATCTCATATTCCTTCCTATGCGTGAATAACTAGAACAACTTCTGCTTGGCTGCAGAATCTCACAGAAATTGCTACTTTTCGTCAGCTGTGGTGAAAGAACTTTGACGCAGCTCGAACCAGAAGAGCAAATAATCACGAGCAGTCTGCCTCCACAGCGGTGGAAGCTGAGAAATCAGTCCGTGATAGCTCACTCCTCCCTGTTCCATTATTTCACGCCCCCCCCCCCAACACACACACACACACATTTATACTCTCCTTGCCACAGACAGCTACTCTATTGTTTTCTAATTACTCCATTATGTTCAATTCTGTTAACTGTTCCCCCTCTTCAGTCTTTCAGCAGTTTCTGTGGAATACTCCCCCCCCCCACCTCCTCCTCTGTGTCCCTGACTCTTAACCAACTGTAATAACATCACTCCCACCATTCTTTAGGACAAGCAGCGGGCGTAGAGGACTTTTGGACTTCTCAAGATACATGGCCAGTCTTCACGAACCAGTGTTGCTCTAATTGCTCTAACCAGTTGTATTTCCTTACAACCAGAAATTGGGGGGGTTTGGTCGGCTACCTGAACGGATCGCAGCATGATGCCTTTGTTTTATTGGCTTCCTCGTAGTTCCACCCTGTCCTGCGGGGACATCAGAGGAAATGACAACACAAACACATCTTTGGATTCCTCTAACCTAGCAGCCAGAGTACCCGCATAGTGCTTCCTAGACACAGTCGGCAGGGCAAATATGTTCGCCTGTAATCTTTTCTCCCTACGCCCCCCCAACATCTTCACTCGTTCAGCTTCTACGCTCATTAATGTGAGGGGGAGATCTGGAAATACGTCCCAGGGTTTTTTCCTACTCTTGGCTTTTTGTGGGTGAGGTTGCAACAATATGGTGGGTGGGTGCTATTTCTAATTGGAGGGTGTAGAATGCGGCAGGGAGGCTGGCGGACCGGCCTCGCTTTGACATTTAGCTGTTCCTCAATACGGCAGGGATTTGAATAATGTCAGCGAAAGGATACGCTTGTTTGGCTAACAAGGGAGCCTGTTCAGGACACTAATGAATGTTAGAGAGCGGAGACGGAGGCCGCTAAAAGCATACAGAACGGAGGTTATTGCTCGGCACCCGTCAGCGCGCGAGTACACACACTAGAGTGCACGTCGTGAGTGCGCGAGCGCAGAACTGAAGACCCGTCTGAGATATAAAGGGCACTGCGGCGCGTCCTCGCTGACAACTAACAATCTGAACGGCAGACCTGGACATGTGTCACGACATGTGCATCCCCATCTGTCCCCTTCAGACAGATTGTTTTGGGGTTTTTTAGCGGATAAATCAGGTGTTGGGGTGAACAAAAAGCCGGCCTTAACCATGTCAGATCTGTAAAAGAATTGCTGTCACGGCAGGGAACTCCCAGAAGAGAAGATGCGCTTGTAGCTTATGAAAGCTGCATGAAAGCAATCAGCAAAGATGAGCACTGGAGCTATTGGAGGCCAGTGGAGGATCACTCGTCTGGAGCCTGTAATACGCAACTGAAGATGAGCTTTGATTGATATTCTATGACTGAGCCCTGATCACCTGACGGTGAACCACCCTGCAGTTGTCATTCACAGATACTTCATGTAGAAACCCAGAGTTTAGAGGCCGTCCGCTAAATATCTGATTCGCGCAAGGCGGCGTTCTCGGGTCCGTTTCCAATCTCACTAAACAGTAAACAGCAGACGTCATCCGCAGAAACGACTCACATACTGACCCGCAGTAAAAAGATCAACGCCACAGTGTCAATCCCGCCAAAGAAAAAGCCAGAGCGAAACAACAGCAGCACGTGGTGCTCAGCCAGCAACTGCTCTGCATCATAACAGTGTTCAGAATGTTTGTCAGACTACGGCCTTCAGCTGGTTATAGATAGAACACACTCCCCTTTTCACACTTTGCCCGCGTGTTAGTCCTGCTCACACCACCTCACCATTTGTTCCCGCTGATGTTGTTGTTGTTGTTGCAGCTGCTGCAGCTGTTGACACTGCAACGTGAGCTGAGCAATGGTTTTGTCTCGACTCCCCAGTTCCTCGCGGAGCAACTGCACTTCCTTGATCAGCTCCTCCGACTGAAAACACAGGCAAACACGCGGTAAACTGCCGTGGCGCAGCAAGAAAGAGGGGAATTAAAAAAAATAATAATTTGGCACTTTGGCAGCACATTAAATCAACTATGATGAAAAGTTTTGCACCTGCGATACAGTGGTATTGTCTTCGATCTCTTCGGGAACTGGAGATTCAGTATCCTCAAGCTAGAAAACACACACACACACACACACACACACACACACACACACACACACACACACACACACACACACACACACACACACACACACACACACACACACACACACACACACACACACACACACAGAGAGAGAGAACAAGGTGAGCCGGATCGATGACAATTGCCTTTGGCATGCCTCAAGAGCAGTATTTCGCTACGGTGGAAGAACTTTAGTCTGAAGCACGTATACTGTGCTGACCCTGAACTGTCAGCCCACGGTGCATGCTACCTGAGGCGCAGTGGTGATGTAAACTTACAATACGTTGATTTCCTCATATACAACAGAAAAATGTCTGGACGCTGGATTTCTTTTTCCAAAGCAGGCCCAACACTGCATCTCGTATAGACAGAACATGTAATAAAATACTCCTAATTCCATTCTTTCCGTTATTTTACCAATTGCTGTTTGATTAAGAATTTGGTGTAAATGAGAAATGAAAGTTATCTGAGCTGAACATTTTTGGGGAAATTGCATATTTTAGGCCAAGAGTCACTTGAAGGAATTTAATTTACAGTGAGTTTAAAGTTTATATTAATTATAAAAATGAATTAAAAAAGTGGATATGTATTTAATCTTGAAAAATACACTTCATTTCAACACCACATTCCACCTGCTGCGTATTCACGACAGAAATAATGTAGTTACTATATGACTGACTGTGAAATATAGCAAAGATCAATTAGGATTCAACAAGGCTTGAGGCTCATTTATAGACGAGTTACTAATAGGGAGACGGACACGTTTTCCCTCTTGAGGCTATCCAACACAAGCCTGACTAATTGCAGTGAGACACTTGATTTAACTGTGCAAACATCACCAAGTTGCTACGGGTAAACTTAGTCGAAGCATTCCAAATGATTTGGTTTTAAGTAGCTCTGAGGATTTTCAGCGATGCGCTTGTGTATTTTGAAGGAGTGTGTGTTTTCGTGCGTTCATCTCAAATGAGAGACGTTGACATCTTTCATTTCTCTCCCCTCCTTCCCTGTCACCCGCTACTCTTGCCGTTAAAAAGGAATTCTTAAGACTGACAAACTTCTATTTAGTTCAATCATTGTCACATAAGCACAGATATATATTTCTATTCATGTACGCATAATAATATGCAAACATGAGATCACAAATGCACGCAAACATCACATCAATGTGCATTTGAAGAAAAGGAGGCCTCTGTCTTCACTTGTTTGTTTGAATACAGGGCAGCAGCATTCTGATGAGAGGGCTTAATAAACACATAAAAACATCTGAATGCTTTATGTGGAACCACGTTAAAAATAAAACTAGAACTTAGCTCAGTTTGACACCTGAGGACAGTGACACGTTGTACTTCAGACAAACTTTATTCATTATTTATTTAATTATTACATCAGTCAAGCAAACTAAAACAAAGCTGCATTTAATATACATAACAGCAGCTGAAATTAGACTAGTTCTTGAATACTAGAACTAGTTATACCACCAAAGTAAAAGCTCGGGGTAGGCAACATGTTCTACGGTGGCGCATGGGTAGAGAGGGTGCACCGACAACCGCAAGGTTGCCGGTTCGAGCCCTGGCTTAAAAAAAAAGCCCCGGGTTAAAGATGCAATGCAAGTCGTTTTGGATAAAAGTGTCAGGTAAATTACCTGTAATGTAACGAAATGTAATGTTCTGTATGTGACTCGAGGGTGATCAGAAGGACAAACATGTCCTGAGACCGACACTGCATACAGAACAAAAACATGTGTTTTTTGCGACTGGGGCTCAAACAAACCTGGAGCAATGTTTTCAGCCTGAGCAGCTGACTCTTCAGCGAGCTGCAGTCCTGAGTCATGTGCTTGAGTGTGAGCTCATCCAGCATGGCCTTGTAGTCACTCGGCCCTCGGTCCTCGGATGGGACAGGCCGAGGAGGGATCCTTGAAACCTTTACACCATCGTAGTGCTGGACGACATGAGGCCTGAGAGAGAGACAGTCACATAAAACAATACTTTTTACTTTTGACATTTCTACACTTTACTGCTTATCAGGCAACACTGATTGCGTAAACAACCTGCTATTGTTGTAGAAGAGATCGGGTCCACTCCAGCGAAGGTGTCTACGACGCTGCCCCTGCCGACCAGCTCTGTCTGAGCGCTCAAAGTGGGACATCCCGTCAGCGTCTGTATGGGAAAAATTTAGCGCTTGATTAGTCAGAGTAAAGAAGCACGTGCATGTCTGAAACATAAAAGATCATATACACTGTGCCATCTGACCTGGAATGCAGGTGACCAGAGTTTGGGGTATGCTGTGTTCCAGTTCCGCGGTCATTTTTTGCGGAAAGTGAAAATAGTACATGTTTGCGGTTTGAGAAAAGCAGTATTCTGCAAAAGATATGATTGGTTTTGCTTTATTTTTATCTGCCGGTTTGTTTATTATTACCACCATACACAAATACACAAAGTGCGACACTGCGAGTCAGTTTTTCATATCTTATGTTGATGATTGCTGCCCTGTATATCTCAGATTTTCCATTCTACAATATCTGCATATAAATCGAGACGGGTCCACCTCTCAACTTTCTCACAAACACATGCTCTCCCACAAGGTGAGAGGCGATGTCATTTTCAAGAAGGTAAAAGGACACTCAATAGCACGTAGCTGTGAAATGAACCGCGGCCGCAACATAAATTGACAACTAACAGAGCGCAACCCCCAGGAAATCAAAAAGACCCTTGACTTTTTATATTCCAGATCATCTTTTGATTGATGGAAAACGGTGAAATAGAAAGAAGGAACATTGGAAAATTGAAATCCCCCGATTCAGTTACTGTAGCAGTGGTAGCATTAGTAGTTCAAATACTTTACCACATAGCACAGGAGTAGACGGGCTGCTCTATTCTGAACATTCCAGGAAACACCAGTACCCCCAACTCTTTCTCTGCTCAGAAAAAGCCCAGTGAAAGATCAACAGAAATATATTCCAACTTGATAAAAAAAAAAAAGAGAGGATCCACAACAGGCAGAGAAACGAAGAGAGTGGAGAGAAGACGTCTCCTCGTCCAGACGGCTGTGGAGCAGTCAAAAGGGCCAGCGAAGGGAAAATCTACTCAAGTTCCCGGCCTGCCCGCCTCGGTCTTTGTTGGCAGCCTTGTTTTTCTGGGAACTCCCTAGAAACTGGAGCTGGGGAGGAAGGACTGCGGCGGTGGTGGTGAGAGAGCGGCCAAGGTGACTAGTTTGTGTCCAAGCTAGAAAGTCGCCGGCTTAGGCAGGCGAGGCAAAGAAGCCGGGGCCTCACATTATGCCCCTTCTATTTGTTGTAAACCCCTCTTCTCTTCTCCCCCTCTGTGCGAGAGTCAGGGTTTGACGGGGGGCAGGGAGGGAGGGACCCCCGTGAGCTGGGTCCAACTGGACTCTGCAACCCGTCTTGGTTTCTCTCCGACTCTCATGACTAGCTCGGGCCACGGCAGAGAGCGCTATAAATATGTCCGCTTCCCAAAAAGGAGGAGGAAGGGACACACTCCAATTCACATTCCTCTGGAGAATTTCTCCTCCTCTCTCACTGTCTCCTTCTCTCTGAAACAAGGAGAGCTCTGTTTACAGACTAGAGAATGATAGCAGGGCTGCAGCTCTGCCTCGCTAATGTATACCGAGTTGAAGGTTTATTAAGTGCACTTAAAAATAAATGCTGTCTAGTACAAGAGGCCTGCTAGAGATCGTAACAAAGTCAAGGTTAAAATGTTCCATTTCTGTCGCTGAAGCCGTTTTAGAGAACTAATAATCTAACTCCAGGGTCATCCCGGAAGATGTACTTTGCATTACTGAGGCAAGACTTGATGTTAGACATGCCTCTTAACAGCACAACAAATCAACATCCACGAATATGACCACAAAGGTAAATAAAAGGCCTCTGAAACACTTAAGAGAAGCTGAATGTTTAGGGGCCTGATAGAAGGTGGAACTCATCTTCTATACGGCTTCTCCTTAGTTAATCCCAGCCAGCATCGGGTGAGGGACCGGGTATACCCTGGACAGGCATCTGTGAGACTGCGTGTTCAATTCCCAACGTGACCATCTATAGGCTTGAATGAGGCCTACATGCAGTATGCCAGTAAATTGGTGTTATTAATATAGTGCTGCCTTCAGGACTGACTTCACTTCCTTGAATTCCTTATGGTTTATAACAAATTAAGATACAGTACATTTTCCACAACCGTTCTTCCCCGCTCTCAAATATGTGACAAAAGCTATCTAATGAATAGATACCACTGTCAACACCAATATTATGCGTTAATAATTTGATCCGATAAATAGGCGTTAACCTACATGGTTTCATTGAGATGAACGATTACATTTACAAAAGGAAAATGGATGACCGAAAACTCCCAGGCTAAAAAAGATATGGCATCTAGATGAGGGGGGTGGTATGTGGAATAGTAAGATAATGATTTGATAAAAATATTCATGTAAACACCATATCGCTGTTGTCAAGGCAATCAGATGTGATGTCCGCTCCCACGGAGCCTGTGTATATGTGCTATGAATGTGCCGGCACTGTACCCGAGTGTCTGTTCATCTGTTCATATAAACAGAGCCAGACAGCTGACCCAATACTGCTTCATCTGTCATTAAAGGCCAGTTGTGTGGCAGTGGTTGAGTTGTAATTAAATAACTCTTCAGAAACACAATTTTAGAAGAGTAACAGCACATAATGGACAGCAAGGTGTCTATATAAAGGTATAAAGATGTTAATGGAGGTAGCAGAGGTAGCTATTCCCCTTAGGATTCAATTTTTTCCGGCCATTATTTGACATAAAAGGATATTGCTTGGAATAGAATGTGAAGACCTTGGTAATGCATTAATTTACAACTATGATGGGAACAGTTCTGCTAAAGGTTTCCACTTTTAAGAAAATAATGGACAACATCCCAGCAATTAGACTGTAGCATTTTCACTTAACCATAGAATAAGCTCAAAGATTGAAATCCAGTGTAGTAAAACTCCAATTAGTGTGTGTGTGTGTGTGTGTGTGTGTGCGCGCTCTGACCATGCAATCCATCCTCTGGCAGGTCCACATCAAGCATGAGGTCATCGTCGTCCAAGTCTCCACTTCCCGGAGGTTCCAGGTTGTTCAGGACATCCTTAAAACCACAAAATTGTAACAATTGCTTCATTGTGAGGCATTAGATAACATTATAGGCACATTATGGGTGCATTAGTCATATCATTTTGCCTCTGGTTGTAAAACAAAATGCAGGGATAGAAATATCTAGAGCCCAGGGGCCAGACACATGCATATCTGTGCAGGTTCTGTAAGACAACAAAAATAACACATAATGCACAAATACGCAGTGGGAGCTTTTTCCTGCGAATAATACAGCTTTGCAACCACATGAATTATAATGGTTTGAAAAGTAGTGTGTTTGCACATAAATGTTACCCCAAAAATCATGCAATTAGCCATAGATAGATGAACACATAAATCAGGGACCTTCTGTCGTTGGCCTGGTATTAGCAGACTCTTTCGACGGTGCCAAAGGGCTTTCTGTTGTTAGTCAATTTTAGCACACAAAAGGTTTATCGCTGTGATACACTGTTCATTCTCGGCTGGGAGAATTTGGTGGCTATACAAATGAACAGGGTTTGCAAAGAGCTGGAAATCTCATAATTTCATGCCATGGTGAACTCTTGCATTTATTATGCATGGTGTTTAAAATTACATTATGTCAATTGAGCATTGATTGTTCTATTTATTAATGTTTTAATTACTTATCATTTATTAAATATGTCATTAGCAATAACAATTTGTGAAGGGTTGGAAACTGATACCACTTGACATGATCCTCTGACTGCAGAAGCTCAGATTATTGCATACATTGGCAGATAACACAAACTGTCTTCTGGAAAATAACACTCAATAGTGAATGATAACACGGAACACTTTGAAAAGCTCACAAAAACACTTCTCATTATAGACTCAGAATATGCAGTTACTCTAACTGACGCGCTGTTGTCTGCCAAATAATTCAAAGCATACCCAAAAGTGAAGGACTGAATCAATAGTTCAAAGCTATATTTTTCAAGGCAATTTTGCGCTTCGTGGAACTAAATTGACAGGGCTTTGACTAAAAGACACAAGCATTAAATTACTCATTATAGGGAATCTCATGTGTTGCTCGACAACTGCCTGAAAAGGAATGACGAAGAGAAAAGAATAAACAACACACACACACACACACACACACACACACACACTCACTCACTCACTCACTCCTGGAGCCATGCAAATACTGTCACCCAAAATGTGGGTGGGATCTTTTGATGTCTGACGACTCAACCCCGTCTCGCCGGATTTATTCCGTCTCTCTACCTTACGGTCCTCAGATCTATGTCTCGCTTTCCTCCCCATCCCATTTACTTTTTTTTAAACTTTATAACTCACACGGTAAACGTTAGCACCGAATTTGCTACAAAATCGCAATCTCACCTTTCCTCCCACACACTTTCAACTGTGGATGTCTTCAGCTGTCTGACACTGTGAACTGTACGCCAGCCGCACAACAGCAGCAAAACTTTCAACAAAACACAACTTTCCATCCGTGTCTACACTGGGCCTTTTTTTTGCCAGACTGTTTGACGAAGATCACAGCTTTGCGTGAAATCATACACTTAGGTGTGCAAGTGGAAAAACACTCACATTGGAAAAAGCCTCCAAAAAGACTCAATGGAATGAATAGTGTAGAAAGCAGCAGTGATTTCAATTCAATTATATACTTTGATGTATGAATATGAAATCCAGTGTGGACTTCTTGGGCATTGATACAGTGTTAATTTCGTCGACGAAAACTATGACGAAATTCGTTAACCAACCTTTTTTCCATGACTAAGACGTGACGAAAACGATCTTAAAAAAATAAAAACTATGACTAAATCTATTCTAACTTTCGTTAACGAGACGAACATGTTGGTTGTTGACGAAGTTACAATACTTTTTCCCCCTAAAATCGCACGCACCTAACAGGCAAAGTTATTAACGCGTCATGATGACGTCATCCACGAACCCAGAACACGCGCTCACATCGGTGCTTCTTGTGCACCGACTACGGACCGCGACGACTATTTTATGCTTCGGCGAGTTTGAATGTGGCTTCGTTAGTTTAGCTCAGCTGTCTCGGGTTAGCTGACTGTTAGCAGGCTGAAGCCGCGCTGCTTCACAGAAACATGAAGACCCGTTTAACAGACTGTCGGACATTTCTGCTCTGTTCTCTGGCGACGGCAGGCAGCGTTTCCTCGGCTGGATGAAACCCTCCGTTACAGGCTCCTCCAAACACGTCTAACATAATACACTCATTGCAGGTTCTGAAGCCAAGAAAATAATGTATTGCACCGATTGTAGGACGTGAAGGGGTCTCGTTTGTTGGGACAGTGGAAACAATAAAGGACCATGAAGTTTCCGGTGGACGTGTCAAAAGCATTGCAAGTAAACAGACAAGACAACAAAGTGTTGCGTTTAGATCCCTGGTCCTCATGAAGTTGTTACACCTTTGCCAATTTATTAAATTGCCTTGCAAATAAATGCTTTGCTATTTGTTAAAATCCAAATCCTTTCATGTAATGATTTTTCTCATGTCATTTAATTAGCTCACACAAACACTTCAACCATTTGTTCTTGGCCCGGCTCCTCCGTCACATTTTACAACCCATTGTGGCCCGCGAGTCAAAACGTTTCCCACCCCCTGCTATAGACCTGTCCTAGGAGGGACATCTAAATGGACAACCAAGTACTGCAAGCTAGACTATTGTGCAGCTGTAGACACAACACAGGGGGGCCCTGGGCCTGAGAAGGGAAGAAAGGAGTTTAATAAGGATATTAAATGTGACTAAAACTAGACTAAAACTAATGACTAAAACTAAGGAGGATTTAAATGACTAAAATGTGACTAAAACTAATATCCATTTTCGTCTAAAGACTAAGACTAAATCAAAAATATCTGCCAAAATGAATACTGCATTGATACACATACTATAGTCTAATCAGTTTTATTTACACATAATTGTGCAAACCTAAAAAAAAATGAGCACAACAATTTGCTCCGAGCGAGATGTTTGATCTCTCCCCGCTAAAGTGACCCTGCGCTCCTACCGCTTCCATGTGTAAAAGCTATATTAAACTTTAAATCAGGAATAAAAAGTAATTGCGCGAGCCGCGGACCCTTGGACTTGACCGCAAAGTCGATATCTGTTGTGCACCGTTCTTGATAAGCATCTCAGCAGCAGCTTTGAGCCAATTAAGTTGTAGCCGTTGAGCTCGTTCTCGCTAAAGGAATAATGATTTGCCTTGTAGGAGTATAGGAATTTGACACATGGCACACATATTTCCAATTCCATCTCGGATTGGTTATCCAAAAACCCTGCAGCATGAGCGGTCTTCCAGCGTGCTCGGGTTTCATGGCGCACTCTGATCCCGCCGTATCGGATGGATCTTCCAGCAAACACAGATGGATCAAACACAGATTAAAACCTCCAAACTCACCGGGGAAAGTTCTGATTCGGAACACCCCCCCTCCCCCCCCCCTTTTCTTCACAGTGTGGCCCGAGTGCCTGCGCAGCAGATTTGAGGAGCAAATTAGGAAGCTCATTCCAGGTTCTTCGATTCTGCCCGTTGCTTTCTTTTCAGAGGATCTTTTGGGGATCTCAAGTAGATGCTTGATAATCGTGGGCTGAATGTATATTAGTGTCACGGCCCACTATCAGCCAGAAGGGCAAAAAAAGCAGCTCATTCTCTGTTCAAAACCCTTACATAAAAATAAAAAATAAAACCTTAGCGTTAATAAGTGTTTCAGATAAATAAAGGCTAAATAGAAGTGCTTAGACACTTCACACATGTCTCCGTCTTTTCTCTTTTGTCTTACAGGAAGCAAGCCGCTGTATTCATCCCGGTACCTTTCATTTGGTGTGTAAAGTCGCTCTCAGTTGAGCGACTATCCGAGACGAGAACAAGAAATCAACATCCAACAATTTTTATCCCAGGATCATTAACTTTCTGAAGGTCAAACACATCGCAAAATAATGCGCTGAAAAACACAGAAATGCTATAGGCGATTGCTCATGCGATGTCTTTATATAGGAATTGAATGTGTTTGGGGCTGATGTGCTCCGCTGCTGTGTGTGTGTGTGTGTGTGTCTCCTGTGTGACATTAGCCCCCCTACTCGACAGGATAAGTTCTTATACTATGACTTGGGACCCGCGGGTGGTTTTGATGGAGGATATGTCCTCTACCCCAATCATTTCCAGATGTCATTGTAATCCATTTACCCAACTCTTTTTTTTTTCCCTGTTCCTGAACTAAGATTGTTTTCAGGAAAAACATTGATTGTCCCGGTCTGTCTAACTGTAGGTAGTAAAAAAAAACAAAAAACAATTGTGATTGTTCTGTGGTACAACTGAATGAAACCTTTGTGAGATGAGTTAAATCAAGGATAATTCAGTACACCCACCGCAAATATCTTACTGGTCTTAGAGCAATAATTGGGTGTTTGAGAAATTGGTGGCAGTCCAAACAGCCAAATAATGAATCCCAATGATGGGCTCCTGAAGGAAAACACAGATATTAAAAACAGTATTTTTGGATTGAAAATATCACTCTTCCGTTTCGACTTTGGCTAATTATTATAATGATTCACAGTAAAAACCCTCGAAACCGTATTTTCTATTCCATAGTATAAGAGATGCTTTTCAGATTCACAGCTTGTTGTGACCTTTTCCCCCTTGGGGTAGTGGTTGTTCAGTGTTTGTGCAGACTAGTACACAAGTGTTTGAAAGTTCCTCATTTCTGTCATGAAAACTCTACACCAAATTTGCCGGGGGGCAAAATTCTCAGACTTCTCCCAGCAAGAGGAAGATCTCCGTCCCCGAGACTCGCACCACTGTCTGCTCAAATCAAAGGAAAAGAAAACAGATTCTTATGCAAGAGTATGTTGTTTTTTTTCCAGCGTAGCAAACTTGGCATTGTATCGTGACTCCTGTGTGCCGTTACACCCCTACAAGAGACGTATTGTGATAAATGCCCATCTCCTTTCTCTGTGTTGTGTTTTATGCTGCCAATTCGAACTTCCACTCGTGTTAAAATTTAATACAAGTAGTTTCATTTTGTCCTCACTTTATATTGCGATGAGCATGGGAGGGAGATGTTGAGATCTTTATGCTCCATGCATTTGATCTTTTATTTGTATATTTGATGTTAAATTGTATTGGAATCTTTCAATGTGTAAGTCTCTCCAAAAAAAAGATTGACAGGTTTTCTTTGTCTGGATAAACATATTTTTAAAATGATTTTATATTCAATTCACAACCTAGAATGGCCAGTCAAGTAACCGCAAGTAAAATATAGTCCATAATCCGAATATACGGAATCGAGCAAATCTTTCTGTAAGAAGTGGTTGTGCACGTTAGGAATCAGCTCATTTATTACTGCCGTTATCTACCACAAGGGACCAATACGCAGCCAATTTAAGAATTAAACTATGTGACGGGCCTTGTTGAGAGACAAAGTGGTTATAAAAAGCAGCTTGGTAATAAAGAATAGCAAAATTACAGTCACGACTGTGGTCGGAGAGTATAGGAAGTCATAATGGAGAACGCTAGGACACGTAGGCTGTAATTCTGTGAATGACTCAGACTGCAGTTGTCACAAGTTGTGTACGATGGTCTGTTAAAAGCACCGAGTGCTTCAAAAACAAATTCACAAACAACACTGTTTATCTGAAAAGGGCTGCCGCTGTCAATTTAAAATCCACACAAACACGAGCAGGTGAGCTATTAAGCCTCATTAATGCAACAGCGGAGCCGGTTCACTGGCAGCATGTTCCATAACTGGCTAAGTACTCTGCAGACAAAAGGCTTAAGTACCTCACTAATTTAACACTAATGAACTGACCTGTCTCAACCCCCCAAAAAACAGAATAAAAATTACAGGAAAAATAAATAAATCGGGTATAAGAGGCAGTTGTAACTTTGTGGCTTTGAGGAAGCAAAGGCGAGAAGTAGAGGATTATCCAAGAGCAGAAGGGATCAAAACTGGCAGAATTCTGAAAACGCAAAAGGGAAACATTCTGGAGTTTTCCATGCAAGGCTTCATGCTGCGAGGAGGGACACTGGGCTGGAACTCAAAGGGAACTGTACTAACTTGAATAACAGAAACCTCAAGGAACTTACAGTAAAAGTTAGTTGGACTATTTGTCGGTTGAAAGGCAATTGTAGGGTTTGAAGTCTTGTGAAGACGGGGATGCTTATATAGAGCAATACAATACAATAACCCTGCAATGCATACAACAATTGAGGATGTTAATGTGGTTGATTAATCTGGTCAATGCTAATTGTGTTGTATCAAACTCATTCCATAATATTCTCCTTGCGTTGAGGCAAACACAGAGGGGACAGTAAGGATTAGCTGTATGAAGCGGTACGATTTCCATCCTTCAGACACTTACTTAAAGAGAAATTGAATATCATAGGATTCACACAGGCTCTATGTACTGCAGAGGTATTGTACTCGATTGTAGTTCACCGCACAGGCGTTGCCATTATTGCATCCACCCCCACGCAAATACCACAGAGCACCTTTCCTTCTATTTGAGCTCTAGCTTTGCAGTGAACAGGGTACTCAAAAATACTTCAAACTTGAAATACAGAAACGTGCCCGTGGCTTAAATTGCTGTTGCAATGATAAATTGCAGCGAGGCCTGGAAAACATTAACAGTCACTGAGAAGTGTGCCCCTGTTTCATAATGCCAACTTTGTAACGCTGCTACGGCATCAAGCTCAACGTTGCATCGTGGGAATGTTATTATCCGCTCAGGTAGCCCGCACCTTGATTGTGAGGCAGAAGAATAAGAATGCAGATAGAGACATATATGGCCAGAGAAATACTGGGACACACACACACACACACACACACACACACACACACACACACACACACACACACACGTTGTGTTGTCTTAAGGATGCACAGCGCCTCCAAGTGGACTGAGCATGCCACTGCGGGCAGTGCACTCTAAACCTGCTGGATATCGTATCCTCTCATCCCGTCGCAGGGAAGGGTTTAGCTTACACAAAGGCTGAAAACAGCCAGTTCTTCTTAAGGGGGTTTATTGTTATTGTTGCTTCAAGCGTGACTTGCTTTTCAAAAAGAACTAAATTGGGCCCAATTACCCTGCATTTCTATTTCTACAGCATCTAATTCTGAGGTGGAACAGTTTCCCAGGCAAACTACAAACATTTTGTTCAAATACAAACAAAATCAATGATACATTGTTTGATGCCTCAGCTTGTTCATTGATATTGCATCAGGGTGAAACACAAAGGTATTAGAGATCATTTTGGACACAGCTTTTTTTTCTCCTGCTCATTGCAAGGAAATATCTAATCAGTGAACTCAGGGAATATGAGAAGGAGTGAGACACACAGAAGAAAAACCACAGAATGGGGGGGGCATGGAGAGATTAGTGCATTCAATTACAGTAAGTGGGCTCATTTCCTCTAATCAAATAGCTCAGTTAGAAATATCAAAAGGCCCACTCCCTTTACAGCTGATTTTCACACATCAGCAATCAGTCCCTCCAGTAGGTCGCTCTCCTCTCTTTCAGGTTCTACTTGTTTCCGCTTTACTCTCAACAACAAACCGTTCCATCTTTTACGGCAAGGAATGATACCATTCCCTTCTTCTCTGAACGGAGAACAGTACAACACTTAAAGATGTTGCTGTCCACGCTGCATATGCTCAGCGGAACTATACCGGGAGCAGTCAACATACCCTGAAGGTAATTGGACGTTTCTTTTAGAGCCGCAAAATTGCTGTGATTCCTTTCTCCACTGAAGTGTTGGACGTCGTTGCAGTGGCCTAAGGTGTGTGAGTGATGGCGCCACTGATGCAATAACACTCTCCAGTTACACTCACAGGACATACGCATCCTTATCGCAGACTCGTCGCCCTCTGGCAGATTCATTGCAGAAGAATAAAAGCAGCAATGGATTTGGACTTTGCATCTGTTCAATCACCCACTTCTTTGCGCAATCGTTTTAATTACGAGATGACGTGATATTACAATGTATTATTTAACAGCCTAGCGTCGACATGCTGTGAACTGAACTGAACTAATTATTACACAATCAGTAGAAGATTCTTCTTCTAGGACTGATTCAAATCTCTAATAACCGTGTAGGATTATTCCCCAATTATGTAATTCTGAAAAGATTTACACACACACAGATTTCCTGTTCCGCATTACTAAACCTTGAGGGGACGCAGACGAGGTTATTTGCTGGATAATTCACAGAAATAATCATGCTGTGTATTGTGTGTCACTCTCTTCTCCCATACACACACATACACACACACACCCTCACATCATTATATGGATAGAAATTCACCCACTGAAAGGTTGTCAGAAAAAGCCTATGCCGCTCATAGCCCCCTTCAGGATCTCATCTGCCCATCTATTATTCTCTGCTCTCTTTACCACCTCCGTCAACATCACATGGTAAAAGCAGTTAACAAACAGAGCTTATTATATCTCTTCTAATCCAGCTCATTTTAAGCTCTTTACACATGCCAGAGATCAGGTGCTGTGGTACAGGAATACAGAGAACCAAAGTGGAGGCCAGCGAGGCTATTAACATGCAGTCGGGGGACCAGGTCAGCGTTCTTAAAGAGAGAGAGAGAGAGAGGCCTTGGCATGAAACCGCCAGTGAGAGTCGGCAGAAAACCTCGGAGACTGTTTTGCTTTTCCTTTTCAGTCTTTGTTCTGCCTGTTTAATCCCTAATTGTAGAAGGAACGAGCAATTATTTTAAAAGCGGAACTGCTTACTGGACAAAATCACGCACAGCGAGTGTGTGCTGTGCTGAAAAGGCCTCTGGTGGTAACCGGGTCTACAAGCACAATATACATATGCGCCCTGTAGAGCTGCTAAACCTACTAAATGAATGAGTTTCCAAAGTTAACACTTTTACAAAGTTCAACTACTCTAAAAAGAGAAGAAGGATGGATGTGAGAATTGCATAATACTGCTAATACTAATACAGATATATATTTCTGTATGGATACAAATACCGTAATATCATATGTAATAAGATACTAGCTATACAGTGTGATTGAGGGAAATCTAGGTTTGGCTCCGAAAGCTAACAAAAGTAGGTTATATCTTTTGAAAATGGGTACCACAGGCCACCCTTGAGCTAATCGTTCTTATGCTTGATCTCTTGTCTGCAGTGGGAATACTTTATGCATACAGCACCTTAAAAACAACAGACCTTACAAACTACTTTTGTAAAGCAAAAACAGGATACAATGCAATGATACAACAGCAAGGCCAAACAAGCGCAAGAGGCACACTAAGGGATAAGATAAAAGACCAAACAATAAAAAATATATACAGATAAAGAGCAAAGCAAAAAAACAAAACCATAAACAGACAATAAAAAAAAAAATTAAAAAAAAACATCCCATAATGGGAGTCTCTAAAAAAGGTTTAAGTGATTTAAAATGTCCGCTGGCAGGTAATTCCAAAGCAAACAGACCCTGGGGCTTTTGGTAAGAGTGCTTACTTTCTTATTTCACATCAAAACATATCAACCGCCCAAAATTCAGCATTAATCTAAAACTTATCCAATCAATTAGTCCAGGAAGTGGCAAAACGTGGAACCAGTGGGGAACTAAGGAAAGATCGGATATGAGAACCACCATATTCACAGAGGTTATGATTTTCTTTTCTTTTTGAATCGTACACATTTTACGATCAATAAAAGTTGAAATCTAGGACTCACCATGCTGTTGAGCTCCGAATCCTCTGAATAGCCGTCACATGAACGTGCCCCAGGCCGCCCAAGGGGCTCCAGACCATCCTCGTCCCACATGTAGGTCCCACCAGAGCTGTTTGAAGGCGACAGCTCCACAGAGGAAGCCTGAAGGCTGTCACTCTGCTCTGAGGACAACACCAGTGGTCCCTGGGAGTCCTGCATAGGGCTGCTTTCTTCTTTATGGCCTGCGGAAGATACACAAATGCTGAGCTGAACAACTGACACAAATGGAACACACTACAATTTTCTTGCAAACTCTATTTTCTTTTTACCAGCCAAATCCATAGAGTCCCAGTCCAGGGTCTCAAGGAGAAAGCTGTGTAGGCGGGTCGGAGTTGTGCTGCCAATTTTTCTGTTATCGGGCAGGTCCCCGTCCATGAACACGTCCCCCACAAAGTCATCTAGAAACTCTTCACTGGTGTCGCCTAGGTCCAGGGATGAGGCAGAAGATAAGGACATGTCCTCCAGAGTCTCGCCTGCTGTCTGACCGGAGCTCTTCCTAAGACCACCGCTCCCTCCTCCTTTTCCTGCTCCGGAGCTTCCATCGCTGTCACTCTGCAAGTCGGATTTGTTGGCCTTGCCGGTCCGCTCCATGTCTATTGCTATCGCTAACAGCCCTGCAGATTTGGGGGCAGCCGAAGGGGCGGTATCCCCCTTGACCCGTCCAGGAAAAGGACTCTTCTGCTGCTCCTTGGCCTGCCCAGAACGAGCGAGCCTGAAGCCCAAAGCCCCCCCACTACCGCCCAGTGATTTGTTCAGGACACAACTAGGGAGCAGCGGCTTCCTCAAAGAGCTGGGAGTGTTGGGTGCCGGGGGGATCGAGAGGGTGGGCAGAGAGGAGGCAGCCGAAGGAGGTCTGTAGAGAAGTCCACCGAGTCCTCCACCAAGACCTCCTGAACCTCCAAGGCTCCCGTTCAGACCTCCTGAACCTGCAAGGCTGCCGTTCAGGCCTCCTGAACCTCCAAGGCTGCCGTTCAGGCCTGCGGGTCCTAGACTCAGTCTACCGTTGCTCAGCTGAGGGGGTTTGAGGTAGCTACTCCGGGGAGGCCGGAGCTGAGTGTTTGCCAGAGGTTTGGCAAGCTCCACGGCCCGGTTAAAGGAGAAGGACCGTGCTATAGGCTGGCTGCTGGGCGACGGAATCTGCTTAAAGTGAGTGAAGCTGTTTGACCGCACCATGTTGTCCTGGGCCGAGGTCTTCAGGCTATCACTGGAGTGGGACAGACTGTCTTGAGAGCTACTCCTGGGGGAGGTAGAGTCAAACCGTGGCCGCACAAGGCGGGACTCTGACCCTGATCGAGCAGGAATGCTGGAGCCGTTTTGGCTCATTTTAGGACCTCCGTTCAGTGGGCTTTGGCCTAGCTTGGCCCCGGCTTTGGGACTCATCTTCAAGGACTGCTTCGGGATGGCTTTGGGACTGGAGACGGCCACCATCAAAGCACCTGACCTCCGCATCTTGGGTGTCGCCGGAGAGTCATTTGTTGCCTCCTTTGCCAATGAGGGAAGCTTTGACTGAGCCTTTTCTTCAAGCCCATTTCCGGGGCTGGCCAGGTCGGTGGGGCTCGTCCCCTTATCTCTCTTCAATTTAAGGGAAAAGGGAGAAGCTCGGATTACACCATTCGGCCGTGTTCCTGGGAGAGAGGTCTTAGCATCCAGGGTCAGGGTGGCTGGCTGTGTGGAACCATTCGACAAAGGGCTAGCACCACCAGCTGAGGAGCGTCCACCAAACTTCGGCAGTCGAGATACCATGGCAGACTTGGTTGGTGCGTTTTCTTCCATTAGATGCCAACAAAGGCATGGAGGAGCATGAAATCACACTCAACTGGGGAAAGACAAAAGGGAGGATTAGAGTCTATGATTTGACTTGACACGAAAAGTTCCTTTGCAGGTCGAGTGAAAGAATAAAGTCGTTGTAAACACACATTAGTAAAAGCAGCCGGACATATTGTAAACATATGCACTTATCACTAATAGTTTTATAATAATCCCCCAAGATAAGCCGTAGTAATGCCAAGGCTTGTCCGGTCCACCTTCAGCAGCGGTTGCATGTGTCTGTCTCCTTTTCAAAGATCGCCGACTGTGAGGAGCATTAGGGATTAATCTGACAAGCTTACAGGGTTACTTGAGACTTTGTCACGGAAGGTCGTGATGCTTTCACTTGGTAATGTGAGAGGCATAATGGCCAATTCCATTCTGTCTTGACGCAGGTTGTACACATTTTAATTGCACATGACGAACAGGGTTTTTTTTCTGTACTTTTCAAAGTAGAGAGCAAAACTATGAAAAAAAATCCAGTGCAGGAAACTGACCACCAAGTGGCCACGTTGTGATTCGCCGGAAATCATGGAAGAAGAAGTCTCACATATGACCTGACCTTAGCCGGCGCATGATTTTGGGGGATGTGGCGCCAACGCGCCTGGCCAACAAAAGAATGGCCCAAGAGACGGGGCCCGGGGGGACCAGCATGCACAACCAGTGCTGGGAAGGAGGCCAGCAGTACGAACAGTAAATGGACGTACGACATGTGCAGCCAATAGAGGGGGAACACTGGCCCGTTTCCTTCATACTCCTGGTGAAATTCATTCAGTTCCAATCAGCCATGTGACAAGCGTACATGTGTTGGCGGTGCACCTGCGTGTTACATCCATCTGGCTATTGCTGGAAGATTATGAATAGGAAAAGTTGCTGAGATCCAGATGGCTGTGGCAGTTTGCAGAATGTGATCCATCTGCACAAGGGAGCAAAGCAGTTACTAAAAAGTGTCTGTAGACTTTTTCCCCCAGCGGAAAATTTGTTTTTGTTGCATTAAATGTTATTATTCACAAATGCTAATGGATGTTTTTAAGAACCGCTCGTCCACAGTAGATCAGGCATGTGAGTTAATCCTTTGAGCAAAAGAAATCCACCACATTTTTGGAAGGGTGGGGGAGGGGTGCTACTATGTGAGTCTCCTAATCTGAAAAAAAAAAACGCTGCCCCACATTCCCATGCACAAACACACGCGTCTACGATCAAAGAGAGACACTCGCAACGGCCATAGAGGTCTGGCTATGCCACCATTCTAATCCGCTTCATAAACACACAAAATCAGGTCAGCATGTGAGGGCACGACAACCAAAGCCTCTTTTGCCCCGGGGACAGAGGGGGCATGGAGGGGAGGTGGGGTATAGTATGTGTCTATGTGTGTTTAATGGGTTGCAATTTGATTCAGGTTTTTTTTTTTTGCTTTGAACGGCCCCACAACCTCTCAATTATCATTCACATCCAGCGTGGCGGATCCACGCGCTGCTGTGCCAAACGGGTTTTCATCTGGGTCATCAGCCACTGATGTCCTGCTGGGGGTTTTCTCCCATGTGTCCTTTAAGAAATCCTACAGCTTTAATTGTTTTCCCGTAATAGTTTTTTTTGTCATTTTTAAAAGACATTTAACTAAATAAAACAACTTATTTTAAATCAGTAAAACAGAATCTGACAACATTTCAGGAAGTGACTGGTTCTGTAACTGTGTACTACAAAGACACCTTATGGTAAACACGTGGCCCAGTTCCTATGCTCCTGTACAGATGCAAAGGGTAGCTCAGGAGGAGCACACACACACACACACAGACAACAACATTCAAACTGACTGACGCAGATTCAGAGGTAGAGCGGCAAAGCGAGCAGGCCATCTGTCAAACGCTTATACCCCCCCCCCCCTCCTCCAGGGGAGTGTACTGTAAATAAATATCCTAGAGCTTCACTAACATCCAGCAAACAGCTCACAATGAACCCACGTCTACCAGGGAGAACAATGAACCTTTTGTGCCCCCGCACGGCATATGGAACAAAACATGACATCTCTACAAATAAGTGTTATGTTTTTATAATATGAAGATTGATTATAAAAACATAACGAAAAAACAAATTGTGCACACTGCAAGGAGAGAAAGTCGTAGAGGACTCAGTGGTGTTAGGGATTGCCTCTGTTTCCAAAAGGGATGAAGGGCAGGGATCAACAACCACCATCACCTGGCGAGTGGATGCTTTTGCCTCGGTTTCCCTCCTCATCAAGGGAGACGGAGGATAGAGAAAATGACGGGAAGACAGCAGAAGGGGATGAAAAGGATTACAAAGGAAAGACGAATGTACAGGGATGCACATAGATACTGTTAGATGAAGTGGAGATACCGCGAGACAAGGCCTCGGGCGGGCTGCTCCCACCGAGAGATCACCCGCTGGACGTTTATATGATCATCTCAGCAGTGACTCCGAGTGTGAGATGAGCAGAAAGGCGAGACGACGTCTTTCTTCCTCTCCGTCGGACAGGGAGTGGGACCTTTCCGTCTGTCTGCCCCTGAGGTTTTTTGAACCTTTTCCGACTGAGAGGACGGCCACACAGAATGCACCTGACGCAGGAAAGTTGAAAAATGAGATTCTGCGAGAATAAGGACCTTTATTAGTCCCCGTGGCAAAGCTTTCACACACACATACGCGCTACAAAGATGCATTCTTCCAGAGCAACGGGATGGATGCAGATAGGATGTGACAGGTCGAGGGGCTATGATCTATTGGGTCATCGGGGCTTCGCGTGAATGGATCTGCTCTACTACACACAGAAAATCCCCCATTCTGCCGTGTTTCCCCAGAGCCCCATTTCCCGGTGCTCATAGTTCTCGATCATTACAAAGTCTCAGCACCTCTCAATAGCAGAACGTCAGGCCTCATCAGTCTTTTCACACGTAACTCCCCTTCATTCAATTTGGAAAGCTGAGAATTTCTTCCGACTTCCTTCAGACTGTGGAAACCCCGGAGTATGGGATGCTATGTATTGTGTATGTAACGAAAACAATTTTTCTTATGAAGAAAACATCAAAACAATAGTTTAAGTAATTTAGTAATTGAAAGTTTACATCAAGTGTGTTTTTGTTTGAGTGGTAACTGATAGAATCGCTGCTTGTAGCTGCAGAGGCTGGAAAAAAAACAAAACATAGCTTCAGCAAGAATTAGGAAGAGCAATTTCCTTTTTTAATATCCTGATATCTGAGCAATTCAAACCCTCGTAGCGGTTAACCCACATAATGAAGACGGCCATGCGTGGAGGGAAGGGAGGGGAGGATGCCTGGAGTGAGCGAGAAAAGATGAAGACTCTTCTGGCATCGTTTCATAAATAGTACAACTTCCTCCCTCCATGCCTCCAAAGCTCTGTTTATCACAGTAAATCTGTTCCTCATAGAGCCAAACAATAGTTCTATTACCCCCTCTCTGGAGAGCCTAGTTCATCATCCGGCTGGCTCCACACTTATACAGGATCGCCCAGACACACACACACACAAGCACTATTTGAGACGTCTCATACTCTTCTGTGAAGATCCAAGGGCTTGTTTTAACCAACCACAGTACAGATGCATTCTTTTGAAAGATAATTTCTAGACCTGATGATAGCTACTTCAAAGCCTCTGATCTGAGAATGAAGGAAGACTTTAAAACGAGAACTCGACAATCAAATACAGCCCAAATTACCAGCTCACCTCCTACTGAATCTAAACCAAAGTGCAGCTTCAATTCCATTCATTGACCGAGTCCAGTGTCCCAGTGGAGTGATAACCAGGCCCGTCATCTGGTCTGAGCAGTGGTGGGCCATAGCTGTGTCCCTGAAGAGATTAACAGAGTGCCATTAGAGCAGGCTAATAGAATGAGACAGGGAGGAAAGCAACACTGACGCTTTAGGCTAATGCGTATTGAGCGAAAGCGATACTGGGCCGGGCTGACCCCCGATGCTACGAGATGAAAACGGCACAGTGGGTTTGGCAATGCTGTGTACTGACTGGTGGTCAGTACGGCAGAGACCGGCACCGTGTTGTTGAGTGAGCAGTGGGAAGTGGAGGCCAGTTAAGGTGTGGCCAAAGGCTACATTAACAACTACAGTAGACGTACATAGACTCGTGATGCGCCGCGGAAAAGCAGATGACAAAACATTACCTGAAGTGAACTTATGGTGACTAGTCCAATCGCCTTGATCCTGCAGTCTAAGCTACACCCTTGTTTCCTCCATCACCTAAACTAAGAGCAAGGTAGCACCTAAAGGAAAGAGCTCAGGAACAGGGAGACACTCTTCAGTCTTCTGCCTGGCTCTGCAGGGCATGTGTGCCTACGCGTGTGTGTGTGTGTCTAACGTGACGTGTGTGAAATGGGTGTGTGGGTGGAGAGAACAGACCCTTTATGGGTGCGTTTAATATTTGATAGGGCATCTTTTAGGAGCCCCAGCCAGTGTGCTGCAACGGGGAGCGGAGAGGTGAGGAGAAATTGTAGTATTAGGGGAAAAAAAATACACTAAAAGAAGAAACACAACTAAGACTAATTGGCAGTACAAAAAGAGATTATCTGTAGGAAATAAAGCTAGTCAATTATCCACAACGTCTAAAGACAACCAACAAGTAGCTTTTCAGCAGTTTCAGTGTGCAGTGCAGCCGTGTAATGTCACGAGGATCGCAAGAGGCGATGATATAGCCAAGCCGGCCCTGCCCATCGCTCCTCACTCCAGCAAAGAGGAAATTGTTGTGGTTCTCATAAAGATTCGATGCCAGGATCAATTTGCCCCACTCATTTCATGGTTGACGGCGTGCTGGTTCCAATCATCCGACCACTTTCAGCAGAGTGCGAGCAGTAGAACAATACGATCACGGCCAGTTCCTCAATATCTCTCGTTTGTAAGTTTATGCGGTAAATCCCGCCAGGGAGTCCAATCTGATCCACATCAGCACCGACGAAGACAGAGGCAAAAACACTCCTACTAATACTTTGGCTTTACATTTGTTTCTTTGCTTCAGAAAGCGGTTAGAAAATGCATCTAATTGGTGTTACTGGAGCTAATGCTAGACTGAAATCATTTTCTACTAATTTACCTTTTGTGGTGCCGCATTTATTCAGGATATATGCACGGAATCGAGGTAGTGACAAAGAAAGTTGGGAAACAGAATGAGTCATGCTAGCAACTGGTCACGATGCATCCACCCTCATCATCCACCCTCATCATCCACCCTCATCATCCACCCTCCCGCATCCATAAGAATTAACACTCCTGAGGTGTGAGTCTGAGCAGAAGACGACATGCCAGGACTTGAAAGAATCAAATCATCTTCCCCGTCGGAGCGGCCCAGGGGCCTCATTTATAAACGTTGCATACGCACAAAAGAAGGCGTACGCCGCTCTCTACGCAATAATTGGTATTTATAAAAAGCAAACTTGACGGAAAAATGTGCGGTCCTTCACGCAAGCTCGGACCCATGCGTACGCACAAAAAACGGGTGAAATGAGAACCGTCGGCAAACGCAAGAAACACGCAAACGTGTGTAAAGTGTGTAAAACTAGACTGTTGTGTAAATGAAATGCCAATACTGCCTCTCAAAAATAACACGAACACCCGTTTGATCGATCTTCAGCGTAAAACAAACAAATACAAATTAACACATTTTCAAAAAGAAAGTGAAATATGTTCTGCAATAATATTGGCATGTTATGCAATTCATCCTCAAAACACTGCTGTTGCTTGTCAGAATTTAATCAAACGGACGGTAATAAAATGCCATGATGCCGTCACAATGCGTAATGACGCGTAATGTCTGATCTTGCGCTCTTAGAAGATGTGGCACATGGAAGGATTCGCGCTGTAGTGCAGCGCACCATCGGCCTGTTTAAGGGCAAATGGCGCTGCCTCGACTGCACTGGAGGGAGGTTATTGTTTACTCGTGCTGGCATGCGCTGTGCTACATAATGTGGCACAGCTTCCAAACGTGCCTCGACCCCCTGACGCCGATGTTGGCCCAGACCCTGTCCCCGATCCCCAATCCTTGCCACCAGTCTCTCATCAAGAGGGGACAGCTCCGGTGTCCCCCCCCCCCGGGGCAGACACACCTTGGCGATGGCGCGCTAAGCGCTTTTTTGCATCCACTTTCATGTCAGAGCATTTTTTCTTTATTTCGGCCGGTCCGAGGTTGTGAGGCTGCAGCGTTGCTCTGCAACCTTTTGCCACTCGAGTGTCTTTTTGGCATTAGTGGTGCTTACTGTCCCCTCCAAAAAGCATTTGACTTCTCCTTTCCACCTCCCAATGATCATTTCAACTTCACACTGAGTGAAGTTATGTTTCTTCGTTTTCCTCTCAGTGTTTGTCATGATTTCGCAATCGATGAATATTAATTTGTGGACGTTCCACAGACTATATATGGGCAACTATGAGCGTGACATGAAGCCGCAAAAGCTGCTCATTCTATCCTTCTGATTGTCAAGGTTGCCTTACACATGCTATTTACAAGCAAACAACCAAGATAACACAGAGAGCAGTAACAGGGTTCAAACTAACTGCGCGGAGAGACAAACCCGACGAACCCTTTAGTTCATGAATGTGTTAGTGAAGAGTTTTAGTCGGCACCCATTGATCTTCTGTCTGACGAGATATCGAATGTCCAATATTCACTGGTATTTAAGCCGCGCTACGATCTGCCTCCTAGCCCAACACTTCAAGTCTCTTTCTACATGTTCTTTTTTCTTTATCAATCACTCCGTTTTATTGGGGTTTCAAGCTGGACACGATGGCACAGAACGCTATTTTGATCTTGAGCACTGGGCTTATTAGTTCTAATGTGAATCAATATTGGTCTAGAGGTTCAGACCACGCAAGTACGTTGAAAATGGCTGAGCGCCGCATAGACCTTGAAAGCGTTGGTTCTCTGTGGGATCAGCAGTGAGAGCAGATGCTTCCTATTACCCAGGAGTCCATTGACTGAGTATAAATACAAGAATATTGCTTACTTTGGCCTGTAATCATAAAACCGTTGAAACTATCAAAAGGTTTTACGTAATCTAGATGGCATCCAACAAAGCCAAGTTGTCCCACTGGAAATCATCTCCAGTCATTTATCAAAAACAAACCAAAGCATAAAAACACTAAATGACGCATATTACTGAGTTTAAATGAAATGTCATGCTTTTAGATCATAAAAAAAAAAAAAAAAAAAAAGTACAAGCACATGTGACGGATTATGCACCCCAACCGGAGGCCATTAAGTGAAAAATAAATCCTTTATAAGCATATTTTCCTCACATGATTTTGCGAACAAAACCCGCGACCACACACACGGTCACTTGTACAGTTACGGCCAGCTCAGCGACCGCCTGCCTTCCCCCCCAAAGCTCCCTTTGATACCAGAACAATGACATCAACGGCTTTTCTTAACGCTGACATGTGACTCTGTCTGAAACATGTCCAGTTTATGCACCAGACTGTCCCGAGAGGTGAGGTAGGAGGCTTTCAGAGGTCAGATTTCAAATTCCTGGTGGATTCATCCATGAGTGGACAACACACCGCTACTTCTTCTCTGACCGACTTCCCTTTTTGCCTATGCCTCCTCCCATTCCACTCACCCCGTAGTGCTTATTTACAACAACACCCCGCCCCCCACCCCCCCATCTGGATCACTTTCTTAGCCAGCACATGTTTTCTTCACAACAGCTAGTGTACAGTCTGCCTTGAGGCCGTATCACACAAGGCCACGGTACGCGGTTAACATTCAGATGCCGTAGCTTTGAGCTCCCTTTTTCACAGGGATTAGATTACATTTAGTCAACTGATGAAACTGGAGGGGAAGCCATTTAAAATACAATAGAGGAACCTTCCTATTCACCTCAGAAGCCGTCCGGCGGTAGCGGCCAGATAAACCCTGCTGTGTGAATTGCTTCGAGCCCCAGAAAGGCTGTAGTGCACGGTGAAGTTTGTTATGGGTTCATGATAGCTGCTGCGGCTGAGCCTGCCATGCAAACAGAGCATTTGAATATCAACTGCCGGTCTGTGCAGGCCGCCTCGTAGACATTTGGGACAGACTTTCTGCCTTTGAGCATGACAAGAGCAATGAGTAATGGGTGTTTACCAAGACGGAAATGGAAATTTTGATAATGAGACAGGGGCAATGTGCCCAATAAAGCTGGAAGGAAAAATTTGTTCTGGGAACAAAACATCATGCCGAAGAAAACATCCATTTTAAATTTATACGGATCGCAGCGGCTCAGCTGGGATGAGAATGACTCAGCAGTGTTGTGCTTTCAGCTGAAACGTTGCTGAAAGCCTCTATCCCAAGGACATAAAGACTCTATTCCATATCACATGACTCCAAGTCTCAAAGGATTATTGCATGAGCCGTGAAGGTTTTAAGAGAACACCCCTCTGCCCTGGTACAGTGCTAAATGCTGAACATTACCTGAAGCTAAGGAGGAACTGCATGAAGACCAGGGACATACTTATTTCATCTGTCTCGTGCAAACATCTAGTGGGGCTAATCTGCGCAATCTGCACTGAGCATAGAAAAAAGTTCAAACATCACACAGAGTGACTGCCCACAATGGAAAATAATGACGACAACAGGAAATAAATGGAAATTTGAAAGTTGCGCTCAGGTAGACATCAGGCAGACATGGAAGTTTGCACAATGAGGCACAGAAGTCTGTGTACCCGTATCAGTAAATACACCTGTGTGGGTTAAAAGGATTCACATTATTATTATTCTCCAACAAAGCACGTGACTGTTAATGTCATTAGAAACATTTGCATTTTGAATCAAAGATTGTTACGTAAAACCAAAATAAACATCCACTTCACATTTAACATGAAGGTTCCACAAAAATGAAACACCTAAAGAAACGGCATGAGCCTTCACAAATAATTGAAATGATAACCGTAATTCACTATAAAAAGGACATGACAACATTCCCCCCCCTCCAGAAATGTTATGAATGAGCCCTAGATCTTATCAAAAGGGTCTTATTACATCTGTATTACATATGTAGGTATAGCCGAATGGTTTAGCAACTGCTCATTGTGTCTGAACAATACATGTCGTCATCGAGCCAATAATGACACATCTGCTGCTTCCACCCTGCATTGTGTTCCATCCTGCACGTCTGCTGTGCAAACACACTATCTTCAGCAAAAAAAGATCCAACTCTTTCCATATAGTGAAATAGTTCTGCTTTCTGTAGAAAGTCATATGCAAACTACACACTGATATAATGGAGGAGTGTACCATTGGGCCACTATCAAAATGTAAATAGGGAGATATTAAATGTAACACCCTCGCAAAAAGGTTTGAACAAAAAGGTTTAATATGCCAAAGCACCTAAACTCTACATGGGCAAAGGCTTAACAGAGTAAGACACATTACTTTTTTTTATCAAGCATGTCATCATCAAAAGCTTTTCTCCATTTGACATATTTACGATGTAGTTTGATTCAGCATTTCTCATCGCTGCCTTTAAAACTTCTAGCAGTAGCAACATCAATCACACAGTATTCCACAGACACATGAAAGTCGATTGTAAAGTAAAATTAATGAATGAAATAACATTCAAAGAGTACATTTATAATATACATATATTATAGAGAATTGTCCCCTGCCAATCCTTTTTTTATTATTCAAATGGAATTTCCCTGATCTCTGAAGGACTTCTTTTGCCCGAAGCTCCCTTCAATTACTTCTGACTCGGTCAGTGAATCTTGGATCCAATGTCTGCACTCTGATACACAGCGAGCTATTCCGCAGCCCATAAACATCTGTGGTCATGCCGAGGCAAGTGATAAGCGTGGCTAAGTATGGCTCTGATGATAGGCCACATACAGAGAGAGAGAGAGAGAGAGAGAGAGAGAGCGGGGAGGATCAGGGAAAAGTCAAATCAAGCACACCACAAACACATGTCAACATGCAAAAAAACTATATGCACAAAGCATTGACCCGAGTGCCCCGATCTCAGAGTGGGTTAAGTACCAAGTAGTCAGCTAGATCCCCTATTGATTTGGAACTATAGTCAGTAGGTTCAAGCACGTGCCAAAAAACCCTAGTGTTAGAATAAATTAAATATGAATTAAAATATTCACAATGCACACTAAACACTTACAACGTAAAGGATGCAAACAGCTTGAAAGGCCTCAGTCTATGATTTCCAGTATTGCCATTCAAATTACTTTTCTGTGTTGTACGTAGCCAATTTTAGCATCATGTCCACTTTGACATCTTATCTCTTGGCTTCAAGGTCACATTACAGTGTCTTGGAATGGCTACCATGTAAAGGGGTAATGGGTATAATGTGTATCTTCGCACTAAACACAGTCACACAGTCTGGGAAAACCCTCACACATTGAACGGCAATTTGGGAGGTCTTTAACTGACAAACAGGGTAGACATTCAGCTGTTGGGGTGGGGGAATTAGATTGTAAACACCCCCTCAGCCAAGGTGGCGCTTAAGGACCTCTATGCCAACAGGTGCCTGAGGAACACACACATGGATTTTGCTTGCGTGTGGGTGTGTGTGTTGAACACAACACCAGCCAAACACCCAGTAAACCCGGGGGTCTCACTCACACTGTCCCTCTCACTCACTCTACGGGCAATCAGTCATGCCGTATCCCAATTTATGCCACCACGGTGAAGTCATGGCGCTTTGCACCGTCTGGGCTGTAATAGATCTCAGCCTGAAATGGCAGACACACACACACACGGACGTTAGTTATAGGACTTGACTGACAGCAACTTCAGTTGTGGTATATACGAATATGAAAACCCCGGTTAAATTTGCACTCCTGTCTGGGTGGAGCACGAAAGCTTGAAACCCTAGAATACTGACGTGTGCACGAAGAGCGCACATCTTCCACCGGTGCGTTTACAAAAGATTAGAACCATAGAGCCAGAGGAAGAAGAAGTACTGCAATGCGTTACGTTTACGGTGTCAGTGTACACAATTGTTATACCATATATACAGATATGAATATAAGGCCTGGTCCATCATCGTACAGTAACTCTCAGGTCATGTTATGACTGTGTGTGTATGTGTGTGTGTGTGGGGGGGGTTGTGACGTTTGCAAACATGGCTTCTGTTCACTGAGAATTACTGTACAAAAGCACTTTCCTGTTGTAACATAGAAATACAGAGCTAACGTTTTACATCCTCAACACAATCATGGGAATGAGGGTTTATTACTACAAAATATATAAAAGGCAGTAAACATTGACCAGAGGATCAGTTTGATCGTTTTCTCCATACATGTCCCAGCATAAGTCAGCTGATTGCACTTACCCGAATCACAGCATGTTTACGGACGGCGGGTCGGCGAGCGGTCCACTTGTTGGTTCCGATGATCCGTCGTGACGTGGGAGACCAAAGCCGAGTGGTCGGTTCACTTTAAGCCGCCGGGTTCCCGGATGCGGTGCTAGCTAGCCCGGGGCAGTCATCGCACAACTTCAATGGAAGGCTTAAGCCTTTGGCTTCATGGACTAAAATCACGTCGATTTTCTGTTGATTTGTGTACACTTAAGACGGGTTAAACAAAATTGAACACGGCACGTGGGGAGTTCCTTGCATTCCCATGAAGTAACTTTCTAATTGAAGGTAAACAAAACAACAAAAAACAAATAGCCCGGAGCTAGTGTCACTGAGCCGTTGGTTCTAAAGTGCCCTGACGTCATCAACGAACAACTGATGATATAGTCCCGACAGGAAAAAAAGACTGTCCGTAAAGCGACGGGACGGCGTGAACTAACATGGAACTGATGTGAAGTCCTGAAACGCAACAGCCCGCGGTCTTGTTGGTGAAGTAACCACAAAGGCAGACCGACTTTCCGAAGCAGCGCTTCGCTGCTTTGACACCGTCCTCTCGCTCCCCGCTGGGCGGAGCGTGTGTGGATGCCGCGCGGGTCTCAAAGGTTGACACTGAAGGCACAACTCAACGTATTTTTTTTCTCCTACATCAGCGTCGCGTTGTTGTCCAGCGTCGCGTTTATTGCGGTTGGGTTAATAATTGAGTCTACGCGTCCTCGAAAAGTCAAATCCCCCGTATGCAAACTAGCTTGTAAACTCACAGCCTCGTCGGGAGCCGTCGTTGTGACGTCACAATATAAAGACGGAGCGCGTGCACCGACACCGCACCACAGCTGTCCGCAGTCATGACGACAGAGCACAGACGATGAAAGAAGTGGCGTTATTATATGAAAGACAGATCAAGTATACAGTGTAGAAAAACTCGAAACATAAAAGGTCGAAAAATGTCATGGTAAATTGAGGTAGAGCAAGATTAGGTCGAAAAATGTTTTGATTCAATAATATTAGTCAAAAAAATGTTTTGAAAAAAGGACTCTTGGACTTTTTGTTAGACGTAATATTTTTTTTACTTCTTCTGCCATTACATTTTGTAACCCAATATATTTGAATTTCTTTCAAAACATTTTTCCACTCAATATTTTAACCTTTTTTTACAAAACAGTTATAGACCTAGGTTTTTTTCACTTTTTTGCCATGACATTTTTTACCTATGACATTTGGACTTCTTTTTTAAAAACATTTTTAACCTACTATTATTTTTACTTTTCCCATGACATTTTTTAACCTGTTTAAGATGTTTTAACTCTTTTTAAAAACGTTTTCAACCAAATAATTTTTGACTTTTTTTGACGTTTTGATATTTTCAAAACGTTTTTTGACCTTTTTGAACCTAATATATTTAGACTGCACCTCATCTTTTCAACAAACATTTTTTGACAAAATATTTTTTGACTTTTTGCATAACATTTTTTGACCCAACAAACTTTTTACAATTCCTCCCAAATGTAATGTTTAGTGTTCCTTTCATACCTTGAGAGGAAAACTGACTTGGTTCATTTAAAATTCCTGCTGGGATTTTACCTGGAGGCTCACCGAAGTTGGGCCAGTCACACCATGTAAATGTCGTTGATCAACATAACCACTAGGTGGCAGCCTTTTCTATGTTATTGCCTTTGAACGTTTATATTTTCAGAAGTGTCCTTTCTCATTTCCTTTGAATTTGTATGTGTGTTTTTATGTCTGGGATATAAAATGTCTGGGTTATAAAATAGGGCTGAAATCTCAGGAACACAGAGCAAAAAAAAAAGAAGTGTGTGTGACCATATGGTCTCTCTGGCTTGTAAATCTTTCTATAGATCAGTGCCAAACACCCCATATTCCCAGAAAACCTCGCCCCCTGTCTCGACAAGCACCACTTTATGTACTTTTCCCGTAGCTGAGCAACATCCAACTGCAAAACATCTTCAAGTAACACTGACTTCAGATACCTGTGCACTCCCTCATCTGCAATAAACAAGGAGCCAATCCGAGGGAAGACAGAGAGTCGAGGAAAAGCAGAAGGGATGGGTTAGATATGGAAAAAATGTAAAAATAGATGGATCAAATGAAAAGAAAAAGGAACTTCTACCCCTGAGGGGGGCTCCACAACCTCACAGGAGCCGGTGAGGCAAAGAACAAAATATCCAGCAACAAGGAAAAAATGTAGAAGAACGCTAACAATGGAATAACAAGAGAAGAAAGGAGTGACGGAGATCCAGGTAACATGTTTTTTTTTTTCAAACAGCCGAGGGGATATAGAATAACTTGTTAAACTTTAATAACGTCCTCAACCTAATGTCCTCTCAGTGTAATTTTACCCTCTGTTTTCTTGAGACACAATGAGCTACATTGTTTCCTGCTACATTATCCGAACGACAGGAAATGGCCTAATAGTCTGTAAATGACACCACAAAAGAAAGATGAAAGAAATGCATCTGATAAAGGAGAATTATGGAGCATTATTAACTCAAATGTAAATGATACCGAGAAACAATCTAGTAAAGGTAGATTTAAGATGCTGCTGTAATAGATACCAGCATGTTATATCTTTCCTTCTCAGACTGGCATGAGTTCTACAGAGAAAGCAACCGCAGTGTCTGCTTGATTAGTGGGAATTAAGATGATGTTTTAATCCTGCAGGGATTTGTCAATTTCCTTTTGGAGCTTACTGGATGTTTCAACCATGAACTTGAGTTTGACCTTTGCCTCCTTTCTTTTCCTGAGTCTTCACTCTTGTACAGGTGAGTCAAACTATGTTTGGGGCTTCTGTCTAATTTTGCTTAATTTTGCATTACAAGCATTAAACTAGTGGCCACAAAGCTCGATATGATCTAAGATGGTTTCATGAGTAGATCACATGGGTATATTTAGTAAGAAATGATCTTTCCTCACCTGTTTGTTCTTCAAGTCATGAGGAATGTGAGAGGTGTTTAAATACCTCTCTTTTTAAAATGTGGCTCCAGTATTTTTGGATTTGGTGACGTGTGAAGGAAAGTGTATGTATTGACCATTTTCATTTCGGTTTCATTTAATGTATTTTCTTTCTTCATTTTCAGTAAACTGAATGCGAGACCTCAATGTTTTTTGGATTACTTAGATTAGATAATAAGCATCTTCTCCTGCGATGCATCACACACATGAAAACATTATTATTGTCATGTGGGGACACATTATTTTGGCTGATGATCCAAACTGCTACACAAGTTTCACTTTCACACTGCAAGTTGATTATTTCAGCTCTGCCTAGAACATGATAGGAAACCTGTGTGTGTGTGTGTGTGTGTGTGTGTGTGTGTGTGTGTGTGTGTGTGTGTGTGTGTGTGTGTGTGTGTGTGTGTGTGTGTGTGTGTGTGCGTGCGTGCGTGTGTGTGTGTGCGTGTAAGAGCCCGAGACCATATATCGGCAGAGAGGACCCAGGTGGGACTTTGATGTAGCGTACAGTGGATGAATGCCATTTTCTGCCAGCATATATCTATATAGACACAGTAAGGTCTGTATTTGTTCTTTTTCCAAAGTCCCAAAAATAGGATCATGGGCTGGTGCCAATATTTCATATAATTTCAGAAAAGCTTTGTGAGCTGCTGAAATGCCACAGTCCAGTGGGATCTTGGTGCCAGGGAGTTCTGGAAAATGGAGTACTCGTCCCCAAGTGCGTTTGTCCTCAGTCCTGTCCAAGGTGAACACATCAACACTTTCTGTATTCGACTGGAAAATGTATTCAGATGTATCGTTTTCTTCTGTATAAGACTTGCTTATTCGGTTTAATGAATCCAGCTCTGCGCCTCCTGAGAGGTTTTGTAGATAAGCGCTGGCTCATGTGAGCAGGCGGAGGGGCCCAGTGTGCAGTGCTTTGGGACATACCTGCAGAAATTAGTGTTCTCTACATAAAGACGCCTGCAGAAAGGGACGTCGTAGCAGACTGGCTCACACACAACCCTGTCTGCGTAAACACACACGCATAGTATTAGATATTACACACAGTGTCCACTGTGTACTGCAGCCTGCCCAAGTATCTTTGTTATTTATCTTGGTCGGCCCCAAAGGCTAAATGCACTGAAGTCGATTTTAACCATTTCCCATGTAGCCTCCTGGACTGGTTTCTGTTCCTGAGTCGTATGGGGGAGTCCAACACACCTGATACTCCGCCCCAGATCTGCCTTAGCCACGCCCACAAGACACAACTAGCACGGAACAAGTCGTGTTTTTCCTCCTTACCCCTTTAATTACTCAGTGTGGTCCACATCAATGAAATGTAATACTGAATACACTGTAGCTGGAAGAAGAATATGAGATCACTTTCACTCCCATTGTAACCAGACACGGAAAATGAAGTACTTCCTTTATACACTGTCATCGGAACTGCGCTTCATGCATTGTCCAGCAAAGAGATCAATGGTAACAACCTACAGTAAGTGTCAAGTTCTTGTGTTACTCGTGGTGTGGTCGTCCACAGAATCAGACAGGGGCTCAAGAACACTATTTATGAGAAGGATTTGGTCAATATTCACTAAATAATTCACAGAGGTGACTTAACATCCTTTCGCCAGCCACCTTGACGTCCATACCCTCCAATCAATTAAAAGAAAAGTTGTTCATAAATTTATATTATTATTATTTTAAACATTATAATAAACAAACATTTTTGCGGCACTTTATACATACTAGTTTATATTCTGGCTTCATTCAAGATTTTTTTCATTTACTCTTCCACGGAATGAACTTTCTATTTAAATGTGTTCAAACATGCATGAAATGACAACTATGCTGATGTTTAGCAGGAATGTTCCCTAGTTTAGGTTGTCGGCATGCTAACTTTTGCTCATTACCTGTAGGCCACAACGGTAATAAGAATGTCACAAATGTTGCAGGTATTTAGTCATGCAAGTTTGACCTAATGGCAGCATTGCACAAAAAGTACAATTTCATGGCAACGCACTCAGCTGCAGACCGACATTGCCCAGCAATGCATTCCTATTTATTGTCTTTCCCTGTAAATTCTAATAAGCACTGCGAACAATGATAGATTACACAACTTGTTTCCACTATCACTTTTTATCTCTCTTGTTTTATTTCTTCAGCCCTACCTTACCCTATTGGATAAGAACAAGCTGAGCCACAGGGACCTGAGGAAGCTGTGATACAAAATGATGCCACCGGAGCACCGGGCTTCATCAATCTCTCAGTCAGTCCCACCTGCAAGCCTCCAAGGAAATTAGCTTTTGAACAAACAAGTGACTTCTTTTTTTTTTAGATGATTAGCTCAGCTGGCTAAACTTTGAATTCATTAAATGTAGGCATGTTTTTTTTCCTAAAAAGTGAGAAGCGCATAACACTCACATAATTCAACTAATGAACTCACTTGTGTTGCATGTGTTTTCAGGAAACCAACCGCATGGAAGAAAAAAAGCAGTGATTACATGGCCTGTTGGATAAGTAGTTGAAATGATGATCCTATACCATAAGGGGACTGAGTAGTCAATAATGTTTGGGCAGTGCTGCTCACACTAAGGTTCACAATGTGAACCTTCTGTCTCTTGCAATATGTTACTTCACTGCTAATTACTGAAACACCGAGGGTTAAAAGTGTCACACGACGATGCTTTTCGCCCCCGCTCTGTGACCAAGTTGCACCTCCCACCATGCTGTTCTCTCTGCACGCCATCTATCTATCCATCCATTCATCGTCCATGCCAACACCCGCTTCCTGTGTCCTCCTCCCCTCCGGTCTCACGACCGCACCATCGCTCCATCATCTTACTCCTCCTCCACGTTGGAGCGCTTGTTTCCCCCTTCAGTGCTTCCTACTCTCATCTTCAAATAGACTTATCCTCGGCCTCCTTTCCTGTCGATCCTTTCTTCATTTCCACTCGTTCTTTCCATCTCTCCCCATTCTTCATCCTCCACTCTCCCAACCCCCTTTTTCCCTGCCAGTCTGCAGTGACAGGTTTTGTGGGAGTAGGACTGGCTGTGTCAATGTCAAGCCATTCCCAGCAATGATAATGTTTATTACCCACTGTGTCTCCCGCTGCCCATGGATTAACACAGATTGAAGCAGTACCCTTCAGAGATAACATTGCAGGGTGAACGGAAAGACAATGGCTGTCTAGCTAGCCCCGGTACCGTTGTTTTCATACACTTTACACCGTCTCCATGTGCATCTCTGGTTGTGTAATTGTGTAACATGTGCATGGGTTGATAAGAGCTTGAATGCATCCCATGTCATGAGGTCACCATGTGTTATGCAGTGCTGTGTTTGCAGCTCATGTAACCATAATGGGAACAGGAAGGTGACCCTGCGAGAGCGGACAACCTGTCTGGTGGATCAATTTATGTCAGTCATAACTTCTTCCTAATGTTACCTTTATTTCTCATGGTGAGAAATGAAGCTGCCCTTTTTCACTGTATTGGTTTTACAAATTAAAAGCAGCCCACCGAATGTTAAACAAGACGAGATACTTCATGATATACTGTCCAAATTCTACTCTTTAATTGAGGTTAAAATCATGAACCTTCGGCTTCAAAATAATTATTTCCTGTAGGTTGATGACACATCCTCACAACATTTTTTCTACCATCATCTCTACCAAATTGTTATTATTTGTTATTTTGTTTGTTTTATTGACAGCAATGGGATTAAGCTCCTGCAAGCTGTGTCCTACAATCAGACGAAGATACCTCTAACGTGAAAAAAAGGCAATGAACTAACTCCTTTCTGCATGTCTGCTGAACTGTAAAGAACTGGCTGGAGACAACATCTCCACAATTTAATAGCCACTGGCTGGCCTCTCTACACACTCCCATCTGTTTCACGCCAGTGTTGCAGCTCATAACGTTGTGATTTATGACCACGTCAAATTTGAAAGTGTTTGGCTTGTCTGCGCATTCGTACGTGCACGTGCTGACCGCCAACCTCGTTAATTACATCAGCTGACATTTGTATATTGTCTATTGTAAAAGAGCAGAGACGATCGTCAATGACGAGTAAAAAAAAAATGACACGGCCTGCAACTATGAGGGACGACGACAGCAGCGCGGACGGACAGCGGGATGTTCCCTGAATGACAGACTAGATGGGGGGAAACATCCGCTTCGTACGGGATGACGTGACCAGAGAGGAGACAAAGGGATCATGACGGGGAGAAGTGGTGGAAAGAGTCATAATGCACTAGAAGAGAGAGGGGAAGGGGGGAGGAGGGGAGACAAAGTGACCGAAGGAAGGAAGGAGAGAGAGAGAGAGAGAAGTATAAAAGGTCTCAGAAAGATGGAAGGAGGTAATGCATCGTAAATGGCATTGGAGTGTAATGCATAAAAAATGGATCAGAAATGAGGGAAAGACTGAGAACGGAGGAGTGAGAGGAAGGTGGGGGGAGGGGGGCGGGGGGGCTGAGAAAGCGGGAGGAACTGAGGAGAAGAAGAGCTGCAAGAAAAAAAGGGTTTGATGCTGCAAAAACTTTCCTTTAGTCAACTCTGTAAATAGCATTGCTGAGCATGATGCAGATAAAACACTTGACCTCTGTGAGGCTAAAAACAAAAAACAAGCACCCCGGGATCGACTGACTTTCTGTTCATACGAACCGTCTAGAGTACCTGCTGCTCAAGCTCTTGTTGCATCTTGTCTGTTTTCCTCGGTTCCGTGTGTGAATGTGTTTTACTTGTGTTGGTGCTGCGAGATCCATCATTAGGAGGATGTGCTGGCGGTGGTTCCTTTGGTGTGCCTGGTTTATCTGGACTAATTAGCCTCCGCATTTACCACGCCTGAAGGAGAGGGAGACATTGGAAAAGAAGATGAAGAGAAGGGGTGGAGGGGGTGGCGGAGGGATTTTAGCAGATGTAGATCAAGTGCAGACGCGACGCAAACGAGGGCCGGGGACGAGCGCTCGCTCTGCATGTCGTGCAGAAAGAAAGTGCATCATCATGAATATAAAAACAAGATGTTTTCATTTCATAAAATGAGATTTTTCACTCCGACACTGTTGATGAAGTGGGGAATGCACCGCTGGAGGGCTGCGGTTCGTCTCGGCACGCGGGGGGAAGACAAGTCGAGAAAGAACGTACGCGGGAGAGATTAACTGTACTGAACTGAAGCTGGAGCTTTGTCTGCTAAAGAGTGACCGGTCCGTGCCCCCCGTTGCCTCCTCCAGCTACCTCCTTTATCCCCCCCAAAAGAAATAAATAAAATGGCCTTTTGGGGGCCACCCCTGGAGGTCCTGGATAGCCTACACACCACCTCCTTCTCCTTTCTTTGTGTGTCTTAACAACCCCCCCCCCCCCCCCCCCCACCACCACAACCCAGCCCCATTACCTCTGGACCACCATGACCTTCTACCCCCCCCCCCATCCAAACACAGAGAGTGGTAGATTGATCCATCCAATGCAAGGCCTTCCTGTCTCCCCCCCACACACACACAGTTCACTTACCGTCCTCCCGTGTCACACCTCATTTGGACATTAGAGCAGAGACGTATCTGTGTGCCACCCACCTCTTTAACCTTGTTCTCTCCCCTCCTCCTCCTCCTCCTCCCTCCTCTTGGTGCTGATCACAGATCTGATCTGTGATGGCTGCCTTGCATCATTCACTCTCTCACTCTCTCTCTCTCAAGGGACATTGACAGCGCAGGAGGAGCAGATGGGCGGCTGCTGGTGACATGTTGTTAAAAATAAGGATTCCTGTTAACCCGTTGTCAGCTAGCACCCCCCCCCCCCCCCCCATCCTCTCTCATCTCACTGTCAATTTCTCATTATCACTTCCTCCCACTGTCAGTTCCCTCTTCTCTCTGTGCTTGTACACCACTGTCCATGTAGGCCATTACTCAGTCCTAGAGTCAGCTGTCTGTTTCATCTAAAGCCCACAGCTAGGAAGCCCCTGACCCCACCGAACATGATATTTAATACACCGTTGTCACAAGGACGCCCGCGCTTGCATTATGCATGGCTGGTAAGCAGACATCCATAATAGATGAAAAGGACAGTTTTGCAGTTTCTTTTCATGCAATTACGCCAAATGAAATTTTAACTCTCACTTTCTGTCGCTCTCTCCGCGCGAATGGAGTTTGTCCAGCGACTCCATTTTGATCAATTATTTAAACGGAGGGGAGCCGTGCGGATCAAGAGAGATATGCAGGCCGGCCCCGATGGAAAGCAGGGAAACGCGTGAGAGTCACCCGAGCTCATGCGTGGAGTCCAGGTCCCACAGATGCCCGACAGATGTCCAAAGTCTGACGACAACGTGTTTCTCGAATCACAGGGAAAAAAACCGCTGCACTTGCGTAGTAATCTCTTTAAGGTTAATCACCATCCAATCTTCAAAAGGCAGCCGCCATATCGTTCTCTGCCAGATTGCCGAATTTCAGGACTACTTAAGGACTGCAAAGGGGGCCAGCTAACGGAGGGGGATACTGACTGGTGGCTTTGAAAGAGAGTCCAGCAAAAGGTCCTTAAAAAATAATATATATATATATCAGTTGTGATACAGTTATTAATAGCACTCGTGAGGCCACAATTATTTTCTTCTTCTTTGAAGTAATGTTTAGGACTGAGAAAAGAGAGGAAGGGAGCAGGGGGGGGGGGGGTTATCCGATGTTAACCTCCGGTCAGACAATATTCCCTCAGGGTGGAGTGGGTCCCATTCAGAGCGACCTCAATAGCCCGGCACTGAAGTACCTGGTGAATGAGTGAGAAAAGGCCCCGTCCCACGACAGGAGAGGGGGGGGGAGTTAGCGCACAATGTGGCGAGCCTCTTTCTATTTTCCTAATGATATTGATTAAAGAGAGAGAGAGAGAGAGAGAGAGAGAGAGAGAGAGAGGCGTTCATGAGGCTCGCCATTATGTGGAGATGATGAGGGCTGGTGGGGTTGAAGAGCATCTGATGTGAACGCTCCCAATCCTCTGAGATTTAGGGCTCGGCCTACAGGCGAAGGACCTCGAGCCTTCAATTCGGACGTGCACATCCAGACTTGATAGGTTACAAAGTGCATGAATAATAGTTGATGATTATGTGTTCTAGTTTAGATCATTTAGATGTGTAAATATAGCATTTTGCTATATGTACTGTATGTAGTTTACTTTTTTAAACCTCGAACATCTGAGCCCTAAATGTGTTAAAAAGTACACGCACCCTACACTACAAATCCCAAAGAGATGTTGCTCACAATTGACAACGAATACTAGAACCACTACACAAAATGATAAAAGATGAGTGATCAAATCCTTAGCAGACAACAATGTGTGATGATGTTTGTGCCACAATATTAAGGGTAAACATGCTTTAGGTAGCACAGTTAAAAATGTGTTGCTCAAGTTCAATTTGACTCTTTTCATTTCCCTTTTTGTTCGTGCACCTTTTTAATTGACGCACAAGGGATATTTGCATTAATCCATTCAGCCTCTGATTGTCCTTCTACTGGCAGGCGGTCTATGAGCAGCCGATTGAAACACTCGATAAGGGCCCAAGGACAGTGTAACCTCTAACATGCTGTCTGCGGCCCTCTCCTGCAGAACTTATCAGATGGGCCAGAGAACGGTTAATGTGCGCTATTCAACTTTTACACCACCTCTCTGTTCCCCAATGCTGCTCCTGGCAACCCTCTTTATTGCTCACTCTCTCTCTCTCTCTCTCTCTCTCTCTCTCTTTCTCCCTTTCGTTCTCTCTCTCTCATCAGCACCCCCCCATTCAGCGACCTCACCACCAGCCCCCTCACTCTCAGATTGCACATACTGATACAAAAACACACACACACACAATCCCGCATGAACCCATTTGAATAGCTAGTGAGCTCCGGTAAAAAGAGGGAACAAGTGAAAAGAAAAGAAAGTGATGGAAGGAAAAGCAGAAGAGAGGGACACAGAATCCACTGACCGGACGACATTCACAGTGTTTTAGCAGGACAAGCGTTCCACGTGTGAAGGACTAGACGGAGACTAGGGGAGGGGAGGGAAGGGGTTCTGGAGCCTTGCACCTCACCCCCCGAGTTGGGACGGCCCCAGAGGGACACCTGAGCCCTGAAGAGACACCTCCTGAGGGGAGTGGGAGGGAGTGAGCAGCACCCTGTGGGAGAGGGAGTCAGAGGAACACACAACAGCAACCTGCTGTCGCTCCTCCTCTCCTCGCAACCCCGACTCTCATCCCCTTCTCCTCCTCCTCCTCCTCCTCTATCCTCGCTCCCTCTCTCATTTGATCCCATCCCTCACTTCCAGCGCAGGAGAGGGAGAGCGTGCACTGAGAGAAGGTAGGGAGGCTTTCATGTCGTTGTCTTTGCAGAGCATGTGCGTGTTTGTGTGTGTTTGTGTGTGTGTAGGCTTGTGTGTCTCATGTTTCGACTGGATATTTAAGTCAGCAACTTGTTCTTTGAAGCCGTTCTTTGCATGTGGAGGTTTAAAAAAGGAAAAAGCTGAGACAGATGCGGCACTTTTCATTTGTTGCAGGAATGTTTTCCATCTTGACGGCATGTTTTTTTAAGGTTGTGCTCATCTGTTGTGTGTGTATTATGTGTCTGTCTTTGCTCTCTTGTTTACCAATAACTCTCTTGCCATTTGAAAGTAAAAGCGTGACTGTGGAGAAGGTCAATGATGACGGGCAAAGAGCAGTCATAAAGTATGTATTGAGAAAGAGCATGATGCTGTGTAGCAAAGAGGCGCAGGCACAAAGGGACAATGAAAGTGAGCTGGACAGACAAGAGAAGGGTTAACTTATTCTAATGGCAATGGTAGAAAATCAGCCGTAAAATCCTATCAAGTTCCATTGTCACCGCATTTTGCCCCCCCCCCCCCCCCCCCCCCTCCCCCCACCCCGTCAACTCCCCATCATGAACCACAGCCCGGTCTTTTGCTCGTAGTAGTTTCCCCCTCCTCCCCCCATGCCATTTAATCGTTCCCTGCTCACAGATATCGAAAGGCAGAGTGGGGGAATACAATGTGCAGACAGATAGCACACAGCACCCGACCCGTACCTCTGGAACTGAGCCTGCATCAACTTCTGCATGGGGGGGATGGGGAGGAAAGCAGAAGGACAGAGAAAAAAAAAACAGAGCTTTGAAATATCTTTCATTAAAACCCAAAGAGTAGTTCTGCAGTAGGTCGACAGCCTGCGATAAACATAATGGGAGGAAGAAACTCTTCTAAAAGAGGAAGAAAAAACAAGCGCGTGAGTGAGCGGGACCATCAGAGCCATGAGCTCCTGTGTTTAAAGGGGAGTGTGTATTTATTTATAGAGGGCGGTGGTTAAGTTCACTCAGCTCCCTCTCTCTGTGAGCCTTTTTTGCCTTATGAAAATTCTATCTGCCATAATTTGCTGAGGAGCCGTATGCATATTTCATCAGCGGGCGCGTTTTTGAAGAAACGAGCCCGAGAGCCGAGCTCTTTTTTTATTTTTTATTTTTTTCTCTCCATCTTTATGGAGACTGAACGAGTGTGTGTGAGAGCTGGTGCAGCCGTCTGGTAAAATGTGACACGCTAGAGACGTTTGACACCAATAAGACTTCACGTGTTTGGCTAAAACACCATAACAAATGAATTTCCGACCTCGTTGCACGGCAATGGGCCCCTCCTCCTCTCATTCCAATCTTCAGTTGCACTTTCTCCTCTTTTCCTCCCTCCGTCTCACTCCCTCCAATTACTGTTCCAACATCCTCCTCTCCTTGCTCTCCGTTTCCTCAGCCTCCACTTCCTCCCCCCCCCCCTTTCCATCCGCCTTTCTCCCGCTGCACGTCTCTTCCGATAAAGCTTCATGGGGTCGTTCACTCGCTCCCGCTCTTCCTTTGCGAGGATATGAGCAGGCGCCTCTGTGTGACTTTGTAGCCGTGCAACGGTTTGGGACGCGTCCCGAGGCCCCCCGAAAGACTCAGATGTACCTTCTGTAGCCGCCTCCCCTGGTTTCCTCTGTGATTGTCATCTGATCCACACGGCACAGCACTGACACAACACACCTTGTTAGAGCAAGGCGGGGAGTGTGTTGGGAAGACTCGGTGACTTTGAACAAATGTGTTTTCTTCTTGGGGGGGGGGGGGGGGGGCGGTTAGACCTGTAATCATCCTATCTGCTATCACTAAATCACTGCCACCCACACGATCGCACACCCGTATGGAAATGTGTACACAGGAAAAGAGGGCAGGAGGAAGAGAAACACTTAAAGAGTGTGAAATGAATCGAATGAAAAGACGGAATAGATGCAGACGCAGAGGAGAGTCGGATGCAAGCCCTTGTTAGGCGCTTCATGCTGATTGGATCTGACTGCATCCGAGCACCTCCAGGTGGTGTTTGCGTAGCTCGCTCCACATCAGCGTGGCGTCACTTTTCTTCTGATGAAATGACTGCTGAGCCCCGCCATGGGAGATATTTAGAAAACCAAAAATAGGAAACGTTGATGTAAAGGGAATGACTTTAGAGTGATTATAAACCCGCTTGTGTACAAAGTTGTTGAACTTCGCTTCACACACACAGACACATCCAAGAGTAATCTAAGATGGCAATTCCTATTCCTCTGCATGAATAATTCTGTCTGAATAGGATAAAATGTTTCTTCATATCAATGAATCATCAGCCGCCGCTTCAGATCTTTAGTGTCTGAGTAGTAGACATTTTAGTGTGTGTGTGTGTGGGGGGGGGGGGGGGGGTGCAGATGGGCCTGATTGATGTCTTTGACCTTTCCACCACGTGTTCCCGCAGCCGGGGAGCTACCCGAGACGTGGTGACTGAGGAAAGTCAAAGACACGCAGCTTGAACCAGCGATGGCCCACGCGTCCCTGTCCTGGTGCCTCGGTGCGGCTTTGGCTCTGTTTTGTGGCTCTCCGTGGCCCCCGGCGCACTCCGCCCTGGCGCCTGAGAACGAGGTGCCACTCCGCCCCACCACGTGGGTCCCAGAAGGAAAGATCACCTCTGTTATTCTCCCCAAAGGACGAACCCGCAGGTAGGTTAACAGACGGGAAGGAGGAGACGTACAATGCACAACGAAGCCAAGGAGAGTGGGGGGGGGGGGTCTAGTCTAGTTGGATATTCCCAAGTTACCACTGGGTAGCTTGGGAATATCTTCTCTGGAACAAACACATCCTAATACATCATAGTTTATTTGTCAAACTTTGTTAAACTCGTTTATCTTGAATAATGAATCAGAATCTGCAAAGTAAGGAATTAAAACACATTTCAGTCTGAAACTGTACATGGTGGAGTCAACATGTAAGACACCATAAAGTACCTCAAAACAGTATTTAATTACACCACTCGATGTACTATCCACAGCTCGCTGTGTCTGCAGCCGACACTAAATGAATACATCTTGAGGCCACCTCATCAGTTTTGCCCTTCAATAACAAATCCTCAGCCATCCACCGACCTTTTTGGAGACGGTGGCTGATTCCAGCACCGCTGTCGCGAGCGGGAGAGGAAGTGGAGCCCATTTGGCCTGAACCCCACGCAGCAGTGCCAGTGCCTGCTCTCTAAGACTGGGATTCAAACACTGCGAAATCCCCCTGTGTGCTGCAGTCTGTCCACCTGTGCAGTCGTGCGGAACCACGCGGCAAAAAACAATAATATGGAAAGTAATAACTCTATTGAATAAGCTGCAGAGCGCCCTTGAGAGTGACAGGGCCGGACATCTGTTTGGAAACCGCCGCCATCTGCGCAGAATCATAGTTAATGATTTTTGGAAGGGCGAACAACTTATGTTTACATGCAAATAGCCGCACGTTTGCTTATGTTCATGGCTAACTAGCTGTGAAGAAATTACATAACTTCTTATTCGGGCTTCCTTCTAAAGGAGAACAGTTCAACTTTCACTCGTGAATCAACAACAGATTGTTATATATATATTACATCAAAAACAAGAGCAGACCATCGCGGCATGAGAGGTAAATGTCCTTTAACTGCCATCTAAAATGCAAATCTGTAATCCCACGTGGAATAACATCTGATCACATTGACGGATTCAGTAGTTTCCATGCAAAGCACGATCCCAGACAGTTAAAGCAAACCTGCAGATATCCATCTGCAACCGTCAAAGCGGCCTTATCGTCTGATTCCCAGGTGACCTCTCTTGATCTGCTGAATGACAGATCGCCACATAAGCGCGTAGACGAGTGGAGAAGCCGCCACGTTGCAAATCATCCATCAAAATGGAGAGAATATGTCCCAGCGTGCACTGGAAGAAAGCGCGTCTTCTCATCCAATCGAAACGGGATGTTATCTTTGCAGCTTTACCTGTGATAAATCGGACCACTTCTTTGCGTCTGTCTTTGGTGTTTCTCCGAAGGCTCTACTTCACGCTGAAGAAGAAGGCTCCGGCCATGTCGGTGACTGTCAGCCCATGTGACCTCCCCATCGAATGGAGCTTGGCGGCGCGCACCCTGAAGGACAAACCCCTCAAGAGCCTGCAGTGTGAGTGAACAGTAAGAACACAGCCGGCACCTGCAGACACCCGCTTCACCCGGGAACATCAGCACCCAGTCTGGACCTGTGCTTTGCAAACCAACCGGATTAATCAAATAAACTCAAGATATTAATACGTTGTATAGAGCAAGATGATTATAGAAAAGTTTTAAACCAAAGTCAAATTGCTCAAAATAAATGCAAGTAAGCCAATATTTAAGCTGCATAGGTGCAGATTTCTGGAAAAGAAAATATACCTCACAGTATTCCATGAACACTTTTTCTAGGTTATGTAAAACACCTGTAGTTGGTAAAACAACATTATGAAATTGAAAAAATGACAAATGAATCGTTCAGACCCCCAACCTGAATTATTCACTTTGATTCTGTAACATTTGGTCTCATATGAGAAGCAATTGTTGACCGTTTTTCAGGCTTGTTTGCGTCATTGAAGCGAAGAGCGCGTGCTTGAAAATGACAATGACTTTAGGTATGAATGGAAAAACTTCGCATCCATTTGTGAAGTGGCCCTTGATATTGTGTTTATGTATTTGTTTATTCGTTTGGAGCTGTTGTGATTTTCCTAATTTGAGCCGCGTTCGCTGTACTCTGTTTGTTTTATTCTTGTTTTATTTCATTGGCAGCACTTAATGTGCCGCTCAACCCCCAGGTCCAGGTCAAAAGGTGAAATACAGTGTGTGCTTGTACAAAGGTTTAACTGTGTTCACACACTAGGAAACAGAGCAGAGAGAATGTATTACGCTCTTTGTCTGTCCCGTTACGTTTGCTGCTCACTGAAACGCAGTCCTTTCTCCTACTTTATTCTAAACTGCTGCTATATTTGGCTTTCAAAGTCCCCTCTTCACGAGAAGCCCGGTGAAGGTCAAACATGCAACCCAAGCGGCGATTATCTCACAACTTATATGTGGAGAGATGTGTTTTCACTTCATCTTTTTCCTCCTCTCAGGGAGCACCAAAAAGAGCACGCCTGAGGTGTGGTGGCGAGGTCCTGGGACTGAGGAGAAAATGCACGGCTTCACGGGCAATGCAGTTAACACCTACAAGGGTCCTTCCCATCCCCAGGCCACCATCTACATCCTGAGGCTGCGCGCCAAGCAGCAGAACACCAGAGCTACAGTGTACCTCCACGAAGGCCGAGGGCACTCGGGCGCCTTCCCCCTCCTCCCGGCTGACCCCCGAGTTCACACAGTGGGTGTGGGCATGACCAGCGTCAGCCTCAGCTGGGCACCCAGCGCCTCCCTAACCGGCCTGCCCGAGACGCAGAAAAGCTACGGCTACTGTGTCCTGGCCAACTCTCAGCGGAACCACCCGAGTCTCTGTGCCGCTCAAGTGAGCGCGGGGAAAAAGAAAGAACAGAAGCGAGAAAAACATAAGGAGGACAGGAGGAGGGTCGCTGCCTGGCCGATTCTGAAGGAGTGGTGGTGGCAGCAGTGGGACTCTGATCCTGAACCCCAGAGTCCACCTTCCTCGCCCGCGGACGAATATCCTGGCATCCAGTGTGCGTGTCAGGGGACAGAGAGCGTCTGCACCGTCTCGGAGCTGCTGCCCGACACCCGGTATTACTTTGACGTCTTTGTGATGGACAGGCTCAATGGGACCAGCGCGGCGTACGAGGGGACGTTTGCCCGAACGCACGAGGAGGCCCAGGCGGCTGTCGTCGCTCTGAGGGAGGGGGAGCTGAGGTGGGTGACGTTCGGCGACGGAGGCCCCGGCTCGGAGCAGTTCTTCAGTTTCCGACCGCGGGGCTGGCAGCAGCAGAGTGGCCTCCTCACCTTGCAGAGCTGCGGTGGAGGCGAAAAGGTCACGGTCACGGTGTCCGGTGAAGGTCAGGTTTTGACCTCGCAGGCCGTCGGGGGAGATTTAGTGCACATTTGGCTCCAGGGAAGCACGTCCTATCTCGTCCGCTTGGAGAGAGAAGGAAGTACCGCAAACCCAGTTCTACCGGGAGGTCCGACGGCCTCGGTCAAAATCCAGGCCTCCTCCGCGTACCACCGCACGGAGGTCCCATCGCTGCCCTCCACATTGCAGATAAAGTCCTTCAACCGGTTGCGGGGCTGCAACACCGTCACCCTGGCGTGGATGGGCACAGAAGAAAGAAGTCTGTACTGCGTGTACCGCAGAGCGCTGGGAGAGCGTGAAGCTGAGGCGGGGGGAGCATCGGCCCTGACGGCGCCCTGCCTGGGACCGGAGTCCCGCTCTGACACCGAGCGGGTTCTCTGCAAGTACTTCCAGGAGCTAAATCCTCGGCGGGCCGTCACTACAGCTGTGATCGGGGGCCTGGAGCCAGGGACGGCCTATGTGTTTGATGTCTACCTAATGAGACGCTGGGGGATCCCCATCATGTACGCCAGTAAGATGGTGAAGACCAGAAGGGAATGCTGAGATGGCGCCCCCTGCAGGACGTTTTGACTTACCCAGTTGAGGGGGAAATGCATCGGCCATGGACCATGGACCATGAGAAGGAAGCCGATCGACTGTTGTGGAGAGACTGTTAACACAACATGGAAATATCCCCCCCAGGAGGAGTGATGGTTCTATTCAAACTCCACTTGCAGTATGCAAGATAGAAAGCATATGAGAGAGATTTGCAAACCAGCTGAAGTTCAAAACCTTTACAATACAACTCTTGTGCGTTTTTCTTTCCGTTTTTCCTCGTTGATCAGGATAGTGATGTGCCAGTTGTCCAAGTGCTTATTTTTTTGTTAGAGTACAAAGGACAAATGTGGTTTGTGATGACTGAAATGAAATACAAAAACAACAACACAGACTGTGCCAAATATGCGACAGAAACAGATGGGGCAATAATTGGATAACATCTGAGAACCGGGCCCCGGGGAGGTGGGGTGGGGTCGGACTTTGCAGTGTATATCTCCAGTACTGCATATTGTACAGGCTTATAAACACAGATGGGTGCAATCTACAGATGCTTAGTTCAAAGTCAGTGTGTATCTTTGTGTTCTGCATTTGCATGAAGCAGTGAAAAATACTTAGTGACTTGCCTCATTGTCTTTGATGTATTCTTGTGCTGCTCCAGACGCACCAATAAATACTAGGGTATCTGTACGTTTTTTGATTGAGTGATGCATGTGTGGAAACTGGAGAGTCAAATCAGATTTTCTCGCTACCAAATTGTTTTCAGATATCTTTCAATTTACTGTAGTAGATGAAGCCTTGTGCTGCTCAGTGCCATATTAATATGTGATATTACATCAATTGTTTTGTATTTATTAAATGTGTTTATTTTGGTAAATAGAGTTGTTGCAATGGACGAGTTGTGAAATGTGTTACTGGGCGACTTAAATACTGCATCTTTTGTTGATTTAATCCGGCATTGTAAGCTTTATTCAGCTTCAAATAACATCTTATTTTCATTGACCAATCAACCCTAGTCTAAAACAATAAAACAATAATGATTTAGTACTTATTACTTAGTAAATTGTGTCAGTAAAGAATCATGATGGTTTTAAGATATGCTATATGTATATATACTTCAAAGGCCAATGTGACAAAAGTGTTAGTTTGCAATAATGGATTCAGGGCTAGATTTGAAATAAAATAAGATTTAAATGATTCATTATTAACAGTCATGACGACACGTGATAGATGAAGATCAACGGACTGATCCTATTTAGTTTCCCTTTGTATAAAATCAAAATAAGCATGAACATTAAACATGAACACATTGTTTGTATACGTTTGAATGATAACAAAAAAAGGTAGCTGAAAAAAATGGTAGCTGAAAAAAAATTTAGCTGAAAAAAAAAAAGGTAGCTGAAAAAATATTTATAAAAAAAAGTATAGTTCTGTTATTTAAAAAAAACGATACTATACATTCTACATAGTGTGTAGTGGTTTTTTTACACGCTTATTACGTAGTTTGACGACGTCGATGATGGGAACCAATGAGAGGGCGTTTGTTCTTGCTACGTAAGCACGTCGCCGGACGCACGGATGTACGCGACAAGCAAGCGCGCGAAATAGATAACACCAGCAAAGGCACAGCAGGGTGGAACAAAACACATATAACGGGTTTTCATTTAGCCACAGAAAACGGAAATACTTCACCTGGTCAACGTACTCGGTCAAAGCTGTCGGGATGGGTTTGCTCGAGCGCTGCCAGGAGCTCTTCAAGACCTCAAACCTGTACGAGGTGCTGGCCGTCAACAAAGAGGCAACCGAGACTGAGATCCGGAGGAGTTACTACAAAGTGTCGCTGAAGGTCCACCCGGACCGGGCTCCCGAAGACCCGCAGGCCACCGAGAAATTCCAGGTTAGCGCTGGTTGTTGGTTCCCAGGCGACGCGACGAACACACGCTAGCTAAACGAGTCACCGCTAGCTAACAGCTACTTGCTAACTATGTTCTAGCTAGCTTCAAAACTACAAAATACAACAACAGATATGTCTCTCCTTTCATGTTGATACTGTCCAGTTATTTGAACATTAAATACCAAACTCTTTACAAATAACTTCATCAACCAAATGTCAGTAGCATATCTATTTACTCTGTACTGAGGTACACTTTCTCCAAACTGTACAGCATATGATCATGTGTGTCTGTCCTGTTTTTTAACTTAATTAACTACCTGACAATCATGTTATCAGAGTATTGTCAGGTCCAAAATACCTACTCATTATGTGTACTGATCATACTTTGTGTTGAGGGCCACAGATGGGTGTTAATATTCTCTCCAGGTGTTGGGGAAGCTGTACGCGGTGCTGAGCGATCAGCAGCAGAGAGCGGTCTATGACGAGCAGGGGGCAATAGATGAGGAGTCCGATGTCCTGAGCCAGGACCGCTGCTGGGAAGACCACTGGAGACTGCTCTTCCCCAAGGTAATGTGCTTATTTTATTGTTATAGACGTGACAGTCAACCCATGCAGCTTTGTCTCTGTGTTGTGTTTGTATAAATAAGTGGGTTTAGTGGTTTCAAACCACTTTTTATTTTCTACAATTTTTTTTAATTTCTGCATTGACGTAATTGTACTGCTTTCACTCTCTTTATTATTCTCCCAGATTACGGTGCAGGACATCCTTGAATTTGAGAAGAAATATAAGGGCTCTGAAGAAGAGAGGAAGGACGTGATCCAGCTGTATGTGCAGCACGAGGGGAACATGGACGCCATCACAGACTCGGCAATGTGCTGCTCCCAGGACGACGAGCCGAGGCTCCGCGGCATCATCCATGCCGCCATCCAAGGCGGAGAAGTCACAGAGTTTCCGGCGTTTACGCAGGAGACGGACAAAAAAAAGCGGGCTCGTAGGAAGAGGGTGAGAAACGTGTTGGCGTTAAAGCAGCAAACACCAGAACACTTTTCTACGCATATAAGCGCCGTGATCTGATTGCAATTAACCTTCCAGGCTGATAGGGAGCGACAGGAAGCAGAAGAAATGCAGAAAGAGATGGGGCTCGGTGATGAGGATGAAAGTCTTGTCATGATGCTCCAGGTAACAAAAGTTTCCGCTTATGTATGAAGTTGTTCGATCTGTTTTTCTCTTTTAAAACCGTTTCTTTCTTATTTTTCAGCAAAAACAGAAGTCCAGAGAGAAGAATTTCACCAGTTTCCTTTCTGACCTGGAGGCAAAATACTCCAAAAAAAGTGGCGCCAAAAGAGGAAAAAGAGGAAAGAAATGAGATGGGTGCAGTCTCTGGTAGCAGAAAAATGTAAATAAATGTTAGCACTTGTTAAAGAGCATTCGGGCCCTTGTTTGAACATAAACTGTTTACCTGCTCCCCTCTTCTGTGTTCTCTATCTGGCATTACTTGCTTTTCATGCAACGCTTCTCAAAATGTAAATGCCTCTCATTTCTTGTCTACTTTGTCGGTCTTCATAAAATAAAATCGTATTTATTTACTTCATCAGTACATAGCATATTTTTTGTATAAAAGAAAATGCCATGAGGATGAGCTTTGATTTCCAAGTGGTCTCCTGTGCAGCATGGCTGTCTGATTTATTATTTTATTAACTTCATGTAATGACCCTGATTTTTACAGATGACTTTGCTAAAGTAACAAGGAATGTGTAGCTCTAATACAGTAATTGGTACCATCATAATAATACCGTAGCTCTTCAGTTTCTTCCATTCCAACACATTTTGGAGGTGTAAATGCAAAAGCATGTGGGCTACAGAGATGTTCAGCCACCATATTCCCTCCTCTGATGAAACAGTTAAAAATGTTGTCCTCATAAAAGAAACAGTACCAAACTATAATGTTCCATCAGAGGAAAAGTGCTTTTTATCCCTGTCCGAGTGGATGTGTATTCCCTGCATAATCCTTTACCATTTAGGGGGTAATGTGCTGTACATTCACATATAAATAGGTGTATACACGTTCAGATCATAAATACAAAGTACAAATGTCTTCACCTACAGCTCATGCTGTCCGTGACGACGGAGTTCCTGTGTTTTTGGCAGCCGCATGAGCCGATTTCTGAAATACAAAAATAGGCCCTAAACAAAAAACACGTCATCAAAGCATTCTGCGAAATGCACAATCTGCTACTTCTGTTAAAAAAAAAAAAAGAAGAGGGACACAGATGCTGCAGAGGGTTGTACTTTGTTGGGGGGAATAAAGATGAATGCCAAAGGGGTTCGGAGGAACTACAAGCACGGCCTGCTGGCTCTGGTTGAGGTGCCTCCCCTGGTGTGAGACCGCGGTGGGACTGACTCGGGCACCAGCGTCGCTGTGGGAAAGAGAAAAGACACATAATAAAGATGCTAATTTAAATCATCTAACCAGCAGGTAAATCTCACTCGAAACCACCCGCTGCGAAGTCTTTTATTCATAGTTTATCAAGGCTGGAAGACTTCCATCTGCTGACCTGGGACGGGGGCTCGTGGGTCGGGCTCCTCTTCGTCCTTGATGGCCACGTGTCCCGAGGGGTGGTGGGAAAACGAGTCCAAGAAAGACGAGCTGCTGATGCCGAGGCTGACGCCCGTCACGCCGATACCAAGGGAGTCTGGTGGAATAAATGAATGAACATGTGAATAACCAATGGACTTATGCAAGTACGTATGTGCAGTGGTAGTCGGGGGTACACATGCGAAGTGACCCCAAACAGTCCAATGAAATGTACAGTGATACAAATATAGCTAAAAGTAACAGATATTTTCATTTACATTTCTATATACAAATATGTACTTAGGAGCCACCGTTTGTGGTGTGTACCACTATATTTTTTAAAGTTTTTATATACTATTGCGATTGAATTTCTGACCTGTGGCTACGGAGGCTCTGCCTTGCCGCCCCGGCGCGATGTTGTCCAACACGGTGAAGGAACGACGGTAAGGAGTGTCGGACTGAAAATAAAGCAAAGGGTCAAACACATTGTCTCCGATACTCAAACCCCTAAAAAAACCACAGCTAGTGATCATATCATTCACGCGCATGCAGGACATGCAATGTGTGAGGATAAAGCGCATCCTACCCTGTATGTGTGAGTGGTGTTGGGCCGAGAGAAGACGTCCAGTAGGTGGTGACGATCCCTCGGAATTGAACTGCCGGCTTCATTATTTATAGCACTCTGGGCGCGGCTGGACGGGCCTCTCGGACGCTGATCGGGTGGAAATAACGGACAAGCACGAAAGATGACTTCCGGGTACTCAAATTATTTTTAGGCTGTATACTTAAACACTGTCGTCTATTCAGAAGGTCCTCGTCTCCTCCGTGTGTCTGTTCGGGTGCTGTAACAGGCTTTTTGTTGTCGGAGGAGTCGTGGTTCAGTGCGGTTTCACCCTACCTGGGCAGGTTTGCACACCGAGTGAGACGACTCCGGGTCTCCAGTGCCGATGGGGGGTAACAGCGTGTTCCTTCTCCGGGGCAACACGGGGGCCGTGAGGCAGTCGCTGGCAGTGGGTCTGTGGGAGAAGACAAAGAAGACGCGGGCAATAACTGCAGATGGATTGTTCTGTGAATCGATGACGCGAATGGCGACTTCCATGCGAAAACAGGATGTGGGAGTCGGAACATTTCTCAGCTGTAAGGATGAAAGTCAAAAGTTAGAGTTGTACTTCCGTAGATAGAGTGGATAGTTTTTAAATAAAGAACTGTATTTTAGTCCTGCAATGAATACTTTTTTCACAGTGCTAGAAAATGATACTTTTCATAGTAAAAGTAAAACCAAAAACATGTTTACATTTCAGACTCTGAAAATGTCAAACTTTTCCTTGATGCCAGAAATGTTATAAACACGGGCTCACTGAGATCAACCTTCGATAGAAACATTTAAACTGCGTGGCACACTTCAAACTCTTACTCCTTCGCCCGCAGTTCATAACAAGTTCATCTGTGAAGATGGTTTCACAGTGGAAACTTCTATCCCATAAGACATTAGACGCGAGTTGAAAGGGAGCCTGTTTTCAAAGTAATGTCACTCTGCCTCTTCACAGCTTCCCAGACCACAGGGGAGAGTGAGAGTGGAAAGCGAGGAAAGACGTCTTGCGGGGCTGACGGGGGGGGGCTCCCGTGGCGCTTAAACTCACAGGCGTGTCCCGCGAATGACCTCGTCCATGGACCCCGCCGCACAGGACAGACTCGGGCTGGGAACATGTGGCAGCAGGGTTCGGGGGGGAGGGTTCCTACGGCGGGCCGACTGTGCCGGGCGGGACAGCGAGGACGAGCTCTGCTCCAGGACGGCTCTGCGGGGGCACGGTTTGCAGGAGGGCGCCGCGCTGAAGCCCGGCCGGTGGAACGCCCGCTCCTCTGGCTCCCTGTGTGGCAAGGAGAGGGAGAGAGGAGCATCAGCACTGAATGGGGCATTTCCACCTGTACTCTGCCAAAGATGGTGTGAGGACCAGGGACAGAAACCCGGCACGCCTCTTTCCTTCCCATTGGAGGATTCAAATCATGTGAATACCAATGCTAATTGGTTGGAAGGGTAAAAATGAGTCCTTACTGGTTTCTTTCCAGCACACCGAGGTTCCTCTGCTGCAGGGGGATGCCGTGGATCACAATCAGGTCATTGAGGTTCTGCTGGGTCGCTGCTGCTGCTACTGGGACCCTTCCAGCCTGGTGTGAGATGAGGTAACAACGTGATGAGATAAGAGGAGAGGAGGGTAAAGAAGAGGAAGAAGAAAGTGATTCATTTCAAAATAAATAGAATAGACTTTAAAAAAATGTTGGTGATACTTTTGGCCAAATGGTAAAAGCACATTTATTATAAGACAATGAGCCAGCATGGACGGCGTGCACACAACACACCACCCTGTCGGCTGTGAGTGAGGGAGTTACATACAGCGGACGGCCTTTTCTGCTTTTTGGGTTTCCGTCTGGACTTGTGCTTTGAGCCCCTTGACTTTGGGTTCTTTAAGGAGAAAAAGGCATCACCAAAGGGAGGACGTGGATAAAGGAAAGTAAGAAAAGAAAGAAGAAAAAAAAAACGGAGAGAAAGAACAACATAAAGATGGGGAAAATAGACAAAAGAGACCATGAAGGTACAAAAAACACGTTGGCAAATGCAAGGGCAGAGAGTGAAGAGGGAAGGAAAGAAAACAGTTGTACACATTAATTAACTTGCAGAACTGAAGGACTGAGAGAACAACAGGCTGGCGCACAAGAGGTGTGGACGAGAACAGAGACACGCAAATCTAAAACCTGTTACGACTCTAAAGTGGAGCTTTTCTTTAAGGTCAACACGAATGAGACGGGTCTACAAAACTTAACTTTCATTTCATGATAAACATCGCAGTAACTTACATGAAGAAAAGTCAACTGACCTGACACTGAAGCCCGCCTGCGAGGGGGGGCACCCTGCTCTGGCCGAGTTTGGGCAGCACCGTCGGCAGCATGGAGAGCAGCACGAAGGGGTTCTGGGAGTCCCGCGGCGCGGGGCTCAGGTTCCCACAAATCCTTTCATCGCCTGCCAATCAAACACACAATCACGTCAGAAGGGAGGGTTTGTCGACTGTAAGTCAGGTCCGGCGCGTGAAGGATACGTCGATTTGGCCCTACTTGAGGTGCAGTATTCCCAGTGGCGTTGAACCAGCTCCTTCATCCAGCCAACCAGCTGCCGCCACACATCATCAAACAGCACGTCGAGGACGGCGCGACGGCGACACCGGTACGGGGACACGGGGGGCAGAGAGTGATGCCTCCGACCCGACTCCGAACTGCCCTGCTCCCACTCGTCCTCCCTGCAGATACGGACAAATCGTTTTAAAAGCTGAGGTTTGGATGTAGATTATGGGAATATAACCGTGCGGGCCGTGACTCACGCGTCCCTGCTGTCGTAGGCGAGGTACTCCTCCATCAGCCCCTCCACTTCAATCACTCTCGGCTTCTCGTGACCGCCGGAGCCCCCGGGAGGTTCATCCCACTCCGCCGAGGAGGCCTCGATCAGCGCCGCTCTCCTTCCCTGAACGTTCAACCTTTGCGCCGAGGGCAAGGGCGCAGTTAAGCACTTACACGCGGATCCACCAAAATGGTGCGCTCGCAGACACAAGGCCACACATGCTGTGCGTTTGAGTAAAACGGGGTTAAAAAGGGAGAAGGAAGACGCCGAGAGCGTGTACGGCACACACATGCACACAAAAGCTCACACTAACACGCTGCACAGTGACGCTAACAGTGGCTGTCACAAACTACGCATCTGTGTCAACATTGATCCTTTCAGCTATTCATCGCAGCTCCTTAACGTGACCCACACAACGTGATTTAGAGGCCTGAGCACCAAGGTTACACAACCACAGAGTCAGTCTGGAGTCAAGTACAATTGATGATTTACAACAGTCCTCTGGACAGCGGCCACTATTTCTGAAAAGTTTCTTTGAATAATAATAGTTCTTTACATCAAGGAAATCTATCTAGCAGGTCAACGTGTGGGTCCTTTTGACTGGAGGCAGTCAACCACTGCGGTGAAGACTTACTCTGTGCCACCCGTATCGCCCTCCTGGCACTTCACACCGCTCTCTGTTTCTGATGACGGGTCGCCGGCAGAGCTGCCTTTCGCGGAAGACGCGTACCACTGAAAGCCCTCGTCACTTGGACACATCAGCTGAGTCCCCAGGATACTGAGCGTGACACAAACACACACATACACACAATTTGTTTTCATACCCAAGTGGATTTTTTCTTTTTTTTTCTTCAGGTCTCCACAAGCAAGCGTTTATTTTTGATTCCACATGTACTCTGAGCTCAGAGTAACCGTGGGTAACGTACCGAAGATGTGGGAAACGTGTGGCCCACTCCTGACACTCATCCTTAAGCCCCTGGAGCATCCCTCCCCCGCTGAGTCCTTCCTCGTACAGCCCTCTGTCGATCTCCTCAAACATTTGCTGCACCTGCCGTGACGCTGCCTTGTCGAACTCCTGCGCGAGGGAAAAAACAAACAAGATGGAGACACGGGAAGGACAGTTAGTCATTCCTCTGTTCTCATACATTTAGCAGAGCATTTATTAGTAGTCATACACAGATTCTAGTGTGACAGCCAAAAGTCCGGCTGTAATCTCCACTACATATTCAGTTCTCAGGAGCAGCCTTACATCGTAGCCCCAGGAGAACACGGAGCTCCTCTCTGTGGAGAAGCCAGTGCCTGCCGAGCTGTGGATGCCGGACCAGGACTGGTTGGATTCTACTGAAATGACGGTGGGACAGTCGGAGTGGCTGGAGGCAGCAGACGTCTCTGAGCTACATAGAAAGGACAAGAATTTGTGGGTATATATTCAGTTTGATAACTCATGTTTCACCACTTGTCATGTGGGGGATGTCGTTCACGATCCGCCTACCCGCAGCTAACCACCACCTGCCCGATATACCCGGTGAATTTAATAACACACAAACACCTTCACAAGATGAACCTCGTCTCTGTTATGTGGCTGCATGAATCTTACTGATGGGTGTTGCTGATATCATCGAGGGTGTATCCCAAGTGGAAAATGAAGAGCAAAAGTCAAAGTAATTGAATATTCCAACAGCCTGACTCATTATTTATTCTTTTAAGTGCACATCTGAAGGAGGCAATGTGATATCAATGAATCCACTTCTTCAGCGTGTCATGTTACGTAAAGCGAAGGCCCAGAGAATCAGCTGTCCACTCAAAGACTATATACAATTCTACAACCCACAGCCAGGAGTATTTTTGCGTAATAGTTCCAAGGGGGTTTCCGTACTTTGGAAAAGGTTTTTTCGACGGAACAAGTCAGGGCAGCGTGTCCGCTGAAGGACCAGGGCTCAGTTACCTGTTGTGAGCGGAGACAGCTTCCTGGAGGTCATGGAGGTCATGGAGGTACCGCTGAGGAGTTCGGTTATCGTCTGCCTCCTCCGGGAGAGGGTGGTGGTCGAGGCTGCTGCGAGACAACCCACGTCTGCGTGAGAAACGAAAAAACAATCAAAAAGGGATCTAATGATAAAAGTGATATGTGTAATCACATTTTTAAAGGGTTCAAGATTTAAGTGTTAGTGATGGCCTTACCATTGCAGTAGGAGAAAAACATCATGAAAATATAGTTTATTGTCCACATGAACTTTATTTTCTTTAATTCTTGTCGTATACAACAATCTTTTGCCGGCTCTTTTTTTTATAATAGTATAAAATTAATATGGGTTCACTTAGTAGCAGCAGTAGATAAAATGGGTTCCAGATAGGATAGATAGGATCAATAAAACTATTATTTCCCATTATCTGTCATTAGCGCTAGTCATCACTTATCCGACCGAGTGTATAATAAGAACCTCCATCACCTCACAGCTGAGGAAGCGGTATTTATTTACAACTATTTATAATTTAGCTGGTAAATTCAGTTTCGGTTATTCTTTTTTTATTTTTTGGTACTCACATCTCGAGTTTGTGCGATACAGGTCTTCTGTTGTATCGTGTAATCATTCTCCCTTGTCTCCGGTTTATAGGCTCAAGCCGTCGTCTCTCGTTCTCGCCTCCGCGTCCTGCACTCGCTGGGAACGGTTCGAAGGGAGGTCCAACATTTCCTCCGGTCCGCAGATAAACGCCCCAGAAGCGGGGAAGCTGGACCTGGCTTTGGCTAGCATATGCTAAGGTAGCGTGTAGCTGTTAGGAGGATGCTAAAAGCTAGCTAACATGACATGTTAGTGGTGGAGAACCCATCACCAAGGTACAAACGGCGTTGCATGTTTTAAAATTAGCATGTTGTGTGGTCCAGAAGCTGCCAATCAACTACGCTCACATTTTAGAATACAACGTTAGTGAAGCGACATGTCGCCACCTGAGAGGAGTTTCGTGCTAATGTTAGCACCAATAACAACAATAATAAGGCTGTCATGGATACGCAGCTCGGTTGTCTCATGGGAAATAGATTTCGGACTGCCGTAAAATAGATGCGATACTATCGGTAATTTCCCTACAACTCCCAGCATGCATCGCGCAATATACGTGCGTCCCTGAAATGTATTCGCTTGCCGTTGGTGAAGTCAACTGAGCTGGAAATGCGAGTTGTGTAATTACTCATGACATTTTAAGTTTCTTCAGCAGTCATTTGTTTTATTTTTATGTACATTTGTTATAGTGGCAGTTGTTTTTAATCATTACAGCAGCGAAATAAATTGAAATAAAACGTAGGAACGTTTGTTCCAAAATGATAGTGGTAGTCGGGTGGAATTCACAGTAGGACCTAAACATTGACAGATGGCGTGCTAGCAACGTTCGTAGAAATGGAGAAATGAGACAAGTTTAATTTTTAAATCTCTCTGGCCTACTATCTCACATTTATAAACGAAACAAGGTGAGACATTTAAAATGAATTGTTATAATGTGTTTGCTTAACGTTAGCCTTTACTAAACCCTAACTTAATACGTCACACTACTTTCTAGTCATTTAAAATCTACGATGGACAACCTGCAGAGAAGAACGATTCAGGAAGACATGGTTCAGTACAAACTCTTCTGGATCCAGACAGACAGTTCAACTTCACAGCAGACTGAGGAACACCTCAAACATCTGGTAGAGGAGGTTTTGGCAAAGGTTGCCTCACTTCTGATACAATACATCTGGCAGCATCAGTCATTCAACCTCAAGTATCATCCTGAGAAAGGTATCATGTTGTACAGCACATCAAAGATACACAATATTGGTGCTCCTAACGATATAAATACATGCATTTACTGTGTTTAAAGCTGGTGTACCTGCGCATATTGGAGGGAGCACTCAGTTTGGGGACAACGTGGAGGACGAGTGGTTTGTTGTTTATCTTTTGCAGCAAATCACAGAAGCCTTCCCGGAGCTCATAGCCAGGTGAGTCAAAACGTGCTTGTTTTTAAGAAAAATAGTCTATTAATCCCAAAATGCGATTGTCGTATTACAGCACATCTGTTTCGGGTGTTCATTGTTCGATTAGCTGCTTCTATCTTCCGTTTTGTGGTTGAAGGGTTGAGGACAACGATGGCGAGTTTCTTCTCATTGAAGCAGCAGATTATCTTCCAAAGTGGCTGAATCCAGACACCAGTGAAAACAGGGTGAGTTGAACACATGACATCTTAGCCCTTCAATTAAAACCATCTCCTAACGCACACCTTAAAAGTGGTGATATATACCCCACCTCAATCACCAGTGTATGTAACTTTACAAAACATGTGGAATCACTTGTATCACCATTAATCCATAAATTCCTCTTTTCTGTATTTACCTAAAGTGTAACCTTTTACTTGTTTCACCAACTATCTTTGCAGGTCTTTCTCTACAAGGGGGAATTGCATATTCTGCCATGTCCCTCAAAATCCAGTCCAGTGGGGGTCTCAAAAGATGTGGTACCAAGTGTGGAACAAGCTACATCAATGCTCTCCACCCATCCAGGGGCCTGTCTGGCAAGCCCCAAGATACGTTCAGCCCTGAAGAAGCGGTTAGAGGGGTGAGAGGAATACTCCCTGTGTTCTTTTGATATACACAAATGTGTTACAAATTCAAAGCCATTGACATTGAAGTGTGTATATATATGCTTTCCGGTGTGTGTGCTCCTCCCCCACCACCAGTAATGAAAAAGCATATCAATCTCTACACTCGACCCAGGTACCCAGAGAAGATTAAAGCTGACCTGCATCGTGCCCACTGCTTCATACCTTCAGCTATCGCCACGGTGTTGGCACAACGACCAGACCTGGTCGCCCCGGCAGTGTTGGCGTTCTACCTGCGGGATCCGGTAGATCTGCAGGCGTGTCGAAGCTTCAAGACCTTTCCACCCGACACAAGAGTCCTCACCTCGGTAAACGGACTTTGCAAAGAGAGGGAATTATTTCAAAATGTTGCCTCTATGTGGTTTACTCCAATTACTATATCTGTTTTTAACGTCTTCATAACCTTTTTATTTAAACCGTAACCTGACACCATACTGTATGTGTATTCATTTCCAGGTGACGTTCACCCGATGCCTGTATGCCCAGCTGCAGCAGCAGCAGTTCACTCCAGACAGGAGGAGCGGCTTCACGCTGCATCCTCACACCCATCCCCAGTACAAATCCCATGAGCTCGGCATGAAACTGGTGAGCATCCCCCGTTTCTTGTTTATTCTGATCATTCTTTTGGAATGACAAAATGTATTCATTTGGGAGGATGCATTTAGTGTTGTATTCGAGTATGTCCGTGTGTGTGTCCCAGGCCCATGGCTTTGAGATCCTCTGCTGTAAGTGCAGACTTCCGTCATCAGAGCCGGACGCCCCTGTCAGTTGTAACCCTCAGTGGAAAGGCTTCATGGACAGTCTGAAAGCTAACGGCTACTTCCAGGTTAGTCACGCTTTTTGACTTTGAGGCCAAGAGGAATAGTAGCTACCTTATCACACCTGGAGGATTAGGTTAGGCAAAAAAACACACATTGGTAAATATGTTATATACTCAACATTTAACTATGGAAAAAAAACTCTTGTTGTCAAATGCAGGAAGAACTTGAAGGTTCGGCTCATTACAGAGAATTGACAAGATCTGCGGAAAATTTCTTCAAACAGTCTGTCGCCTCAAAATCAAGGTGAGGACCGTGTATGCGTGCACGTGTATAGACACTGTGTGAACGTGCCTCCCTGATACACCCAAGTGCATCTGCCTGAATCTGCCTATTGTTTCTCAGTGCTTCGTCCCCGGGGGAGGAGGTTCTCCAGCTGCTGCACAGCTGCAGTCCGATCGACTTTGAGGAGCTGAAGAAACAAGAGGCACGGCTCCCACAAGAGGACAGTGAGTGAAAATGTCTTTTCAATATGAAACAGCAATTTGTAAGAGGTCTGTAAACGCATCACACTGACTTAACTTGGCTCAGTTATATTTGGGTAGAATGGTTACAAGTCCTGACGGCAGAGATGAAGTATCATAATGTCTGAACAATAAAAACATAGATAATGACTATTACATATTCAGTATGTTGGTTAGTTTGTCTGTGACGATTTTACTTACTAAAGTACAAAATCGACGTAGCCTTTGTACTGGCCAGCTGGGGTTTTCTGCCTCCTGCCAAGTTATTTCAGTTTTTGTGCTTTTGCTACGCATCCTCCATTCTCTACCCTCGCTCTCTTTAGAGCCCATATTTCCCATAATAATTGGGTCTTTGAATCTATCTCTAGGTGACAGCTGGCTGGATATCACAACTCAGGATCTGGAGCGTATGTTGCAGGAGAGGAATGTGGGGAGAGCTGATGTTGGCAGTCGAAACTCCAATTCTACCAAACAGGGGACGCAAAATGTCGGGGGTGTAGAGGAGGGGAGAAAGGAGACGGAGGATGACAAGAAGGAAGAGGAGGCCGGCTACAGCCTGGTAGCAGTCAGTCAAGGGATGAAGGACTTCCTAAACGCCATGTCGTCGCATGAAGGTGCTGAACTTCCCTGGTGAGACTGAGACAATAGTAAACCAAGATCATCAAAGGCACATTTTTATTCAATGAATACAAATATTTAGGATAATTTCTGTCTTTGTTTTCTACATGATACCGAAAGTTGATGGGAAGAAAACATTCCCATACACACGATAGAGTGCAGTAAATTCAGCCGAGTTACTGTATAAAAGATGATGTTAGTGAATTTGGATGGTACGCATGCATTGTGATCTCTCCATCTGGTCCAAATGGTAGTGCATGCACACTCTAACCTTAAGTTATTCTATTGTATTCCAGGAGCAGTTCAACTCAGCCTTTTAGTTTAGAGCCTGACTCCATGGCCAAAGCACTGGACAGACTACTCGGTATGTGGAAGATGTGAAACGAGATGTAAAAACAAATGGAAACATCTTCTGAAATCTGTCTTTTTTATTTTTATAGGAAGCAATGAAGAGCTAGATTCAGATGATCTAGACGACGACGATGATGATGATGATGATGATGATGAAGAGGGTGAGGAGGAAGAGGAAGAGAAAGAAGGTCACACAGATATGAACGGGACCGAAACTTTGGACGGTCTCAAAAAATACATGGATGAAATGGATCAGGAGCTGATGAGCACTAATATAGGACAAAGCTTCAATCTGACGGTAAATTCCATAACAACACATCCACATAAAGGACCTGTCTGAAGTTCAATTGAATGATACTTTTGACCGGTACTGTATGTTCAGCCTCAACCTTGATATAATGTCTTTTCTTTAAAACGTACGTGAAATAATGCTTGTGTATCGACCTGTTACGAACCATTTTGTCTTCACTGTCTTTCCTGCAGAAATACAACAAGGTGGACTTGGACAATGGCTCCTCTGCTTCTCCCCATGGAGGGGAGAGGGAAGAGACGGGAGAGGAGGAGATCCAGCCACTGGACGTCGACCTGAATCTGGTCACAAACCTGCTGGAGTCCCTCAGCTGCCAGTCAGGCCTCGCTGGACCAGCATCCAACCTGCTGCAGAGTCTTGGTATTCACCTACCACCCAACTCGGACCCATCGTAAAGAGGAAGCAGACGGGGAACGGAAACATGCTGCAAGGATCAGCACGTGCAGTTAATAAGACTACAATACAGTGGTGAGCTAAATGCCTTCTTTAACATTGGGAATACAAATATGTGAAGGATGTCCTGTAGAGCGAAAACCACAGTTTTCATCCAAGTAGAAGGGACGAATGACCCACCAAATCATTTTGTGAAATTAAATTAGTAATTGTTTCAAGAAAGCACAATTGAGATATAATGTGCCGAGGCAGGAAGAAGCAGAACACCAGCTTCAGAAAAAGTGATCAGAGCAAGTTCTGATGTTTCAATTTAATCATGTTTATTGAGAATTTCTAATACGTGAAGTTTTCTGTAATGTTTGTTTGTATTTTGAAAGCATTTTACATTTGTATGTAAGAAACAATAAATATTTTTGAAAATAAAGTGATATTTCAGTTCAGTTCATGTATACACTTTTTTTTGCTGCATGTGAATTATCTGCTTTTCTTAAATGTAATACAGTAGTGTATACAATAGTGAGAGGAAGCTAAATAAATAGTAATACACCATATTTGTTAATTAAGTAATAACTTAAAGTAGACTTTTCAGCAGTATTTCACTTGTTTTCCATCTCATCAGACTAACATTACTGGTCAGATCCATGAGAAAACAACTTGTGCACACTGGCCAAAGAAGAATTCAGTCTAAAATATTTGTTTAAACATTTTAAGTTAAGGAAGCAGCATTTAAAACAGTCTGTGTTCAGTACAAATAAACATATTACTCATCCTCGTCCATTCTCATTAGAGAGATCTGACGTCAATCTTAAATACTGTACAAACACCTCTTTAGCTTCAACGATAAAACCTACCTTTTCATGAATAAATATTAATAAATGCTTGATGGTATTAGTTTCAGCTCTAAAATAAAGCTTGTATAGTTTGACTTGTGCAGCTAATTTGTATGTGTGCAACACGTTTTATTGTTGCTTTTTTCAGAAACGGCTGATCTCCCGTCAAGGCAGCATCCATCCATTGTTTTTTTTATCAGATGTTTTGTTCATACTGCAACCTGCAAATCTTTAACTAAAAAAATCCTCAATGTTCTTGAACAGTATAAGCACCAAGCGGAAGGGACTATATTGCATATAGAGACATGTTTAAAGAGCATGTAGAGTGCATAAAATGAATATTAAAGCAATACAGTTTGTATCTTTGATAAGTAACCTGTCATGTGAGTAAAAAAAAAAAGAGAAGAAGAAGTCTGATGAATTTAACTGTAAATCCTTAACCCGTTCTGCTTTTATAAAATACTATCATGTTTACAATTTCCCTCTCTGCTAAAATCCTGCACGTGGCTCAGCAGCACAGGTCGTGTCGGAGGAGAAAAGGTGAAGTTACTTTTCACAACAACTTCTCATTCCCCATTTCTCATTTGTCGGACCCCCTTTGAGCGTGGCACAGCGCCCGGTCACAGTACAACTTCTGTTGTGGGCTCAAACCACAACGACTCTGTCAAGTTAACCGCTTCCTCCGCCCGTCTCCGGAGGAACTACAAAAGCAGGAGGAACGGCTGCACCAGCGGCCTCGCTGAGTGCAGCAGCGCAGCGGCGAGTGGTGACACTCGCAGAGCCAACGCACCGACCAGGAAGTTCAACGCCATGCCGAGCAGGAGAATGGCCAGCAGGTACCCGTGGAAGAGCAGGCTCCGCCAGCTGCCGTGTCCCAACACCTGCCGGGGGCTGTCCGGGTGCAGCAGCCACAGGAGGCCCAGCAGACAGCTCTGGTTGACCAGCTGGACGTAGTAGATGTCAAAAACTGAGGCTTGGGCGTCGGGGGAGTTGCGTCGCTCGGCCTCAGACACCTTAGCCAGCCAAGTCAGAGACAGACTGTGGAGGATCAAAGCCAGAGGTGCATACATGTACTCCAGAGGTTCGACATCTGACAGACCCCTGCAGGCTGCACACAGAGAGAGAGAGAGAGAGAGAGAGAGAGACGGACACAAAGTCAAGTAGAGGGCGAAGGACCATCAGTTTCACCTCTGAATAACTTTCTACCTGTGACGAGAAGGGATGTTCCGCTCAGGATGGAAATCGGAACCACGAGGGATGGAGGCGACGCCAGCTTCTGACAGAAACTGAAAGCCACGGTCGCTATGGGCAGCAGAGGCTGCGTGAGGGAGAAGAGGCTGATGTGTGAGCTGTTGGCCTTGGCCCACATGGCCAGCACGGCATGCGTGCTGATACCGATGGAGGGCACCAGCACCTTCTCCCCCAGCGACCTGGAGTAGCGCTTCAGAGGCACCACATCCAGGACATGGAGGAGATTTAAGACTAAGAGGGTGATCAGCACCTGCAACAGATCGTGGAAATATAAGGAGTTATAGTGTCTAAAAAGCACATAAAGAGCTAAAGAATGAAAAAGAGAGCAGAAGTGATTAACTATCAATATGAGGCTGTTACTTAGATACTTAATAGAAGTTAGACAATCTACATTTATATCGATAGGACTCCTAATTGGTTTGTTCTACTTTGTGGTTCTTGTTTTTTGTTTATTTTACTATTTCTACTGATGTATGTTGAGCTGATAAAACTGATTCTGATCAGTTTTATCAGCTCTGATCTGATCAATGTAATGTGTTTTAATATATTATACTGTAATAAAGAATTAGAATACAGCTTGATACATGTCTTGTCGCACTTCTGCTGCCATGCGTCCATTCGTGTCCTTTTGTTTTGAGGGTTAATGTATTCTTCACAATCAAACATAAACATCTATGCAACTCTTATAACCCAGTGAAGGGGATAAATAGAATTTAACCCATGGTGTGATCCCATCCGGTCTCTACAGACCCTCTTACTCTCTTTTTTTCAGGAGCCTCTACTGACATACGTTTTATAGCCTTATTGGTATTATTATTTATTTTTTTCACACGTTGTCATTTATTATTCTATTTATTTATTAATGATTATAAAAAGGGTTGTTTATTGTTATCAAAAATGTTATAGTTCTGTATCTTTTATGATCTCTTGTTACAACTGTTAAAATAAAGTGAGATAATGCATTTACCTTATATCCAGAATTAGCATATGTTTACCGTCAAGGTCAGTCTTAACACTCTTTGGTTGGCAACACATTAACACCTCCGTCCTTTGTGCAGCTTTTTGGTTAAACATCTATTGGGCCCATGTGTTAATCAACACAAGACCCCTGATGTCCTTCAAATCAGCCCCCCCCACACACACAGTAAATACCGACACCATTACTACAGCTGGCACTTCATTGAACACAAAGTTAACGGCATCAATGATTAATAACGATCCAATAAATTTCTTTTTTTTCTTTGAAAAATTGTCCGTGAATAATCCATTCTGATCCTCATTAGTGGGAGTACAAATAGTAATTGTTGTACATACAGCGTGACTTTTCTTTTATGGTTAGTTGTTGCTTGCCAATAAAATACTATAACGGCACATGTAATCGCAGTATGCTCAATGACCCCGCTGTCATGTCACACAATACTCTGTCCAAACCTCACAGTAGGTGAGCACAAGTAAGCATTGTTGTTGTTTTTTGGTGATTATTAAAATACACAGGTGGTTGGACAAAGAGGGGCCTCCGTGTTCCAACCTGGGCAAAGCAGAGAGCCACTGCGTAGGGGAAGTGGTACTGTGGGATGAAGACGCCGGCCACAAAGTTTCTGAGTTCATCTGCCAGGGCGTATGTCATCACCCCCGCCAGGCACAGGGTGGGAGCCAGGGACTTCAGTGCGTGGTTAGACAAGACGCTCTTGGACGCCGACGCGCACCATCCCGTCCTCCAGCTCCCGGAACTGCACACATGGGAACTCGTTGTACGGATCACATGATAACAATGACTTGGTGAGACATTTTGTTCTCGCCATTGAAAAAAAAGACAATTTTGCTGAGCCAAAAAGAAATAAAAGATTCAAACAAGGACAAATTTAAAACCAGATTGTCATTTAGCTCATTTCTTTAATGACCATCAGGTGCAACGTTCGGATAACGGCTGTCATAAATCTCATGGCAGTAAACTGCTGCCGCACGCATGCAAATAAGGTTTGGCTGTGAAGATACGGCCGGCTTTATGATTTGCCTTTGTGGTTGCCAGAATACATGAAATGATCCTCGACATGCTGTCATTTTGTGCAGATGTTACTGCGTGAGAAAAAGAAAATTTCACATGACAGTAACAATACAAACAAGTAAGGCATTCAGTCCCCCAAATAACCTCGGTTAACCATTAGCTGTCATTACTGCAGCAGGGCTATGAACTGACTACAGGGGAGCCCTAAAGCTATTTAAACATAAATGTGTTTTATACAGAACTAGATCCATTAGCCAAAACTACTCCTGCTTTTTTATTTCGTTATACTTAAATGAGGTTTCTTTCAATGCTACTCACGCATAACATATTGTTCAATTCAATGCCTTTTTACATACTGTTTTATTGATGGATGTCTGTTTTTTTTGCCAAGCCGAGGCCCAATATTGAGGCTCTTTCTGGAAATATCTATTCGTATATCATTGTTTTAATATTCATAGTAAGGCCAAAGATTTTTTTTCAAATGTTAAATATCATAAAAACAGGCCTTTTATAAAAATATACTGCTACATTATACACTTTTTTCCCCGGATGCATGCAGGAAAAACCGGAACACAAACTCACCATTTGAAACTCGCCATCAGACCGTACTTCGTCATCCCAAACTACAACAACTCCGTTTGAGTGTCGACATCTGCTAATAGAACACGCGCACAGCGACACTAACACTGTCACACGTCCTCCCTGGTCTCACCCAACGCGTCTCGCCATTGTGCTGCGCGAGCCTCTCTGCGCCCTGATGCGGACGTTGATCCCGCTGTGTTGTCTCGCTGTGTCCTGATGGACTTTGGTCCTCCATCTCCGGTTATCTCATCTCGTTGTTGAAGAAGGCATCCCGGTGGAAGGTCAAAGCCGGTTAAAAGTCGGCTTCATGCCGAGACGCACGTGTGCGACAGACAGCATCGCGCATTTCATTACACGTCATTACGCAGGTGTGATCGTGACAGGTAGAAAGCCTCCGGAGGGGGAATTTGCATTCGAACGCCTATGTATAAGAACAAACTTAAACATCTGTCTCGGTAATGGATGATTAGGTTTATTGCTGTACTTTCGGTTGACTAGGTTCTATCGCACCTGTCTGTGACGTCACCCTCCTCTCCCCTCCTGAACGAGCCTTAGAAAACATCTGTATGGTGACACATATACATCCCATGTGAGCACATGGATGTGTGTGATATGTGGACATAAATACAAGTAAATCTTTTGTTGTTAGCTGTAGTTCACTCAGAAGCACAGCAGGGGGCAGTCATGCTCTGTTTTGATAACAATTACCATTAGAATAAGATTTATTTTTTTCAGCAAAATTATTTTGTAAAATAGGTCAGTTCAATGTATTGGTTTTATGTGAACCAATACATTGAACGGTGTGTTCAATACTCCAATGAGGTTTTACGTGAGCTCTATATTTATCAAACACTGTGTTACAAACTTCAATACTCCACTGAGGCAACTAAGAAATAGTTCATTTACGTTACTCTTATAATAATATTAATTTATTACGTTTCTGGAACAGTGAGTAAGTTGTTATCATAGATGAATGTGTTTGTGAAGACCTGACAAAAAGCCAGCTATTTGTAAAAATATATGATTTATCACTTCAATGTTTTTCAGGCAGCAACCCCACATTTACATCTGCTTTTGCCAAGGTTCATAAACCATTCATAATGGCATTACAGTCCTGGCTGCCAACCTGGAGTGAACTTCCCGGTGTCCTATCCTGTGGTCTCATCTATCACCTGTCACAGCCAGCTACCTCGTTGCTCTTTAGAGCACTTAACCCTTATTGCGTTTCCCGGACTACCGGCTAATTTAAGGGCAAGGCTGAAGCGACGCTGACTATGAATCACAGCTACAGCAAAGTAGAGGTTTTCCATTCTTTTCACACCTTGTTGGGCTTTTTAAAAGACTAATATATGTTTATAACAGTATCTCTTTGGGTTTGTTTTTTTCCAGTTTAGCATGTTCTTCTAATGAGGGGCTGCTGGGAACGTCTGATGCATCTGCCAACTGACTTAACCGAGATGGGTGTACTACTGTCCAGGTAAAAAAAACAACTAATAATTGTGAAAAGCAAGAAAAGTGCTTTGGCGTGTGTCATCTAAAACAGTTTTATAGTTTGGCCTCCCGTGATGCTGCTGTGTTGAGGTTGCACTTCTCTGTGTGAACAACGGTTGCAGAGGAAGCTCCAGAGAGCCCGTCAACACATCCGAAACAGTGAGCAGCATCTGTGACGGAGAGGTCCGCGGCACAGACAGCGACCGCTCCTCCATCTTGCCCATTCAGAACAAAGGTAAAGGGTGTATTTTTACTCACTGTGCACAAAACCGCTGCCCCACATGCATGCAGACTTTGTTTTTTCCCCATGTGTGAGCCAGAGCGGGTGCTGGTTCCTGCTTTTCCGGTGAGTGCCTATGTGGAGAGAGGCTACATCACCCCGCAGCAAGTGTACAACCTGCTGAGCGCAGAGGAGGGCCAGCCTGCCCTCTATGACTCGTACTACATCCTCGTCCTCGACTGTCGCAGCACGGAGAGGTCGGTGTTGCACACATGCCGTCTCTCCTGCTTCTGCAGAGTCACGCGCAATCAACAAACAGCTGTACAAAGAAAGGCGGTGCATCAACAAACAAAATGTGGCCCGGCCTCAAGGTTTTACTTTGCTAGTGTTCCTTGAAGGTTTGTGTTGTTTTTTAGCCTTAAGGTGACCTCCCAAAACATGCAGGAGCTCTTTACTCGTGACCATTTTCTCATTTAAAGAATGGCTTCTTCATGAAAGGGTGAAATCCAGCAAGGAATTGATTCTACTAACAAGTATTGTCTGTGTTTTTAAACCTGACAAGCTGTCACCTGTTCCTCTGCGCCTTGGGGCTGTTGTCCATCATTGAGCTACTTTGTTGAACCGTCCGACAGGGCCGTAATTAAAACTGGGGGGGGGGGCACTGTGGTTCATTTTGGGTACACCGTCCTGCTGCCTGAGAGAGTCATACGTGACCTTTATGAATTTGCGCATTAGGTACGAGGACAGCCACGTGGTGACAGCGCGGGCGGCCGTGACGGTGATCCACCCTGTGCTGGGCTGTCTGGTGAGCTGTGTGGAACTGCAGAAGTACTCTACAATACTGCTGTATGCGGAGGAAGGATGCAGCCCAGGTCAGCAAACCTCGAGCTGACACCAACAACAAGCTGACATTTTAGGCTTTTTTCTGAACCTTCTTGATGAACTGCTTAATAGTGTTTTGTGAGCAAATACCTGTGAAACGTGATAAGATGCCCATCAATCTCTCCTGTGCACTAATTATTTGACACAACGCTCAACTTACACACAGTTAGTTACACATAGAGGGTTGGCACGACCTCTAGTAGTGTTGACATCCACCCGACTGTCTGTGTGTTTCTGTGGCTCTCCCAGTGGGCAGTGCGAAGGCCCGGACAGACTCCCCAGACCTCCTGCACTGTTTCTTCCAGCTCAGCAGTTTGGGAATGGATCCCGTCATCCTGCTGGGGGGGTTTTCTGCCTTCCACGCCCTCTACCCTTTCCTCTGCACACCGCTCATGGTCCTGCTGGAGCCCGAGCGGCACACTCTCACCATCTACCCCTCGGAGATCCTGGAAGAAGCTCTCTACCAGGGCTCCGCCTCCCAGGCCTCTGACTACCGCATCATCAAGAACCTACACATCACGCACGTGGTCAACGCCACCGCCAACTGGCCCGACGCTTTCCCCAACAGGCTGCGCTACCTGAGGCTGCGTCTGAGCGACGACGCCCAGCAGGAGCTGGTGGAGGCCCTGCCGCTGGCCTCCAGGTTCATCAGCTCGGCCCTGAGGGCCGAGCCCGCCGGCCGCGTTCTGGTCCACTGCAGCGCGGGCAGGAGTCGCAGCTCGGCCGTGACGCTGGCCTTCCTCATGGAGCACCGACGCTGGTCGCTGCTGCACGCCCTGCGCTGGTTGAAGGAGAGGAGGGCGTGCTCGGCGCCGAACATGAACTTCCTGCGTCAGCTGCTGACCTACGAGGAGCTGCTGTTTGGGAGCAAAATCACCTCCCTGAATGACATCCGCAGATGACCGGAGCGATGAGGGGGGGGTGGAGAGGAGGACACGACCCTGGACCAGTGGTGGAGTCAGAGCTTAGACCTGGAAGGATGTAGATGGGCCTGAGTTTAGGAATAAAAAGGAAAAGGAAAAGACAGACAGTCTGGTAGGGAATTTCAGTAAAGCTAGTTCTCATGTTAGAAATACCACAGGCACATTTATCTTATTGCTGTTCTATTAGGCAGTGGTGTTAGTCTTACCTATCATGCACTTAAGTCACTGTAATTTACCATTGCCATTTGAATTATTCTACTGAATTTGTTTGACTCTTATGGTTATTCTATTCTACACTATTGTTAATATTATGCTTTATACTCCCTATATTTACAGATCTTTTCTTACGATATTGTGATGTGGGAGCAATCCCTGGCACAAGAAGTTCCGTCGGTATAGTTAAAGTTCTCTTATCTTGTATCAATGTGCTGACTCAGATGAATCTCTATCTCCTCTAAACATAAAATTGAAAACAGCAAACAAACAATATTTAGGGCTATACTGAACCGTTTCTTAAACGTCTATCTGCGCAGTTGCAGCTTCACTAAGATCAATGGTATCATTCTATTTGTAGGACGGGATTACCGGGGTGGCTGAATACGAATTTTGACAACTCAGCGTAACATGACCCCAGTTGTGACATCTTGCTTCATGATAGTTGACAGAACGTAGATATTAATAAAGTGCCAATAAAGTGTTTTACATCAGAATGTCTTTTTCTTTATTCATGTGGGGAAATTATTTAAAAACAGAATGGAGGCTTGCAAATGGCCTTTGTTTATCACAGACCTATACGCATTGTGGCGTGTTTGCACAGAGCATGCCATTGGGATTTGTTATATTGCAGTCAGTTGCAGCCTGTCTCACACACACACACACACACACACACACACACACACACACACACACTTGGCTCCACCCTGTTGAACTCAGTAGCATTTAGCAGGAATTCCCTCCCTCCAGTCAGACACTTTTTAGTTGAGGAAAGAATTTTCTGGAATGTGGAAGAGAGAGTAAGAGGAAAGGCAGGTGAAAATGGCAAAATGTATATATATATATATATATATATATATATATATATATATATATATATATATATATATATAGTCCAAATATAACGGTTTGAAACTACCAGGAACATTAGTGTGAACGGGTCTTTTCAAAGGGTTATGTCAACAACAACAACACATGGGAGGATAAAAAAGGTATTTTTAATTAGTGGACATGCCCAGAGTTTAAAACCAGAAAGCACATCGAAGTTGAATTTCAACACGTGGCAGAAAAGTGACGTTAGCCGGCAGCGTTTCTTTTTTTTAAACATGAATTTAAACCTACAGCAACCTACTCATCCATGGCTGCGTTAAGACAACAAGACACCTCCCCTTAGCAGTCCAACGCCGGCCCCCATCGTCCCTAGTAGAGGGGGAGAGTCCGGGGGGGGACTTGCTGCATGTGAGCTTCTGCACGTAGCATTCAGGATTTTAGGAATCCAGCCCCTGAACGCCAGATGGACATCGGTGCGCAGCAACGTCCCCGATAGGTCCCGAGTACCAGACTGCTGCTCATCTCCTTCTGCCTTCAACTGGTCCCCGGCGTTTGGACACCGACCACAGGAGGACACGTCTCTGCTGCAGGATGCTCTCGTTTGGGTAAATGAGGACCCCTGAGTCAGAGGCTAAAAGGCTAAAAACTGCGTAGACCTTTTTTTTGGTGTGTTTCTGTCGCTCTGATGTGATGGGACGGCTTTTTTTCTAGTTGGCTAGGCGGTTAGCTTGGCGTTAGCTTGCTAGGTTAGCTGAAAACTAGCTAACCCTGGGACTAAACTTTGATAATCGGGATATTTCGGCGGAGCGGTTGATAATAGTATAAGACACCGGTTAACACGGCTCAATTAGAAACGCCAAATACTTAGCTAGCGAGTAAAAAAGAAAATTATGTTGTCTTAGTTCGTAAAACTTTGTTCTGAAGTTTTGACATTCCAGCGCATTGAGCGTAGGATGCTGCTGCCTTCACTCCGCTTGCAGCATTAACATTACACGCACATTATGCACTGACTGCATAATACAACTTGTGTGCATTGTGACAGTCACGCAGTCCTCCGTGTAGCTCGCGTCAGTGTGCTATTCGGCTGTTTTTTTTTTGGGGGGGGGGGGGTGAATGCTAACATTCGCTGTGAAGTTTGGCGTCACATTCCTGTGTGTTCTGCATGCTAACGTTAGCTTAGCCGCTTTGCGAGTAAACCTGCAGCACTTAAGCTAGCTGCCTTCCAGACATTAAAAATACCCCCCGTTGCCGTCAATTACTTTTCAGGGGTCATTGCTGGTGTGTGCGCGTGTGTGTGTGTGTGGGAGGGGTGGAGGAATCAGTGTCGACTCCATGGGGGCAGTGGGGGTTGAGAGGCGGGGGGGGGGGGCGAAGACGTGGCAGTCATCTTCGTCCACATCCCGCGTTGTGGACTCGGAATGGAAGGAGGCTTCACGGTTCTGACACAATGCAGTGATTCATTAACTCCCCGTGTGTGAATGCACAGCCAGTGATGGAAATGTTCTGTCCATTTCTTTGCGACTCAAGGTCCAATTTCTATGTGCGTAGTTGAAGCATCCATCCTCTTTTTTTTTTTTTTTTTTTTGGTATACTTTCTGTCTGAGCTTATTATTATTTATTTACCATCGTACAGTTAAGCTTAAAGCGAACTAAACCATTTACACCCAAAATACACCTTAAGAGTACTAATATGTAATATTTAATCAAAGTTCTAATCATTTTTAACCTTGTGATTTACACTTTTCCAAAGTAAACGATTGCAGAAGGGACAGTAAGTCAGTAAATGGGGAAAACCTTTAATATGCAATGAACATTACAACTCATTATTTATCACATTTATTTTATGAGGGCAGATCATTCATCCAAATGATCGCACAGTGAAAAGTCCTCCTCCATGACGGCTCTGAACCAAACTTGTCTGAACAAAACCGCATATTTCTGAAGGTCAAAAAATAAAATAATTTAATGCAAAGTAGTTTTCTCTTAACGCGTCTGACTAACAAGCCTACGAGCGTCTTGACAAGTGAAATGCTGATTATCCACCAGGAATGTTTTGGAGTCTCCACATGGCACGTGCTAGCGTGCACACATACAAACACTCTCGCTTTCACTCACCGTCACGCAGGACATGACACCTTGATCTTGAATATAAGCGTTACACTTCCAGCTTTAATCTCGACGTTACACTTAAACAATGTTATTACAGGAGCAACCCCGTTGCTGACACTCTGTCATTATGATAATTATATTCTAGTGAGTGTTTACCTGGGAAATCTAAGTGGCAGGGGGATATGTATGGTATTCTGGACTAGGTGGCACCACAGTATAGTAGCTATTCGGTATAATGGCAATTTGTATTGGGCCATGGAGTTTCTGCTCAAATATACTTCCAGGTTCTTTTCCTCTGCTGCACTGACCTTTTTTTTTATTTTGTCATATGAAGTCATTCTTTTATTTTCACTGAAAACAAAGACGGAACCTGCCTCAGCCTGTTGTCGGCTTCCAGTAAAAACAAGCTTCAGAAAACTGCAGAGATGCACATTTTATGCATGACCTTTTCTGCGTGTGCGTGTGTGTGCGCGCCTTGTGCATGCACTCAGCATTCTTACTATTGTACCTGTATCTTTTTACAATAATTACAGCTATTTTACAGTAAAGAAAGTCTGTTTTTGAAGTATTTTTAAACATTAGCAGCTCACTTCTGGATGTAGAAAAAATAACAACGGCGGGCAATACGATTCATTTTAATTGTCATTTAATCTGCTTATTTTATTCACTTATTATTACATCGGAAAACAATCTTGTGTTTCTTCCAAAGATATTAAAAGTGGTAAAACCAAGAAAAGCAGCAAACTTGTCTGGACTTGAAATAAAGTCTCCAAATGGCATCAGAATAGTGTGAGAATTTAGTTGCGTGTGACCTGAGGAGATTTTGGATTCTTGTAGGAACACTTTCTTTCAGGTGTACTTCCTGCAACTCCTGCGCTGCACAGAAGTTCAGCGAGGTTCATCTTTGTTCATCATGGTTGCACTTTCAGGTTTTTTTTTGTTGACAGAATAAAAGATAAAGCTTCAGAATAATCTTCTTCCACATGAAAGTTTGAGCATCAAATATTTCCCTGTATTGTGGGGAGTTAAGAATAGATATATGGTGGAAATTTGAATAACAACATGTTGAAATATAATGCAGTACGGTCATCCGGCATGCGATGCTTTTAAATATATACGTCATAACGTTAAAAAAACGTTGATAAATTGAGCAACATTCCTTCCTCCGCACAAAGCTCGTGCTAGAAGTGTACAACTAATATTATTACAGTAATCAAAACCTTTTATATATCAAGTCAAATGGTTAATTGCCCTGCAGTTTGCTCTAGCCTGAATGACGGGATTGAAGCAATGTCTTATTAAAGACCAGAAGCCTGTAGTAGTCATGGATATGCCCACTCTAAAACCAAACCGGACACCGTGTAAGAAACCACAGGCTTATATTTGGCTTTATGTGGTGGTTGGGAGGCTGCTCTTGTAAAAAGATGAAAGGCGATGCTGCCAATACTTTTGATTTTGTGCTTTTGTGACTCATTTCGCTTTACTTTTTGTTGCATCTAAAAATATATTGTATATTTTATTTCTCTCTCTCTCTCTCTCTCTCTCTCTATCATATATATATATATATATATATTTATTTAAATTATTGTCTGGTCTTTCTAAATTCTTCCCACTATCCCCTCTAGTGACACTTTGCGACGCACACCGTTGTTTCCATGTCTTTAGATTACCGCTGCTGATATTTTTTCTTTTGAAGTCCATAAAAAAAGACATGTCAGCTGTAGCCCTGTTGAATATTTGGTCTTAAACGGTGCTAACAAGCAGGCCTTGGGATTCAGTAACAGCAACACTGTAAGGAGTAAAGAAAGGCAACAATATATGATGTAAATACTGTATGTGTTGGGTGAATGTATTGAACAACATGTAATTCTCTCCCTCTTTCTTCAGGATGGCGCTGTCATGTTTAAGTTTACTGGTGCTTAGCTGTCTGCAGTCGCTTTCGGCCAACAATGACTTCTTCACCTCCATAGGTAAAACCGTCGGGAGAGATTAGTGATGCCTTTGCTTATTGCACTATTTATGCTGAAGTATCTCCGATTTTTATTCCTCAGGCCAGATGACGGATCTGTTGTACACAGAAAAAGACCTGGTCACCTCTCTGAAGGACTACATCAAAGCAGAGGAGAACAAGCTTGAGCGGGTCAAACAGTGAGTTTGTGAACACAAAGCTGCAAACAAGGATCATTACGCAGATATGCTTCTATCTACACAAGCAAAACAATACTTATACACACACTTCTTCATGTATGTATCCTAATTCTATATCTCCGTCCTTGTGATAGGTGGGCTGATAAGTTGGATTTGTTGTCGGCTGCAGCCGTGCAGGACCCCGAGGGCTTCCTGGGGCACCCGGTCAATGCCTTCAAGCTGATGAAGAGGCTGAACACAGAGTGGGGGGATCTGGAGAGCCTTGTGCTCAGTGACACCACTGAAGGTACAGATGAAGCATGCCTGGCTTTGTTCAAATTATAACCCATGGGCCAGAAAATCACCGGGGACGATTAGACCATGTGTATTAGCTTGTTTGTAGCAATGCTGTGCTGCACATTCAGACCCCATACATTTAAATCTAAATCAAGGTCCTCGGTCCTCATCTGGCTTAATGTAGTGTAATAATGTAACTCCATGCATACATAAGAAAGAATATGCTATTGTCTGTCTGACTTTATCCCATTCATAATCATCCTACCACACATTTCTCTGTGCTCTACTGTCCACCTCTCTCAGGATTTATATCCAACCTGACGATCCAGAGACAGCACTTCCCGACAGATGAGGACCAGACGGGGGCGGCCAAAGCTCTCCTCCGGTTACAAGACACCTACAAACTGGATGCCAACACCATCTCCACCGGGGACCTCCCTGGTGAGGGCCTTAGATCTGTGCTTACCTCCACCCGCCACACATCTCCCAAGTCCTGCTTTTATCAGGAATTATTTTATCAGGAAGAGGGTTTCTCTGGCTTTCAATGTTATTTACATTATTAAAGCGGATGGTTCTTTTTCCTTCTATGATAATGTGTCTCTCTATCTTTTGAATCCCAGGGGCTAAACACAAGAGCCTTATGACAGTGGAGGACTGTTATGAGTTGGGGAAAATTGCCTACTCTGACGTCGATTACTACCACACAGAGCTGTGGATGGCCCAGGCCCTCAAACAGCTGGATGGGGGCGAGGAGTCCCCTTTAGATAGGGTGATACTGCTCGACTACCTCAGCTACTCCATCTACCAGCAGGGGGACATCGAGCGAGCCCTGGAGTTGACTAAGCAGCTGCTGGCACTGGGTGAGTCCCTCCACACTGAAGTGTCTTTCCACGAGGCTGCGTTTGGCAATGTGAATAATGGGGCCACATTTCTGCTCAAGGTAGCGTAACACGAGCATAAGATTGATCTGGAGTCTTCTATTCTAATTGATTTTTGTAACCGACTTGCAGGATACAATACGTTGTTTTGCTTTAGATAAAATGCAGAAACATGCAATATTTAACTACAATCACCATAAAATCACACTGATATTGGTTTGGATTGTCTGATGAAGACTCAGTAGTGACCTTTTTAATGCCCCTTTATTTTTCAGAAAGTCGCCTTAACTGAGCTGTATAGCCAGTCTGCATGAACAACAAATCATTATGTCATGTCACTGTGATCACATGGGTAGGATATTCTTACGTGAAATTGCTGCAATCCTCACTATTTATAATCACCACTATTATTTCTGCTGGTCTCTAATTTTTCCATTTTTAGACCCGGAGCATCAGCGCGCCAAGGGCAACCTGAAATACTTTGAGTTCCAGTTGGAGAAGCTGAAAACGGAGGCGGCGGACGCACCTCCAACAGAGAAGAAGCTAGCGAAAAGAGAAACAACTGAGAAGATAAAGAAGTCCAAAAAGAAGTTCCTGACTCCTCAGCTCCCAGAGAGGAAGAAGTATGAGATGCTCTGTCGTGGGGAGGGCATCCGCATGGTGAGGAAGGCAAAAACACACGCAAAAACATGATTAAGACAAGTCTGTCTCAACTCATTTGTCCCGTGCTACCTTTTTCCTCCCAATCAGACCCCCCGCAGGCAGAGCCGGCTGTTCTGCCGTTACTATGACAACAAGCACAACCCCATGTATGTGCTGGCACCGGTCAAACAGCAAGATGAGTGGGACCGGCCCTACATTGTCCGCTTCATTGACATCATCTCTGACAAAGAAATCGAGAGGGTCAAGCAGCTGGCGAAGCCACGGGTGAGTTTTGGGGGGGTTTCTGGTTCACCCACGGGGCCGTCTGGTGACCGTTTCAGTGGAATTGCAAAGCTAAGCAACAGCCCGGGACCTTCTGCGGTTAACATACATACCGCAACATGAAATAAACTGACACATTTGGGATATTTGTGTTTTATAAGTGTTAAAAATGGACCGGTTGTTACATTAGTTAGGCTTTCTTAATTTTCTGTTACGTGGTTCTAATGTGTTGAGGCGGTCGGAGGTCGGAGCTGTGAGGCTGGTCGATGTGATTCTGCTAGTTTGGCAAACACACAGACACACAGTTGTGTCACACACCTGTGTGTCTGTGTGTGTGTCTGTGTGAGGGTAAATCATCTCCCTGGCTTCACAGCTACGCAGGGCCACCATCTCAAACCCCATCACAGGAGTGCTGGAGACAGCGCCATACCGGATCAGCAAAAGGTAAGGTCTCCCCAGGAGCCGCCAAGAGTAGAGAAGGAGAAAGGGAGATCTCTTTCCATCCATCAATAACTCCTCCCATTCATCCTCTGCGCTCCCGCCCGTCCACATTACTCCATTCCTTCCAAATCTTAAAGGCTCTTGAGCTGAGGCGCAGCATCCAGCCAGAAACATGTGTAACACTATAATTGGCCCATCAAGCACGATCCTTCCAACATGTTCTGTCATGGTAATATCACCAGTGCCACGGAAGAATATGGACAATGGAAATGAATTTCTTAGTGTAAAAGTACATGCAGGATCTGTTGTGGATCCGTCTCTGCACAGGAGTCTGCTAAAGAAAAGGGGGGGGGGACGCTAGTTGATATTAACATAGTTGCTTCTGTGAGCCAAGAGGCGTATCTGAGGCATTGCCTCACGGAGGACTCTCTTGGCTCCACTAACGAATAACGTTGACAACTGCTGACCAGATCTGCATTTCTTTTCTCTCTTTCTTTCCACTCTCATGTGCGTATCACTTTTTTTTCTCCCCCTCCCCTTCTTTTATTTCTCTGCTTATCCTCTTTGTGCGGGGGAACTACTATAGTTAAGGCGAGCCACGGTGCATGACCCCCTAACCGGGAAACTTACAACGGCCCAGTACAGAGTCTCCAAGAGGTAAGGGGTCACAGATCACCGGAGGACCACAAGGCCTCCTCTGTCCTTCTCTTTATCTTCATCTCTGCTCCCCACGTCCTTCAGTGAACGTTTTCATGGAGCGGCTGAACCGTGGCTTCTTTCCACCGGCCGTCCCTCCCAAGTTATTTGAGACCCCATCGCACTTTCCTGGAATTCATCCGGCAGAAATTCTCTGTTATGAACAACTGCTGCGATTCTTCTCTCTGTTTGCTCAACAAGCGAATTAGTACGAGAGATTAAAAAACTTCCTGAGTCTGGATGCACATATAAGGACAGATAACGCTGTAGACATGTGAAAACAGATGTTTATTCTCTTGCATTGTTGTTGTTGGAGTATTATCCTGTAGTTGGAACCACTATTCCGCTTGCTCCTCGCAAGAAAACTCTCACCCCACCCTTAAAATTAGCAGGTTTAGCAATTTACTTTCTTTGGTTTTGCAGTTCATAGTAATTAATGTCCGGGTGCTGAGGCTCACGGTGGAAGGGCGGGGTGTTCCTTTGAGGTTATACGCGTACGTGTTCTCCAGCACGTGTTTCCAAATTCAGTGAACAGAGGGAGCAGAATAGAAGAGTTTGACCGCTGACTGAACTGGCTAAAAGACAAGTCAGTAAAAAATTGGTTCGGCTCATATTTGTTCCAGCATTCCATCTGAAAAGATCACTTATTATCAACGAAAACACTTTATTAAACTGCACACAAAAACGGCACACGACATTTTTTTGTTGTAGTTCTCAACAAGACTCTGAGATGGTTTAAAGTCAGAACCACCCTGCACCCACAGCCGATTGGAGGTTCTGAATCTCGGCCCAGTTTCCATCTTTCATTTTCTTCATACCTCCACTTCCTTTCCTTTCATCTCATTGAAATGCCCAATTTCACTTCTTTTTGTGGCAAAGTTTGAGCATGACCTGCCGCTCTGTGGCCTTTTTCACTTTCAGTCTTCACTGCCATCTAGTGGAGGAATATGTCACTCACTGACATTCAGTGCAGCATGTCCGTCTTCTTCCTCAATTGTTCCGCTTCCCCTCCCTCCAGTGCCTGGCTCACTGGCTACGAGGATCCACTGATTGACAGGATCAACCAGAGAATCGAGGATCTCACAGGGCTGGAAATGGACACTGCAGAAGAGCTGCAGGTACAGACGGAGAAAACTTTACTGAATAGTTCTTGTTTACATGCGATATACATATGTTTGTGTATTTGTCCATGACTATTTGAGACTTTAATAGTATTTCATTGCTGTCTTTAGGTTGCAAATTATGGCGTTGGAGGTCAATACGAGCCTCACTTTGACTTTGGAAGGGTAAGACCCTCAGATTCAGTTAATATCTGCATGTGCAATAGTGTTAATATGTCCGGACGTTACACCTAGTGTTGACTCCCTCCACAGAAAGATGAGCCAGATGCCTTCAAAGAGCTGGGCACCGGGAACCGCATAGCAACATGGCTCTTCTATGTGAGTGAGCTCTCACTCGACACGCCTAAACACCACTTTGTAACTTTAGATTGAAGCTACACATAAGCCATTTTAAGTCATGTCTAAAAGTGGTAAATTTGTGATCTGCGGCTGTACAAAATGAATTGTGCTGAATTGAAGATTCTAATCACGACTGATGTGTGAATAAAATTATTTTGAATTAATGTTTAAAAATATATCCCTCATTATATGAAACATTAAGCTTCATTGAATCATTGTTTATTTTGAACAGCTCATGACATGTACAATGTAAACGAGAATAAAACGCCGCCATTAATCTGATTTTAAGAAAAAAAGGATTTCAGGTTAAAACTAAGTTTCTAGTTGTGTTGTGTATAGATTCTAATCTCAGTATCATGTGTAAATAGATTGATATTCAAATGAATGGAAACGACGCAGAAATTAATAAATGTGATCTACAGAAATATTTGCTTTGGTGGAAAAAGGCTGAACTCTGTCCCTCTGTTGTAGATGAGCGATGTAGCAGCAGGTGGAGCCACAGTTTTTCCAGATATTGGTGCATCAGTTTGGCCCCAAAAGGTAACTGCTTATGTTCCAGCACTTATGGCTAAAGAGTTAGTCATGATGTGCTGGGTCTGAATAATCATGTTACATAACGGATTCATAGTTAAAAAAAAAAAATGTCTGTACTTTAACAAAAGTAAAACAAATGTTGTTTTTGCCACATGTAGAAGAGTTACACGGCACATGCGCGCTCTCTCTCTCTCTCCTACACAACACAATCCTCAAATACATCAACAATTTAACGCAAAACTAGATCTGATACTCTATGCAAACGAGTCCCTGTCATCGACTGAGCGCTTCCCGAGTCCACTTGCCGTGTTTAACCATCACAAACAGCATATTAACCCTTCTGTATTCAGGAGAACGAGGCTGCCACCCCGGCTATTCCTGGAGATTTTCCAATGCTGCTAACCTGTGTGTGTGTGTGTGTGTGTGTGTGTGTGTGTGTGTGTGTGTGTGTGTGTGTGTGTGTGTGTGTGTGTGTGTGTGTGTGTGTGTGTGTGTGTGTGTGTGTGTGTGTGTGTTCGTGTTCCAGGGCACCGCTGTGTTCTGGTACAACCTGTTTCCCAGCGGGGAGGGAGACTACAGCACCCGACACGCAGCTTGTCCAGTGTTGGTCGGCAACAAGTGGGGTGAGCGCCTCTTTGTCTCGTCCCCTTCGTAGAAGCGTCCGTTGAAGACCTGATGAGAAGCATTGCAGGGATAAAAACCTGCACTCGAGTTCATAAGAGGCTATTGGTTTATTCTTTTTTCCTGTCCCCAGTATCAAACAAATGGATCCACGAGCGAGGTCAGGAGTGGCGGCGGCCTTGTGCCCTGAATGAAACCGAATGATGGCCAGAGTGAAGCCTTCCTCCTCACGTCCTTCGGCCCTGCCAAAGACCACGGCGGCAGATCAGGCAGGAAGCCTGCACGGGGTCCAAACGGATCACTCCCTCCCTACGAACACTCTCTTTCCCGCACAGATGTTACGCTCTGAGCCCAGAGGTTGTCTGGGTCAACGACAAGCCCCTGGACATTTTTATTTTTTTATTTTTAGGCATTTCTATGACAGATTATGTTCTTTGGATGTTTGATTCCACTCCGATGTGTCCGTCTTTATGAACGCCGTTTCTTAGGTGAGGTCATCCTTCAGCAGTGACTTGGAACCTTTAAAGGAACAGCTCACGTTTTTTAAGAGGCTCTCTGATTCTTTGCGTTTAATCAACACAGCAATTAAGCCTGTGTTGTTCATTTTTTAGTAGTTTGGGTTGTGCTCAATTTCTTTTGCAAAATAATTTTCCAGATCTTTGGAGTCTGGCCTTTTCCTCACAGGAGATTGAATTAGCATACATTGTTCACTCAATTCATTTCTTTGCTCTATTTCCACGTTATATCGGTCTCTTCATCAAATCAATTTTAAGATTTAAAACAAAGTACTTTATGGAAGGAATGAAGACGGTCAGACTCTTTAACAATTCAGTTTGGTGTTTTGGTTCATGGAAAAGCCTTTGTCTTGTAACTCATCAGAAGGGGTTGAAGTGGCATGGCTACCTCGAGGTGGTGCATTTTGACGTGTTTATCCGCCTCAAAGACTAGTGTTCTTTTGGTTCAAGTCCTCTGAATGGTACTACAAGATACTGTTCGATTTGTTGTACACACTCAACACCTGGACACACACACACGGTTACGTAAACCCTGATGCTGCATAGAATCAAGTATTTTCCCACAATGATTGCAACAGATTGACAACCGGCTGTCTTTGAAATAGCAGAAGCACCAAAGGGACACTAATAAGGAACACTAGAGAAAAGAAGGGTGGGACGGACTCCACATTGTGCCGTGACCGGTTTAAATACCCAGCATTGTTTTGTGAGAAGAGTCAATAATTGTGGTTAGGTTTGAAATGTTGTCCAGTGCTTATCCGTGTGAGAATATGTGTTTTCCAAGGAAGCAACATTTTATTTATATGTCCCAATCCAATTTTGTGATATTTTTGTTTTACATGAAAGTCTGAAATTGGTTTTATTTTCTACAATAAAGACTGTTTTATCGATCAAGTTAAAACTGTCCTCGTGTGTGTGTTCGTGATCGTGTGTGTGTGTGGGGGGGAGGTATTTAGGCGTCACGTGACTGTCCGGTACTAATGATAACGTCACTCGTTCATCTGAGGCAAACAGGGCCAGGCGACAGTCGGGTCGGGAGGACAAGGGCGAGCGTGTCGTGAGAGAGCGAGAGAGTAGAAGAGAAGAAAGTCAGGCTTCTGTCCCGTCGACCGCGTTACATTTGATCAGACAGTCGAGCCTCAGGGGAGCGGAGAGAAGAAGCGCGCAGTGATGATGACCCAGGTGGAGACCACGGTGCACTATGATAACGGCTACGAGTACGAGTACATGAACCAGGAGGATGAGTGGGACCGGGACATGCTCCTCGACCCCGCCTGGGAACAACAGCAGAGGAAAGTAAGTCAGACTAATACAAGTAATACAAATAAATTAAACTCAAGTTACTTTCACGCACTGTGATGGAAAGAAATGTGACATCTAACAACCGGTAGTTGTGTCGGACTGTCATTAGAAGCTATTTGAAGTAAAGAAAAAATACCATATTACACGTGTCCATTTAACGCTAGTACATTTCAATAAGACTGTTTGTACAGTATCGTAAAAGTTATTTTTGATCCATTGTCAAGCTAAAGTGAAAAGCTAAACTTCCGGTAAACACTTTCACGTTAAAACACCCTGGTGAACAGACCGGGTTTCTTTTTTATCGATACGTGGATTAAACGTAAAGCGTTTTTAACGTTGGTGCCTTCGTCCCTGAGACACAAACAAGATCAAATATGGGAAATAAAGAACGAAGCAACTTTAGTCTGTCACTACATTCAAACTTACAGCCGCGTGTTTTCACGGGCGGTTTTATTTTGGTAGGACATTAACTTAACTTCCGGTATGGTTCTGAATATGGCGGCTTGACGGACGGATGCGGCGGGCCGCTGGGTACCAGCCGGCTAACAATAGCCTTCCGGCGGCTCTGCAGACCGCTGCCTCTCCACTGATACGCGCGGAATGCGAGCTGTCAACAGATGCTTTGAAACACACGATGACGCTCTCGGGATTAGAATGGACGCTGCGTCTAATTTTAACGTCGGGACCAAAAGGCATCGCAGTAATCCAGTGTCCTTGCTGCGGAATTCTTTTGTTTATAGAAACCAGGCAGAAATATTGTACCGGGAGGACCAGCTCAACCCAGTATAGGGCTCTTTTTCCCTTGCACATCGCCAGTTGGGTTTTTGGTACTTTAAAAGTTGGCCTGGGCCTTGAACTGTTGCCCCCGTGCGCATAACCTTCATTCCTCCCACAAGGATGACAAAACGGGGTATTTTTGGTAACACCAGGCAGAAGTGGGACCCTGGTCTGCACGCACAGCTATTTTCACAGTGGTTATCTTCTCACTGATTGGTAATTTGAAGTTGACAAGCTGCTCATTGGAAAGCGGAGCAGCTGTTTAAGATCATCACAACTGATGGTTTCGGACAGCACCACCAAGATAGTTTCTCTTTTGATCACGTGGATCTGCTGTCGGCCCTTTTATTTTGCCAGTTAAGCTTTTGCTTGTTCTTTTCTCTCCTGCAGCCTTAAATCTATCATCCAGCACACGAGCCTTTCGCAGCAGCCTTTTCCCTTCAAACCCCATAAGCGGTAGCAGGTGACCTTCTATTAACCTACCGACTCCCGTCAGTGTACACTCGGAGGCTCTCTCCTTCCGACATGTTAAACATTTGCTCCCCGTGTATTTTCCATCCGTATGGACGGAGAGGCTGCCAGCCTCTGACCCAGCGAGGCCGCGAAGGCATCAGTCAGCTCAGTGGCGGGGTTGGTCCTTTCTGGATGTGATCCATGAATATTTTTACTCGTCAGTGGCGCTGGGGAAGGAGGCAGGACGTGCGGGAAAAGTGGGCATCATGGGTTGCCGCCTGCGGCAATTGGGAAAACCAGCAGGCCGCTTTTTTATTTTTATTTTTTTTGAACTAGCGGTGCAGCAGTTCAATGTCACAGGCACCAAAAGGGACTCACTCAGCGTGAAATGGGATGGCCTTTACTCTAAAGCCTTGTAATATTCTTGCACGTCACCCGAAGAGGGGGGAGAGGGTAGAGGGGGGGGGGGGGGGTTGTGGCTGGCTGCATGGGCATCACGTACACCCGAGCTGAGCACAGGAATGTGTAAGAATCCGGGTCGTAAAATAGTGCTAAAACATCTTCCTCAGTTTAGTTGTTGAATTCATATATCATCCATTGTGTCAACAGGTGTGCAAAGACATTCCTATTACAATTAAATGTTGATCATTCAAAATGGCTGAATGAGTATGAACTGTTAATAAATGTTTTAAAAATGTGCGTTATACTTTATCCATTTATTAGTTATTCGATAGTAGGAAAGCAAAAGAGCAAAATGCCAAGTCTATCATACCCTTATTCTCCATTATAGACCAGTTAAGATGTCAACGTCCTAGTTGATGATAGTATTTAAATGTTCTGGTCATTGTGGCAGGAGTCAACATATTTCACACCTCGACAGACCCATCGATTGGTCCTCAGCAGAGGAACCGGCGTGACCTGGAAGAACGGCGTGCGTGCTCTCCGATAGCGCTATCGCCTCGCAGCTGTAACCAGTCACAGTATAAGTGGCAGAACAGTGACAGAGAACGACTCGAGGAGCAAACTCCCCCCACATCCACGTGACATTTTCACTCATGGCGACACGTCGAGGAGTTCTGACGTCTTCCCTCCCCGTCTCTTATCGGCAGGGCGGTCTAAATTTACCGCCTTATATCGGTCGGTATGCGCACCGTGGTTGGCTTTCACCCGCGCCGCGTCGAACACCCCCGAACTCCGCGGCTCGCCATTGACAGACTTTTATAAAAATAGGAGCAGAAAGACAATGAGCCTGTCTTAAGTTGATTTACAGTATTTGGGTACCCGATGTGGAGTACGTTTAATCTGAGGGTTGTCTGCCTTGGAAACACAGGAAGAATAGAATCCAATGGGTCACTGGGGGTTAATCTGAAAATGTAGCAGGTGTCAAACAGGTCAACGTTGATGTGGCACATAGTCTTGTTAGTGACACACAGATTGTTTAGGCCTGTGGAGATAAATACCCAGCTTGCAGCGTAATCCATATATAATGGAGGTTTTAAGTGAAACTAAAGTCCAGTTTTAGAGCGGTGCTATATGCATTCCTACGCGGTATTAAGTTTTTTCCAGCGAAGCGTCAGAAATGTTCATGTGCAAAGTGCGGCCCGTTCATATGATGGTATTTGACCAAATCCCCTTTTAATTGACCTGCGTCTCCCTTTCCCATTAGACATTCACCGCCTGGTGCAACTCCCACCTGAGGAAAGCTGGGACTCAAATTGAGAATATCGAGGAGGACCTCAGAAATGGACTGAAACTCATGCTGCTTCTGGAAGTTATCTCAGGTTAGACCACACAGGATTATGTTTCTTTACGTGTTCGTTGTTTATTCCACCAGGAAAATCATGTGCACATTTTGATGTCTATTTTTCTTATAACAGAATACAGAAATAAGGCTACTTGCATATCTGACTCTGTTACATAATGTTCTGTTTGCAGGAGAGAGGTTACCCAAGCCAGACAGAGGGAAAATGCGATTTCATAAGATTGCAAATGTCAACAAAGCGTTAGAATTCATCACAAGCAAAGGAGTGAAACTCGTCTCCATCGGAGCTGAAGGTATCAAACGCCTCCCTTTATGTGCGGACATACTGCAGGGACTTAATACATAGATTAATGCTATTAACAATCGCTTTGGTGCCCGCTGATGGAAGAATCTGTTTGCCTTTCAGAGATCGTGGACGGTAATGTAAAGATGACTCTTGGGATGATCTGGACTATCATCCTCCGCTTTGCCATCCAGGACATCTCTGTGGAGGGTGAGATAATGAAATCCAACTGATCCCAAATCGATTTAATTCTCTGTAGATCTTCACTGACAAATATCAAAAAACTCTTATCACTAATACGTGACCGACTTAATTACCGAATGAATTTCCTCCTTAGAAACATCTGCCAAGGAAGGTCTTCTCTTGTGGTGTCAGAGAAAGACTGCTCCCTACAGGAACGTCAACGTCCAAAACTTCCACATCAGGTAAGGGTTCAACGCTGTGCAATTCTTTGTGATTGATGGATAATATAGGTTCAAACGGACATCGAGAGACAATTATTATAAGCACTGGTTCCTTCCGAGAATGATAAAATAAAAACATGCAAATAACTAAACTCTGTATGACATCATTGCATTTATTTATTATTTTAAATGCAAGCACTGAATTCCATTATCCTTTGGGTTAAGTTAGCATGTTAGCTCGCGGCGCCTGTGGCTCCGATGCAGAGCGGTTCCAACCCCCGGCCCATCTAGTCGCGGTGGCCTTGGGCACGATACTGAACCTCAAATCGCTCCCAAAGGCCGAGCCACCAGCGTGTGCTCGACTGTTTAGATCCTGATCAGCTGGAGGCCCCTTGCATGCACCAGTGTATGTACGTGTGTGTGTGTGTGTGTGTGTGTGTGAATGGGTGAACGTTTACTGGTTTGGGTCCAGTCCGTCTGCTATTTGAACTGACATGCTGGTTCTCTCTGCGTTCTGGCTTGTGAAGCTGGAAGGACGGCCTGGCCTTCTGCGCCCTGATCCACAGACACCGACCCGACCTCCTCGACTACTCTAAGCTCAACAAGGTGTCGTGTGGTTCCACCTGTAACCAGGATGCCGTGTTTCAGCCCCACAGACTAACACCACGGATTTCCACACAATTAACACCTCCCTCACGGTGTGAACCGATTAAAAGAAAATCTTTCAGCAGGCAGCAGCTGCGTGCAGCAACGTAATGTTTGTTGTAGATACACAGTGTGTGCTTTGGCTAATGGATACAATGCTTCTCAAGTTATGCATTTCTTTTTAATAGCGTAATGTAGCGTCACATTTAGCGTCACATCATGCTTCATTGTTCCATTGTTAAAGCAGTTCAACAATAGCACAATTAGTGAGCTTTGCCCCAGTGTTTTAACCCGCTGTGCCCATTGGGACGTCGGATTTAGTGGTGAAACAGCGATTGATATGCAAGCCGAGGGACGGCTGCCTTAAAATAAATGCACAGTTGGACTTCTCTCATCGTGTGTGTGCGTGCCACCGGAACATTTCCAGGCCAAGCGAGTGCACCGCTCAGTTAAGTGTTCTGGGTTGAAAGGACGCTCGGGACTCTCAGTGTTTGAGTATAAACAGGCGACGGCCTCAGTGAGCTGTGCTGCATATTTGCAGAGCTACCGAGCCCAGCTGACAGCCCTTCAGCGTTAGTCACGCAACGATCACGCAACCTTGCCCTTCTGGAGCCGCCTCAGACAGGAAGGCCGTCTGTGGGACTATTCGAGGCGTCTCTCTTCCATCGCCAAGTCCGTTTTGGTTTAGAACAAACGACAACAGAGAGGTTTTACTGTCATTTCAATTGTCGATGTGTGATAGCATATCGTGTACGGGGAGGGGAACACCATGGCTGACTACAGAGAGTGACATTTCCATTTGTTTTGGAAACAGAAGCGCCCTCTTTTCAGCACACCACTCACTGGCCCGGCTTGTTGAGTTTGACCCTGAATAGTCACAGAAACATGAGCCTAGTCCCCGCAGAGCTCAGGATTAAATGCACCTCTGCTATTGTCCATGATGTCACGTCGTGTTCCCCAGTTATAATCTGCCGGTCCTCCGTGAAAGGCCGGACGATGTCCATAAGATGAACATTCTGATATTTACCAGCCGCATCTTAAGTACGGATGGTGTTGATTTTCATTCAAGGGCAGATATGAGCGCTGAGGCACATGAACAATCCACCATATCTATTTCGCCCCGCTGCTCCCCCCTCCCGTCCCCCACTCTTTAAATCTCTTTGACATACATACTCACACACTTGGTCACAGGTCGCCTTTTAGTGCTGCTAATGCTGCCGGGAGACGGTTGCATTGTGCGGCAGGCAGCTGTTGGCTCTGGCTCCAGGTGAGCGGGTTTATTAAGCTGCCAGTGCCGCGGCAGCTCTGGCGTCGGGCACACGGAGGCATTATAGACTTCTCTTCATTCATCCTCCCCAAAGCATCCCATCATCCATTTACCAACCCCCATCCATCCATCCATCCATGTGCCCTGCTCCGAATCTGTGAGCAGCTGGCCCTGTCGTGTAGTGTGTGGCCGCCCTCACAGGGACAATGGCAGCAGCAGCAGGGTAGCATGAACCTTTTACCCCGTTGCACTCTCGCTGACTGCCCCGTCGGCAGGGGCGAGCTCGCCGTCAGCTGTCGGCAAAATGCACCACCGTCACTCTGTCAGAGTCACTTGTGTGTACACATAAAGGAGTATTTGATGTATATTGGGGGGGGATGAAATATTTTCATTTACTATCGGGATTTACTTTCGATTGTATAGTCGTTTGAGTCAATTCTAAACAGAAGGTTAGAAGCAAATGCTGGATATGGATTCATAAATGTGAAGCTTTGCTTGAGTGAAAAATAATCAATAATTGAAATAAAAGCTCAGCATGTGCATGTCATGGTTTTGAGAGGATTTGGTTTTGGGGCAATGATCATTAAAAAGTTTAGTTCCTGATTAACATCCAGCTCATGTGAATACTGGAAAACTAAAGCAAGTACTATTTTATCAATGTGCATGAGGTATTCGGGGAGTAGGATGTGTCGCATGTAGCATGGAGGGCAGCGTGGAGACATTTTAAGACCAGTATTGCTGCTCAGTGACGTAGAATGGTGTTTTGTTTAGGATGATCCTCTGGGGAACCTGAACCTGGCTTTCGACATAGCCGAGAAACACCTGGATATTCCCAAAATGCTGGATGCAGAAGGTAACGTCATTCAGATTGACAATGTTAGCTCTCTTATATACAGACTTTAAACATGTGTGCATGGACCTCGCTGTGTGCGTATGGGGATATCTTGTGTCTGTTTGAGGCCTGATTTAGTTTCAGTCTTAAAAACACACTTGAAGTCGACTTTGATTTTTTTCCTCTGTCTTGATGCCACAGATATCATCAACACCCCCAAGCCCGATGAAAGAGCCATCATGACCTACGTGTCCTGCTTTTACCATTGTTTTGCCGGAGCTGAGCAGGTGGTTTTAAGCTATAGCATTACTAATATGTATTTTTAGATGAGTTTGCTAACCTTAACCGTTTGCAAGTTGAGATTCAAGATGCTTGTTGTCAATCAGGTCAGATGCAACAATCTATTGGCGGTTTGGTTTCAGACATCTCATTTTTAAAGAACAAATCCATTGCGAGGGTAATGTCATTAGATAAGTGTAAAGGATGAATGGGAGCATGGCCGGCTGAGTTTCTTTGCCGATGTAATTACTTTGTTCTGGCGCCCTGCGCTCTCAGGCAGAGACGGCCGCCAACAGGATCTGCAAGGTGCTCGGTGTGAACCAGGAGAACGAGAAAATGATGGAGGAGTACGAGAGACTGGCCAGCGAGGTAGAGCAAAGTTTGTAATTGAAGGATGATGACACGTCTTGAAATGAAATCGTATTTGAAAGAATATGAAACGCGCGCAGTATATTACACAAAAGTTTGTCTTGAATCTAGTTCAAAGTTAAAGTGCAGATTTTAATTTAATGTTAAAACATCTCTTATGTATCCCATTGATGTGATGAGCTGAGACCCATCTGCTAAAAATAATCAATAATGCATGACAGTCTTCCTGGAACGCTGCTATCTTAACATAGCGCAGTTAATCATGTCATACTGAGCTTTTACCTCAATTTCACTGTTGTTGTATAAAATGTTTAAGTTATGTTATATATACTGGGCTATATTTCTATTATAAAGTCTAATGTTTATAGTCCTTTTTTTTGTTGTCCTTGCTTATGTATGTGGAGAACAAAGCCAAATTCCAACCGAGCTGATTTTCTCGCCTCTCCTCTCACTCCCATGTCGTCCACGTGGTCCCAAGCTGCTGGAGTGGATCCGCCGCACCACCCCCTGGCTGGAGAACCGGACTCCGGAGAAGACCATGGCGGAGATGCAGCGCAAGCTGGAGGACTTCCGGGACTACAGGCGTCAGCATAAGCCCCCCAAAGTGCAGGAGAAGTGCCAGCTGGAAATCAACTTCAACACCCTTCAGACCAAGTTGCGCATCAGCAATCGCCCTGCGTTCATGCCCTCCGAGGGGAAGATGGTATCTGTAAGGGACATCTCCGAATTCCTCTTCTCCTTCTTGTCATTCAACAGCCACGGATGTCACCATTTTCGCAACCACTGTCTTCATGTCTGTCGTGGTGTGTACAGGACGTAGCCAGTGCATGGCAGGGGCTGGAGCAGGCAGAGAAAGGCTTCGAGGAGTGGCTGCTTACGGAGATCCGCCGCTTGGAGAGGCTGGACCACCTGGCGGAAAAGTTTCGCCAAAAAGCCACCAATCACGAGACCTGGGCCAGCGGTCAGTAGCAGTCGTGCTTTGGCCCCTTGTACCTTACCGCAGGCTTCCTTTCATTACATTGCATGTCTTTTAGCCGACGCTTTTATCCAAAGCGACTTGCAATAAGTGCATTTCAACCATAGGGATACAATCTCAGAAGAACCAGAAAAAAAGTACAATTTCCTCAAATAAGCCAATTTACAATTTGCTATAGATGAGTGGCGTTACAAGTACAATTTCAGTGCTCCACTTTGTTAGTCTTTTAGTCGAGGTAGAGTCTGAAGAGGTGTGTCTTTAGTTTGCGGCAGAAGATGTGAAGGCTCTCTGCGGTCCTGGTGTCTTCAGAGAGCTCGTTCCACCATTTCGGAGCAAGCTTTCGTCTGCTTCAGTGCGTTTATCGGCCTGCTTTGAAAGTGTTGCTTTAGTGAGATTTATTTAGACCTGTTCTCAATGAGGCTCGACCAAAGGTTTTAGAATCTGCCTGTAGTGGTTCATTCTCCCCATGGGCAGTGACCGAACAAGGCCCGTGTTTCAGACCTGACCCACTAGCCTCCTTGTTGTTCGCCCTCTCTCACCTCCCTTCCCTCTCTCTCTCTTTGCGTGTGTAATGCTCAGGCAAAGAGCTGATCCTCTCCCAGAAGGACTATGAAAGCGCCACCCTCACAGAAATCAGAGCACTGCTTCGAAAACACGAGGCCTTCGAGAGTGACCTGGCAGCGCACCAGGACCGAGTGGAGCAGATCGCCGCCATCGCACAGGAACTCAAGTACGTGCTCAACAAAGCAGACAATTTGTTCACAGTAAAATAAGATGATGCCACCCTCCTCTTTCTTGTAAATATTACTTCAATAGCGTCTCTGGCATTCGACCCTTTGTGTCCTACAAGGGCACCTGTCTGGATATAGAGTTGAATGATGAACAAAAGACACAACAACACTGCAATCACAAATAAATGTGAGAGGTCATTAAACATATATTTTCTGTTCGTATTTGAGACAGCAGCTGAAGGAGAAAAAGGGAAATGCTTTGCGGGAACAATTTTAAACATTAACTCGCTGTCTTAGATGTGATTTTGAACCACTTTGGAAAAAAAGATAGGAACTTAAACCCTCCTTTCCTGAGTTGAGGAACATGTTCCTCTCTTAGTGGAAGGGTGCACTTCACGGTCATGCTGACTTTCCCAATCAGCAGTCAATGAAGAACACCTGTCCGTCGTTACCTTCTCAGTCGGCGATCGACCGCCGAGTACTTCCTGTTTCGCATTTAATTGGTTCTCTGACGCCAGAAGATGCCATTTTGCCTCTCAAGCAAGATGGCTACTTGTGTTCTTCCACGGTATGTGATGGTTAAATTACTATATTTACGTGTTGATCTTTTATTCCTGGCATGTTTATCTTACTGTGGTTTTTGACCTTGCTGTTTTCTTTTACAGTCAGTTGCTCTTCGTTGCACTGTGCTGCTGGAATGTCCTTTGCTTTCCTGCTAAAGAAGGTAAACAATTGAGATTTAAAAAAAATGTTCTCACACCATTTTTACCATTTTGTTTTTACCCCTTAGGGCCATGGCTCCAGCCTAACGAGGAGGTCCGTCCTCATCGCTCGTCCCGAGCCGCTCGTGCACTGGTTTCCAGGTTGCATCACCCTGTTGTAGCCTACGTAGTGCACTATAGTCCTGGAGCCTATCCAACAACTTCCAGCCTTCCCCTGGACATGTCCAGTGAGGCTCCATGGCGTGCGCCTCCTGTTTGGGATCCTGTGGAAGAGTCTGCGGCCACGTTCAGAAGATCTCAGCCCAGGCCGAACGTCGCACCTCCACTTTTCTTTCAAGCAGGCGAGCTTGACCGCTATGTAGCAAACTCTGAGCCCGGCACAACCGAGGGGCTGATCTTTCTTGCACCGCCACCTCCTTCGTACCCTGGGATGTCTGGTCTGTACGCGTCGGAGCCCGGGATTGGAGAGTGGGAAACGGAAGATCGAATGCCCCCGCCTCCCTATGCCTCGGCGCCGCTGGGGGTTGAGGTTTCTGCAGCTTCGAGCACGTTCACCGCATCTCCAGTTCCACTAGAGCTGCCACCAGGGGGACGGGGGCAGCACTACCTCTTCTAGACCGGTCCGCTGCCTTCTGGCACTCACGCTCCGACCGACTTTGAGAACAAAAACACACTGATGAATCCCGTTCTGAGAGCTCTCACTTTGCAGATTGGCATAAAGGCAACTCTAGTAGTCTCTGCCGTTCACTCATATGTATGTAAGGTGCGCGCAAGATTGCTTTTGTGGATTTTGAATAAAACTCTAAATAACCTTGTGTGTTCTACCTTGTTTTCTATGTGGCTCAGATACACCGAGGGGCAAGATTCGTAAAAGGACGTTAGGCAAACTGCTCATATGTCAGTGTCTATTCCAGAATTAAACCGACTTTTCCAGGGTCGAGACTTTAAGCTATTTGTTCAGGGGGGAATGTTTGTATTCTAGAGGTAACATGAACGCAACTACATTCAATATTACATTGGAATTGGCCTACCGGTCATACAAAGTCTGACTTTGTGTGCCCATTAAAAGTGAACCAGTAGGTATTTCTAAACGCCTGTAAAGTGCTTCTCTTTCACAACTGAAGCAGGTTGTCTGTGCTTTGTTTTTCCAGTGAGCTGGACTACCACGACGTGGCTGCTGTGAACGAACGGTGTCAGAGCATCTGTGACCTGTGGGATAAGCTGGGAACCCTGACTCAGAAGAGGAGAGAGTCCCTGGAGGTGAGGGCAGTCATTCAAGTCCTTCACATCTGCTCTACAGGTTCTCACCAGAAGTTACGTTTTTTTTTTTTCAGTTCTGTTTCCTTTTTTTGGGGGCGTATTTTAGATTAGGCGAGTCTCCAGAAGAGTGTGCTCATGTTCTACAGCAGAAAAGAATGAAGTTGTATACAAAACCAGCTCATTTAAAATGTCAGTGTAAGCATATGTAGGTGTCCGTAAATGACATCTGAACCGCGATGACAAATTGATGAGGAGCGATAACTGGATCCCCTCTAAACTCCCTGACCCAGATGGCTGGAGGAGAAATAGATGCAAGTGCAGTGCTGTCCAGGAGACGATTGGCTAAGAGCCCGCTGGCCGCTTCCTCTGGTCCATGCTGGTCCATTTCAGACCTGTAAATGTGTGTGGGCCCTGGGAAAGAGCCAAGGATTAAGTCTGAATGACAGGGACAGAGTTCTGTTGTCCGTTCGGCTCCCACTCTCTCCCCCCCCCCTCCTCACCTTTCCCGTCCGCTGGCTGAAGAGGGGAGGGATTGTGTCAGGAACAGCAGAGTTATAGGTTAACAATGCCGTACCCACGTCATGCTCCCTGAGATCAGTCATCAAAACAGGCCAGGGGATGTTTGTACGTAAAATATGAAGTCGATGACTCCTCCTTCAGGTCAGTGCAGGGCGTAATGTTAAGCTATTGGTTGGACATTTTGGGGGTTTCGATATGTAAAAATCAGACCTGGGACGTCTTGTAATCCTCTCAGCGCACCGATAAGCTGCTGGAGACCATTGATCAGCTGTTCGTGGAGTTCGCCAAGAGGTCCGCCCCTTTCAACAACTGGATGGAGGGCGCCATGGAGGACCTGCAGGACATGTTCATTGTGCATACGATTGAAGAAGTCCAGGTAGTCTTTTCAGCTGCACTGTAGGCTCTCACATTTACTGCTTTTCTACTTTTAATTTCACAGTATAATTCCAAATGTTGAAACCTCCACACAATTTCCCTTTGGTTCACGTTTGGTCGTGTAATGATGTTGCTATACCTGTCACGCCATATCGCTTTGGACACATTTTTAATTTGAATAAGAAATCCAGGACTTCCCTTTTGCCCACCGCAGAGTCTAATGGCGGCTCACGAGCAGTTCAAAGCCACTCTTCCCGAGGCGGATGCTGAGAGACAGGCCATCTTGGGAATTCACAATGAGGTGCTGAAGATTTCCCAGAGTTACGGGATCAAGGCCAACATTATCAACCCATACAGCACCCTCTCAACCGAAGAGCTTCTGAACAAATGGGAAAAGGTAGCGACGGCTTTAAAACTCTTATGGCCATGAATGAAGTCATTTTTCAGATAGTGTTCCTCTTTCATATTTAATGCTTCTTTACGGAAGGACACCCTGAGTGCTGCTTTAATGTTTTCATCACAGAGTTGAAGGATTCAGCCACCGATTCAGATTGAACCTAAAGCATAATACTAGTATGATTCAGTTGAATGTAAATGCGATCCAGAGCCTTTCTGTGTGTTCTCTAGGTGAAGAAGCTAGTTCCTCAGAGGGATGGTGCCCTCCAGGAGGAGATGGCAAGTCAGCATGCCCACGAAAGGCTGAGACGACAGTTTGCTGCACAGGCTAATCTCATTGGACCCTGGATACAAACCAGGATGGAGGTTAGACATCAGACTTCATGAGCAATTTTGACATCTTCATCTAATCAAAGAGACATGGAATGGAGGATGATCGTACTTAAATGCATTGTACATTGTAGGGAGGTGCAATGGTGGTTGCTGCCTTGATAATGACGATAATTCAATATGGCAAAGTATGATAATCCACTTTAAATATCCCTTGATCAAATCCTATAGCTCCTGGTAGAGTTTGCTCTTCGCCACAGGTAAAGTACTTTCTGCTGAATTTGCAGTGACGAACCATCTGATCCGTTGACTCGTATCGCATGAGCCCAGCTGGTACAAAAATGAAGTTGACCTTGTTGGGTGTGCTATCCTGACAGGAAATTGGGCACTGCTCCCTGGAGATAGGAGGCACCCTGGAGGACCAGATGACACAGCTGAAGCAATGTGAGCACGTCATTGTTGCTTACAAGCCCAACATCGACAAGTTGGAGGGAGACCACCAGCTAATCCAAGAGTCCCTGGTGTTCGACAACAAACACACCAACTACACCATGGAGGTACGGCAGATCATGGCAGACATGATCACTGCATGGATGTGCAGTATACTCACACACATCCATAGATTCTGCATCTCGGTCAGTTGTTTTTGGGCTGCCTAGATCAGAAAACATGTGATTCAACAAGGTGTTCAGATCCGACTCTCCACTCTGTATGTTACAGTAAGGCTCCTTCAAATATATAGCATATTTTCTAAATGAAATATGTGTGTATTTAGATGGAAAGCGAGAGAAAATTAGAGTATGTTAACATGCTCTTTTAGACAACTAGCATTCAAGTATTACTCTGAAAAAGTAATGTTTCTCCTGTTTTTGTTTTTAAAAACAAAAATGTAGTTTTTCCCCACATTCTCGGTACCCTCAAGGTGCGTCCTCTGTTAACACGACTGCTCTTGTCACCACATCAAAAGCATATCCGCGTCGGGTGGGAGCTGCTCCTCACGACCATCGCACGGACCATCAACGAGATCGAGACCCAGATCCTGACCCGGGATGCCAAAGGCATCAGCCAGCAGCAGATGAAGGAGTTCAGATCCTCTTTCAACCACTTTGACAGGGTACTGACTCATTCAGCCCATCTTTTTTTTTTTTTTTTTGAGGCAATTTCAGAGACTGATCTGAAGCAATCAGAGCGATTCTGGAAGCGGAGCAGTGGGTAGCTCTATGTTTAGAGATGCCCTGTAGTTTTCATTCAAGTTACATCGGTAATGTAGGAATATCTCACCCAGCCAGAGATTAACAGCAGGGATGATACACCTGCCAAATACAAACTCCAAATAATATTGCCGTGTGCTGATGTCACCGATAAGAAACTTATCAGTCTGTGAATGCAATTACTATGTTCTAGTGTGCACGTTACAATGACTTCTTTGCCAAGTTTTTAAGCTCTCGGGGATCAGTAATCTTGAAATGTTCAAGATGTCTTATCACTACAGATAAAAACATTAAGGGTCTTAAAGTTGAAAAACTTTCTATTTATTTTATCACTGTTTATCTGCTTGTCGGGTGGAAATGTTTTTTAGGATGGAGTCTGTCATGTTTTCTAGTATATTGAAAAGCTTGTTCTACTTTAGGATGCATTTGGTCCTTTTAGTCACTCACCTCACTCTACTTCCCTCCTTTCTGTTCTGTGAACCTTCAAAATGTGCTTCTGACTGTAGAAGAAAAATGGAGCAATGGAGACCGATGACTTCCGAGCCTGCCTCATCTCTATGGGTTATGACTTGGTATGTGTTTCAAATGGGAATGGGAGTTTTCTCATTAGTGCCGTACACATGCATACTACAAAGTGCTCATACTCCATCTATGTGGTTGTCAGGGGGAGGTGGAGTTTGCCCGTATAATGATCCTGGTGGACCCCAATGGTACTGGGAACGTCTCCTTCCAGTCTTTCATTGATTTTATGACTAGAGAGACTGCTGACACGGACACCGCCGATCAGGTTGTGGCGTCCTTCCGGATCCTCGCAACTGACAAGGTACGTGTATGTGTGTGTTCCTGTGTTTGTGTTAGCGCGGCATGATGGTGTTCAGGCAGCACTAATTTACTCTTTTCCAGTCCGTAGTTTTCAATGGCATGTTGATTTCTGGTCTCTGGTTTTGTACATGATCTTTTAATGGAAAGGGGCAGTGGTATTAGCATGAATGTTTGGGGAAACATGTCCAAAGCGTTTTTTTTTTCTTCCACAGCCCTACATATTGGTGGAGGAGCTGAGGAGAGAACTTCCTCCCGAACAAGCAGAGTACTGCATCATGAGGATGCCGCCTTACTCCGGCCATGGAGCACCACCAGGGGCGCTGGACTACACGGCCTTCTCCACCGCTCTCTATGGAGAGAGTGACCTTTAACCGACTAGAAACACCCCCTGTGTACCTAACCACACCCTCCATCTCTTGATGAATTCTAAAGAATATCAAATATAAATCTGTTTAGTTTAATGTTTGTGACCGCACCAGATTATTTGATTTCTGACATTGGACAATTGTCTTGGTTCTCCTCTTCTGCCCATTTTGAATTAGAAATGTCCCCTAAACAAATTGAAACTGTTTTAAATTGTTTTTAAACTGTTTTTTAAACACAAGAGAAACAACGCCTTCTGTGATGAAGAAACACCTAGAAGAGAAATTGACTCCAATAGAATAGACACTGAGTAGTGAGCCAACAGAATCATGGTATTGCTTTATTTTCAGTTGAAGACCTGTTTTATCTAGAAGCGGCTCTTCACAGTGCCTCCTTTTTGGGAAAACATGCATCTGAATAAGGATTTTGAGATGCTTTAAATAAAATTAGAAAGAAGCGGTTTTGAACCTGCTGCCACGCAACAAGAAACAGTGTAGAAAATGGTATTTCCTAAAGTCTAAATATAAATATACAATAACAAGCCACAGAGAGAAAGAATTGCCACATGATTGATAGTGATGTTTACTATTGCTAAGTGGTTTAAAGGCAGATAACACATACAATTAAATGTGCAGTATTTGAGTATATTGTTTTTCCATTAAAAAATGTTTTAGGCAAACAAACTTGTTAATGCTGACATGCCTAAGAAAATACACATAAGGCAATAAAGATCAAATGAAGCAGCACCATATTTTCCCATCTTTTTGCTGTATTCCTGTGCTGAAGTTGGTTTCCCTTGACCCATTCAAAACCTTTTTTTTTTCAATCATACATGATTTGTCCACTGTTTTAAATAAACTCTCCTTAACAAACTATACTATCCTACTGAAATGGAGTATTTAACAATTCAGTAGTCTGAATTTTTACAAAATATGCTTGTTATATACTAATGTATAACACTATTTACTCATGCAAATGATTCTGATAAATACAATTGACTGATACTGATTAAAAAACATAATAAATCAAATGTTTTGTGTGATGGATTTTACATGCATTGGCAGTTTGTAAATTATGCAAGAGTACTAAAATACTTCAGATTGGAGCAATACCCATTAAAAGAAAAGTATGCTTAAATAAATCAGTTCTTGTACATTCTCCTCTGCACTTTGTCGCCATAGTGATTGGGAGACTGATGCTGCAAAATCTGTATTTACAGCTGTGGTTGAAGTTTAACTTGGTAAAGTAGAGGGAAAGTGATGTCTGCAATGACAGCTTCTGACATTTCAATTTTTCAACATGATTTACTTTCTACTCATAGAGCATTGCCTTTTGGTCTTCGTGGGCATCATGAATATTCAATAATTTTAGGAGATCTATTTTTGTTCTCCAAAGAGATACCGATAGTCGAACCAAGGATTGAAGAGGAACAATGCGGTTTTCGTCCTGGTTTTCGTCCTGGTCGTGGAACAACGGACCAGCTCTTCACTCTTTCCAGGATCCTTTCCAGGATCATAGAGGGGGCTTGGGAGTATGCTCAACCAGTCTACATGTGTTTTGTGGACTTGGAGAAGGCGTATGACCGGGTCCCCCGAGAGATACTGTGGGAGGTGCTGCGGGAGTACGGGGTGAGGGGGTCCTTGCTTGGGGCCATCCAATCCTTGTACGCCCAAAGCGAGAGCTGTGTTCGGGTGCTCGGCAGTAAGTCGAAGGCGTTTCCGGTTGGGGTTGGCCTTCGCCAGGGCTGCGCCTTGTCACCAATCTTGTTTGTGGTCTTCATGGACAGGATATCGAGGCGTAGTCGGGGGGAGGAGGGTCTACAGTTCGGGGGGCTGCGGATCTCATCGCTGCTTTTTGCAGATGATGTGGTCCTGATGGCATCTTCCGTCTGTGACCTCCAACTCTCACTGGAGCGTTTCGCAGTCGAGTGTGAAGCGGTCGGGATGAGGATTAGCACCTCTAAATCTGAGGCCATGGTTCTCAGCAGGAAACCGATGGATTGCCTACTCCAGGTAGGGAATGTGTCCTTACCCCAAGTGAAGGAGTTCAAGTACCTTGGGGTCTTGTTCACGAGTGAGGGGAAGATGGAGTGTGAGTTTGGCCGGAGAATCGGAGCAGCGGGGGCGGTATTGCACTCGCTTTACCGCACCGTTGTGACGAAAAGAGAGCTGAGCCGGAAGGCAAAGCTCTCGATCTACCGGTCAATCTTCGTTCCTACCCTCACCTATGGTCATGAAGGATGGGTCATGACCGAAAGAACTAGGTCACGGGTACAAGCGGCCGAAATGGGTTTCCTCAGGAGAGTGGCTGGCGTCTCCCTTAGGGATAGGGTGAGAAGCTCAGCCATTCGCGAGGAGCTCGGAGTAGAGCCGCTGCTCCTTTGCGTCGAAAGGAGCCAGTTGAGGTGGTTTGGGCATCTGGTGAGGATGCCCCCTGGGCGCCTCCCTAGGGAGGTGTTTCAGGCACGGCCAGCTGGGAAGAGGCCCCGGGGAAGACCCAGGACTAGGTGGAGAGATTATATCTCTGCACTGGCCTGGGAACGCCTTGGGATCCCCCAGTCAGAGCTGGTAGATGTGGCCCGGGAAAGGGAAGTTTGGGGTCCCCTGCTGGAGCTGTTGCCCCCGCGACCCGACCCCGGATAAGCGGTTGAAGATGGATGGATGGATGGATGGATGGAAAGAGATACAAAGGGGACTGGTGTGTAATTTTGTACAAATTATTTGGAAAACTGAGACTGTTTGAACATTTCAGAAGGATTATGGTAAAGATTAGCTAAATATAGAACTGAGTGTATATTTAAAAAAGGGTATAAATGTAAAGACTAAGGAGGGTTCGGAGCAGGGGTTCCCAACCACCGGGCCGTGGACCGATAGCGTCCCCGTCGGCCGGTTATTTTAATCCACACCTCCACACATCCAAATATTGTCTAACATGAAAAACCATCTATGAGGCAAAAAAGGTTGGAGAACCCTTGTTTAGAGTAATAGATCACCACTTGAGTATTTGCATTATATACTTTAAACCTGCACTCCAATTTGGAAACCATTATTGAGCAATTTACTCCACTATATTGTCATATGAAACTATGAATGAGTCACATCTCAAAACAATTTTTTTTAATTTACTAAAACATTATATATCTATAGGTTAAGTTACCAAGAGCTGTACAATGTATTTGGAATTAGCTGCAACGTTAGTATCCGCCAAATGACTGGCATCAATTATATTTCAAAAATGTTCTGGAATGAACCATTCTGCAAAGTACTTGTACTTGTACTTGTGGTTCTTTGAGTATATTTTGATGCATTACTTTGAAGCTTTTATAATATTTTATAACCGTGGAATTGAAAAATAAATTGGAGTTCTTAAGACATAAGATTTTAATTTGCAACAACTTCTTCTTTCATTTTGGTGCATTTGCAAATAACAGGAAACTTGAAAGCACTTTAGACTCATAGACTCACAAAACCTCCAAAATTGAGCATTCGTTTTCCCCACATGACCAAAAAAAAAACATGGAGTCCTTGGGTCCCGGATTTGAAAAGCAGACTCCGCCCTCACATCAACAGCGGCACACCTTTTCGCCCCTGTTCCTCCAGTCCTCTTCTCTCACCCTGAGTGCCAGCAATGCTGCTCAAGTGTGCCTAGTGTAACGTGGCTAGTTTGATTCTAACAATGGCCGACACGGGAGAGGGCGATGACGAATTCCACTTTCTACGAACAGTGAGTCAGCCATTTGTCAAATTAACTCAAATGTAATGTCAGCAGCTTGTTTGAGAGGATGGTGTTGGGTATCCAAGCTTAACTAACTAACCAGTCCAGCTCCAGGAGGGTCAACAATTATTCAAACTACTGTAGCTCCTTGGAAGGGCGCCTGTGAATCCTTTAAACTGGTTAGGTTGAAATTCTAAACGCTATTCTTCTAAAGTGTAACCAGATGAACTGATTTTGATGAATTATTTGAATCCCCTCATGTGTAATATTGTCATCTTTTCGTGAGATATTCTAGTATAAACATGCCTTTCTTTAGTTATTCATCTAAATTAAGCATTGTCATACACAGCGGGGCCCTCATATAAAAGTTCTTCACTTCATGGTGTTTGTTTTATTAAAATGTTGTAAAAGTAACATAATAATATATACAGGTTGCATTAATAACAATCAGATTTAATTAAGTATGCTCTATTTTAGTGCAAGTCTCCCAGCAGTATTTTTGTTTCTATCTCCATTAGTTTGTTTAGTTGGATCACTGACTGAGTGAAGAAAGACGACAAATTGCTTTTTTTTTTCCGCCCCCACTACAAGATGCTATCGATGCGACCCAGTTGTAAGTCGTCCCCTCGCAGCTTGGTATCTTTAAACCCTGATAGGGGCACGTCACAGGGAGAGTGTGGATGACATACTCACACAGGTAGTGATACAGGCATTGAAGCAGATGAGCAACTCAACCACAGTAATGATGCAAACGTTGAGTCATTTTGGAGAATTAAGCTACGATACAAAATTGTGTTATGGATCTGTTTCTCATCTCTCTCACATCATCATTATAGATCTGTGTCATTACAACTGATGCTGTGTTTGCCCTGAAAAATTGTTCCGCAGAGGCAGGAAGCCATCCAGATCCTGACAATTATCAATTTAACTATCACGATGAGAGCAGAAACAAAGTGATTCAATTGATGGCCTTTTTTGAAATTGTACATTTGTGCTTTAGTACCTGAAGGTGCATGTTTTATGTCATAAAGTGCTTTTTATGATGTAAGGTGGTCCTCATCTGAGGCAAGGTGTTCTGTCTCCTCTTTCGTACATCACTGTGAAATATACAAATAGCAATAAATAGACCAGCCTCATTTTCCAAGAATGCTTGCAGTCAAATAAACATTTTTTGTTTGTTTCAGCTCGGACATTTTTATTAAGTCTTAAGTAGCATAGTTTGTTTTCCAGATGTTCCCTGTAGTAGATTTGAGTCGTTTAGCCCTCCGAATGCCCCACAGTGCCTCAGAAGTGTGTTTGACTGATAGCAGAGAACTGCTGATATGAAGAGTGAAAGGAAGAGTGAATCAGAGGTCAGACAGCGCAGTATCTTCCTAACACGGAGCTATGCAGCCTTTATAGAGAGGTGTTGGTAGACCTTTTAGACTAGTCGTCTGCTCTCCTTCTCTGCAGTTCTTTAAATAGACGTGGAGTACCTTATACCTTTGACGTAGTGCATTGGGCATTTAGATAAGATACATTTTAGGGGAGAGAGATCCACTGTTATGCATTTAAGGTTGGGCTCTACCATGTTTTGCAGATGTACTCTAAGGGACACAATTCATCTTTTTACACATAATACATTTCTGCGTTATTTCATTTATTGATAAAATATTTGAGGTTGGTTTAGAGCATGGCTAAAGGGTTATTCATGCTGGCACTAACAGATGTGTCAGGGCACCATGAAGACGCTTTGAACTCCCCTAAATCACTTTCTCCATTTAGTTGTGAGTCGTTGTGTCCCTACAACCTACATTTAGGAGGTAGAGCAGCGCTTAGATTTATTTTCCAGGATGGTCAATAATTGAAAAATTGACAAAATTGTTGTAATACATTTGGCAGGAATTCTATGATAGCACTTTTAAAATGTCTGTTAATCTGTTACTCTTATGCTTGTTCTTACTGATGGCATCGCTGTGTGTTTGTTTTTTGTCAGGGAGATGAGGTCGTTTTGCAGAGTACCTTCACCTCCCTGGAGGAACATGTGAAAATCTGTCTTGGAGCCGAAGGATTTGGCAGCAGACTCTGCAGGCTTGAGCCCACTTCTAACTGCAAGGTAAGGAGCTGTACCTCAATGAGCCTCTTTCGTTGTTTCTCCATTACTGGAACACTTCATCTCCCTTAAAATATTAATGTTAAAAGAGAGCAAACATTCTGAAAATATTTCTGTAATTGTCTCCTAGCATATCACATGTAATATTCAACATTTAACTTAATAATTGAATAGTTAAATACTTAATTATTTATTCAGCATATTTTTATTATGTATTTGTCTAATTTTGGGTGCCAGACTTTGCCACTACATTACATTATATTACATTATATGCCATTTAGCTGACACGTTTATCCAAAGCGACTTACAATAAGTGCATTCAACCATAGGGATAGAAACTTAGAAGAGCAAGAAACAAAAAAGTGTAATTTCCACTATAATCCAGTTTGCCCGGTTGCCAATTTGCTGTGGTCTCTATAATTGCTAACTGCATTGTTGAAGGGTAGATGGAGTAGACAGATATGAAAATGACTCCTGCTCTTCGCCTTTTCATTTATCCCAGAATGTGCCACCAGACTTGTCCGTGTGCGGCTTCGTCATGGCCCAGTGTCTGTCTGTTCGGGCCCTGCAGGAGATGCTTGCCCAGAGTGAGCACCTGGCTGCAGAGGTGAGAGTCTTCTCGTCTCCCCTCAATTAGCAATGGAATTCATATTGTAATTCATGGTATGAATTGGATTTCATGAATCGAATTAATTGGAATTTTGACATTTGCCACATTCACATTCTGTGGAGCCACGAGGTTATAACAATCTTATTGGACGAACGAGGCGATATCAAAGACGCAATGGTTGAAACAGGTGGTGTTGAGCATAGAAATAAAAGAGAGAGAAGTAGAAAAAAAAATTAACTTTTAAATCAACATACCCGTTTTATTTGTACTGTGGTTATTGCAACTTTTGTAGCAGGTTAACTTCCTTAAAACCTAAAAGGATTTACGGCACGTTCGGCAATTTTCTTTAACCAGTGTAGCATTGAAGTAACACGTAATTGCCATTTTATTTTGTTCTAGTCAAATGAACATTAAAAACAAATACACGTCTGTTCTATTATATTGCTATACGTGTTTATATAAAGTAAGCAAACAATTTCAATGACACATTTTCTGATGATTGTTACTTTAATATTCTCATACAAATATATATTTATCAATTCATTCACTGAGTCTTTGTTTCTATTTATTTATTTTTCAGTTTATTCAATGGTCACACTAGTGTTGGCATGTTTACTCATCCTCTTAAATTCAATTCATTCAACTTGAGTCCCAGGGGGAAGCTGGAGGAAGCCATCGCACCCTTCTGTATGGCCAGGCCGTATTGTTCCTGCACTCGCACAGTGGCATGGTGAGTCATCTTGATTACGACACAACTGCAAATCACAAAGGGTGTGTCTGACTTATTGCAGTTCAATTCCATTTAATAAAAAGTACTTCTCACATATCTGTTGTTTACATCCCTCCCAGTATCTCAGCTGCTTGTCCTCATCTCACGCGTCTACAGACAAGCTGGCATTCGATGTCGGCCTGCAAGAGGACAAAGCAGGTATTTGTTGTTTTTAAACCAATAAACTCCAATCTAAAATATTTAGATGTCTTTATTCTTGAGACTTGATTTCATTTTTGAGCACACTAAATATCACGCAGAACCCTAAAAACATTCCTAAGTGTGCATTCGGTGTTGGTGGCTCAGGTGAGGCTTGTTGGTGGACGGTCCACCCAGCGTCCAGACAGAGGTCAGAAGGGGAGAAAGTCCGTGTTGGGGATGACCTCATACTGGTCAATGTTTCCTCGGAGCGATATCTGGTGAGTCAGTAAAGAAGATAACGTCTTTTACGGTTTGATGATGTACTGATCTGATGTGTGACTAAACAGCCTGAGTTTTGGGTGCCGTTGCGTTCTGACTAGTGGGCGATCTGTGTTCCCTCCACCATCTGATGAAATGAGCATACTCGTCTATAATAACTGCTGTTACAGAGAGGAACAATCCGAAGTTGTATTCCTTCTTGATGTGCCCATTTCTTATTCCTTCCCAGCACCTGTCCTTCGGCACTGCACTGGACATGAAGAGCTTGAGTGAAAGCCTGATTGTTAATGCCGCCTTCCAGCAGACCCTCTGGAGTGTTGCTCCCATCTGCTCTGGAAGTGGAGTTGCTCAAGGCAAGTTTTTTTTCCCCTTCTTTGTCTTCAAGCGTATTGGAACCCCCACTCTCGTTTCCCCAAGGAATGTAATCCTATTGATAGTTGTATCCAAGAAACAGGATTGTCCAAAGAGGTATTCTCGCCACATGTAATGTTCATTGTAATGTCCCCTCATCATCAATGAGTCCCAATCAGGTTGCAAATGTTTAAATGCAGATTTTGTTTGTTTGCAGTGTAAGAGCTGCACCTACAATCCATATGAAGCATACCCTCTGCTATTTGAGTTGTATTGATTACCCATTCTTTAAACATGCAGTAAAATGTCCTTTTCGGTGTATATTCTTTCCGGTTGTACTTATTGTAGGATACCTGAGGGGAGACGACACATTGCGGCTGCTCCACAGCCACAGCGATGCATGTCTGACTATTCCGTCCACACAGCAGGGGGAGGAACTGCAGAGGTGCGTTCAATAGGCCGGTCACCTGTCACGGCAGCTGGAGAAAACGCCCTTCACACCTGCGCGCATGTTGTTTTTATTCGATTTTTATTTTAGGATAATGCATTACGAGACCGGATCAGTTTCCAGCCATGCCCGCTCCCTCTGGAGGCTGGAGATCCTTCGTGTTGTGTAAGTAGACAGCGATCAGCGATGATCCGCCCACTTACGTTTTGGCAGTTTTGAATATGTGAAGCTCTATCTGGTCCATAAGTCTCATTAGCGGGGAAAAGAAAATGATGTGGTTGTCATGCTACGCTGCACACACTGCTGCTGGTCATTACCACAGCCGACAGGCAACTTTCCGCTTCTGCTGTTTCAGCCCACAAAGGTTGGAACCATATTTAATATCACTTGCCCAGAATGAAATTGGGGTTGCATGTCTCCTGCTCGCTCCCCACCAGTTTCAAATAAAATAGGAAGAACTAAATGTAAAAAGCCTCACAAGGAAAGTTCAGTCGGCCTCCAAAGGAAAACAGAAACATCTCCTGCTCCTGATGTTCCTCAGTTGGAGTGGCAGACATGCATCCTGGGGGCAGCCTTTCCGCCTGTGCCATGTGACCACCGGGAGGTACCTGGGACTCACAGAGGAGAAGGGCCTGTATCTGGTCGACCGAGACAAGGCCGATGTCGACACAACCTCCTTCTGCTTTCGATCATCAAAGGTCAGGAGAAATATCCTGGCTTTAGTTAAAGCTGCAGTTATTGATCCATACTCAAAAGTATTCTATAAAGGACTATAAGGTGATTCATGTTGACACACTCTGTGATTCACTCAATAAAAGATTTTCACCCACAGGAGAAGCTTGACTCTTGCACAAAGACTCATGTTGACGGCATGGGGGTCCCAGAGATCAAATACGGAGACTCCATCTGTTATGTTCAGCATGTAGAGTCCGGGCTCTGGCTCACCTACCAAGCTGTTGATGCCCAATCTACACTCATGGGATGGGCTCAGCGAAAGGTAAACTCTCACATTCAACTTAGGCTGGATTAAAAGTTAGAAACGCATGAAGATTAGCAAATACATAAGTGTGAATAAGTGCACAATTACAGTTGAATACATCAAGGGGCTAAAGGAAGGGCTTTCTAATGGTGTCGTTTTAGGCCATTTTGCACAGCGAGGGTCACATGGACGACGGGCTTTCGCTGTCTCGTTGTCAGAGGGAAGAGTCTCACACTGCCAGACTGATCCGGAGTGCCACTCTACTCTTCACTTGCTTCATTAGGTACTGGAGGTCGTGTCTACGTTCTGGTTATCCTGTGACTCTCCTCGCTGTAGCTTTCATCTTAGTCTTGTAGTATAAGTACTCTATTTTTATTATCCATTTTTAGGAAATTGGATTGTTTGATACAGGAAGGAAACCTCCCATCTGTCAGCCCGCCGATGGAGATAGTGGCATGTAGTCTGAAGGATCTAATACACTACTTTCTGCCTCTGGAGGGGTTGAGCCATGAAGCTAAACAGAACAACATGACAGCACTAAAGAATCGGCAAAACATGTTTCAGGAAGAGGTAAATCTATGTGGGAATTATTCAAATTGACACAAACACGTGACATGTTGGTCAATCATCCATACATTCACCCTCTTTTCTTCCCAGGGAGTGATAGATTTGGTCCTAGATTGTATTGACCGTCTACACCAATATAGTAGTGGCTCTCATTTTGCTGCTCACAATGACGCACAACAAGAGTGGGTGCGCATCCTCAACAATTTCTATGAGCTCCTGGGTGAGAATCAACGCACATCTTATCAGTATAGATGGCTCAATACAGCTTCTTTTTTTCCGTCTAACACACATATACACATTACATCGAAAGGTTTAAATTGAGCCATTTTGCATGAAATACATGGGTTGTGTTGCTGCAAAGTCATGTAAATCCTGAACTCTTCAAATTAAATCTTTTCCCTCCTCAGCTGCGCTGATCCGGGGAAACCGTCGGAGCTGTGCACATTTCTCAGCTTCTCTGGACTGGCTGATTAGCAGGCTGGACCGTCTAGAGGCCTCTTGTGGTCTGTTTAATTTTTGTGCAATTCATCATCAATCCATCATTTTAAATAGTCGTACGTAAAAATAGATTTGGTGCAATATAGTTTGAGTGACATCAGTGCCATTATGTAGTGAAATACAAGGTATATTCTGTTGTGTGCTGTACGTTGGTCTCTGAGAATATTGGTAATATTGGGGTTTTATCCTGTGGTAATGAGCATTGCATCCCTGTACAGGAGTCCTAGAGGTTCTCCACTGTGTCCTAGTGGAAAGTCCTGAAGCTCTCAATGTCATCAAAGAAGGACACATTCTTTCTATCATCTCTTTTCTAGACAAGCACGGATGCAACCACAAGGTGACGCTTGGCAGAGAGGGGGGGGGGGGGGGGGGGGCAGAAGTAATTTCCATGCTTTACCAATAATGAAAATAGCTTTTTTTCTTCATTTGTTCAGTTCATTTCTCATGGAAAGCACATATTATTATCAATTACCGTGAATGAGCCAGAAATGTAGCCGGGAGGCCGGTTCTCGCCTGGTATCACTGCAGGCCGCTACGGCACTTTCCTAATTTGTCATCAAGTTTGTGCGTTAATCAAGAGCTTTGCTGGATGAAGGGCTGACGGGTTGTGTTCCAGGTGCTGGAGGTGCTGTGCTCGCTCTGCGTGTGTCACGGTGTAGCTGTGCGATCCAATCAGAACCTCATCTGTGACAACCTGCTGCCAGACAGAGACTTACTGCTCCAAACACGTCTGGCTAATCAGGTCACCAGGTACGACTTTTACGATGTACGATGTTTTTAGCTTTTCTAAATACATCTAACTCCTTTGTGTCTTTGAAACATTTCCCTGCATTCGAAATAGTCTACAAGCAGCGCAGTGCCAGTGCAAATGCTGCTTGTTTCAGAACGGGATGAATGCTCGGCCTGTGGTTTTGCTGCTTGCGGGCTGCTGAGAAACAGCCGGTAAAATACCGTCCAAGTCGAAACCCTCTTGGCCGGAAACTCAGGTCAAATGCATTTCAACATAAACTCCACGGTTAGAGCATTGATCGAATTAGCTGTGGTATTTTGCCTTTGCTTGCAACAAAAAACAGTCATGATTTGTCATGGCAGAGTGATTTAGAGCTACGTGTGGGCTTTCAGCGCACAGACTAACGGGAAGTGACGAACTGCTATGATATCCAGCTTCAAAAACAGAACGCAGTCACTGAGGTTTTTAGTTAGAATTGGTCTGCATGTGTCAGTCACTAGTCGCAAAAATCATACACAGAAAAGTCACATAAAAGATGGAAACTGCTCGTTGACCCCCGGGGAAGTTAAAACAACTTTGGTAGTTACGTTAGTAGAGGTGACCCTGAAAAGTTGAAAATTGCCTGATTCTGTTGCTATAAACAAGCTAAAAAAATAGTCACATGTCAGCTGTAGATGTCTCATGGCACATCCGCAGTTATGTCCACAGCCTCCATGCAAGACATACTTGAGATGTCCCCCCTGTGCAGAAGGTCAGATTTTCTCAGATGAACTCGAGTTGATTGAAGGACCTACTTGTGTCCTTCAGTCGAGTCTCTTTAATTTGCACCGCCATTTCTTTTTTTTTTGGAGTAGATCCTATCAATGATGTCCAAGCATAACAGATGGTTTCGTTTCAGCCTCTTCCAATGAGATTGTGTAAAAGTTGTTTGCTGCCTGTGGGGTTTATGGTTGACAGATTTAATCTTTTTGTGGTACTTTTTCATCAGATTCCATCCCTGAATATTTTAGCCGGCTTTGCCAGTCTGATCTTGTAGACAGTTTCCATTTCCCTTTTCCTTTGACCTTATTTTATTATTTTCTAGATTTGTTTTTTACTCCGTCTGCCCTTTCTCCTGTAGCAGCTGCCTTCTTTTATCATGCTTTCTCTCTATCAGCAGCCCATTTTGTTCCTCGGGCCCTGTAGCTTATTTTGTTTCTTCCCACCTGCTCAGTCAATTCCCCTGCTCTCACTCCCTTCTCCAGCCATTTCTCATTCTATCTATTCCACTCCTTGTTCAACTAACCCAAATGACTCATTAGTTCAGCTGTTTTCCTTTGTCCCGTTAATTTATTTTCTCTTTTCCATCTTCTCTTCCTCGTCCACCACATTAAGTCAGTTATATTCTTTGTGTCTTTGTCCATTCTACGGATCCCTTTCTCTCCAATCTCTTAAAGCACTTTAACCCGGTCACACATTTCTTACCTTGTCCTTCCCCCATCCTCTCAATGGCCCTCATCCCTTTCCTAACGTCTCCACTGTCATGAACACTCTGTCAAGTGCCAGGTTAGTGTCAATGTAGGAACTAAAATTTATTTTCTCAAGGCCGGACTGATATCCAACAACATGTTGATGATTTTATCTGAGACAGAAGTCCCTTTTTTGTGGTACTTGTGGCTTCTAACTTGTCTCAGGTAATATAGTTTCTACATTGCGAGAGCCTGGTTCTATATTTGCTCATTCATTTACAGCCTGACAGCAATGCAGTGTGCTGCGTCCTTGATGTTTGTTCTGTCTGTACTGTGGAGAGCATCCAATGCCCTGCACAAGGAAAATGCAGTATACATGGCACAATATAAAAGAAAAATCAAAAGGATCTACCAGAACAAGTTTAAACCTTAGATATTGTATTTTGTACAACAAAGTATCTGTGTTGTAAAGTGGTGATAAGTTAATGCAAGATTTTACTACACTGCATTTAACTCTCTGAGATTTGTCAATTGTTACTCATGTAGTGGTCATAATCACATCGCTGTATCATTCTGAAGAACTATCAATGGTTTTGAAGTAAATGTTCTAAAATACACTGAAATCAAAACAATATACAACAAAATCTTTTTTGTGCCCTTGTTTCTCTGCACACCACAGCATGAGACCAAACATCTTTTTGGCTCTGGGAGAAGAATCGGCCCAGCATCGTAGGTGGTACTATGAGCTGGTTGTAGACCATGTTGACTCCTTCCTCACATCCGAGCCCACCCACCTGCGCATCGGCTGGGCTCGCTCCGAGGGCTACCTGCCCCGGCCCACCGGAGGGGAAGGCTGGGGGGGGAACGGAGTGGGAGACGACCTCTGCTCGTATGGCTTTGATGGGCTTCACCTCTGGTCGGGTGAGGATGAGATCAAACAAGGGATACAAATGTCAAACTACAGCATGAGCAAAACTTAAAGAGCTTAAAGAGATGGGCGCTCAAAATGAAGCATTTCAGACAGAGGGTGCAGACATTATCAGATAAATATTATTTTCTTTTATATTAAATATTGTTCTAAAATGCAACAATCAATTAATAGAATAGAAATATTCTGCGGCACTTAAATACTGTTACGTTTTTTACTTGAGGAGAAATCAGCAACTTCCTTCCAAAATAAGTCTGACCATGGATGACAGGGAATGCTGTGTCTCCTCAGGCTTCGTGGGCCGCAGGGTGAACTCTCCCTTCCCTCACCTGCTGAAAGACGACGATGTGGTGAGCTGTTGTCTGGACCTCAGTGCTCTCTGCATCTCCTTCCGAGTCAACGGACTCCCCGTGCAGGGCATGTTGGAGAACTTCAGCGCCGATGGACTTCTTCATCCTGTGGTCAGCTTCTCTGCAGGAGTCAAGTCAGTAGTGGAGGTTTTTATTTAACTTAATTCAGCGGTCTGTATTCAGAGCTATTTTAGATGTCAGTGCGCAGCCCCTTTCATAGTAAAGAGTAGGGCTTTCACGCATTAATTCATGCGATTAATGTGGCCGAGATTAATGCAACAAAATATTTTAACGTACGTTTGCTTATTTCTGTCCTGCAGTTTAACGTGCACGGACCTATTTCCAACATGGAAAAAAGGCACTTAATACAAAATGCGCTCGAATTATATAGTCTCTAAGAGCATTTATGATTGGTTATTAAGATGGAGGCGGCTCTTGCTTAGAACCCTCGGAGAGCCTCATTGGAGCACAGGGATGTCCATCCTTCAGGGCTCTGGGATCATCACGCCTGCTGTTGTTTATCAGTTCTACATATCAGGATGTTTGCAAGATGAGTGCAAGATACAGTAATAATAATATTAGTGATTGGCGCAGTTCTAGGTATGGACATGTTATTCTTAAAATAGGGAACAGGTGGTTCCTGTTGAACTGCATTTGACCCAGATAGTGCTGCATCTTTTTGCAACATGTTTGTGTGGTGGTGTTGTGACTTGAAATACATGTTGTTTGTGCAATCTGGCCTTTAAGCGGCCTTCACCCATTATTGCTATGCATTTATAGTTCGAGTGTAATTTCATTCTAGCGTAAGCGTGCATGTTTATATTTTAATACTCAACAGCGGCACACAGTCTGCAGAGGACGACCACCCTGTCCCTAAAAGGCGTGGTTTGAAAACGTTCTGGCTAAATGTGAGGAGATTGTTGTCACTTAGCCGTTAAATTATGGACCGGAGAGGACAGCAGGAAAAGTCGCTAGTTCAACATGTTCCACCAGGTGGAATTCTGCCATCAAATGTGTGTAGTTTTGTGTTTAAATTAACACATGTTCGTCTAAAATACACACTTTTGTAAGGGATTACTTATTACTTTTAATATTTTAAGACAGCCCTAGTAATGATGCATTTGACTACCCTTCAAAAAACATTATAATGCATTTTGGTCCGAATTCACACTTGTGTCTCTATGGGTGCCGCAATGCGAACTGTACATGTCTTCCATGTCCCCTTTTCCTGGAATTCAGGGTTCGCTTTCTGTTCGGAGGAAAGCACGGAGAGTTTCGCTTCCTGCCCCCACCGGGTTTCGCTCCGTGCTCTGACGCTCTACTGCCGGGGGTCGAGCTGAAGGTGGGGCCATGTCAGAAATACATTTTGGCTTGCGGGGAGGGGAAACAAGAGCTCATTGGCCCCTTAGTACCTGCGACTCCATTGACCTTCACTCCCACACCGGTAGACATCAGCGAGGTAAACAATCAGCTGGAGTTAAACAGAATGTCTTATTCATTCTTACCATTGCCTTTTGCCTTTTATGATACTAAATTGGATCAAAGTATATTTTTTTAATTGCAATAATTGCAGTGCATAGTTCACAATTTGAAGTCAAGTCAAGTCAAGTCATTTTATTTTGTATAGCCCAGAATCGCAAATTACAAATTTGCCTCAATTTGAAGTGTATCCTTTATTCTGTTCTTTACTATAATGGTAGCTTGCTAACCCTGTATCAATATTGCTCTCGATAGGTGGTCCTGCCCCCACAACTTGAGGATATCAGTGAAAAAATGGCTGAGAATATCCATGAACTCTGGGCAATGGATAGAATTGATCTTGGATGGACCCATGGGCTTGTAAGAAAAGAGAAACAACATAATTGATTTTATTACATTTCATGCATGAAGTTGCTTGGTCACATATGTCAGAGATTATTACCACAAAAACACGACAATTGAAACTTCTCCAATAGGTGAAAGATGAAGTTAAGAAGCATAACACATGTCTGGTGGAGTTCTCCAAGCTGTCGGAGCAGGAGAAGAACCAAAACCTTCAAATGAGTCAGGACACCCTCAAGTGAGCCGTCCACTATCTGCATCTAAAAATACACAAAACTAACATTCCCTTGATGTTTTTTTTTCATGGTTAGTCAAATTTCTTGTTTTTCCACTGGAGGACTCTCCTTGCCCTTGGTTTCCACATTGGTCTGACTGATGACCACGCTGAGGAGAGAATAAAATACATGAGACTATCCAACAAGTATGTACTGGTTTAATTGCACGTTGTTTCTAATAAATGAAGTCTTTGGGGGAAAAGGGTTGCGATGGATAATAGGATAGGACTCCATTTATGATCATCTTATTCTTGAATGCTATAAATGCTCAACCACTTATTTAACAATACTTTGTGGAATTCTTTTTTATTTCCCTTCACAGGTATGAGCAGCCCAATGGCTACACACCGGCTCCATTAGACCTGAGCCAGGTTTTCCTGAGCACAGCGCACAAGGAGGTGGTTAACTTGCTGGCAGAGAATGATCACAATGTTTGGGCCAGAGAGCGCATCAGGCAGGGATGGACCTACGGAGCTCAACAGGTTTGTGCTCCGTGCTGTATCGCTGCATCGGCCCACCTGTTGCTCGAAGGCAGATCAACATGTCTTATTAGTGATGAGACCTTTTCAGATAATCTTGGATTATAGTACATGAAATTATATTCCCTACACGTTTCGTCCCGGTCAAAAAACAGCCACACAGTAACACACGTTGATACTGTTCTATAGTTAAATATAAATATAGTTATTTTTGCTCTTTGCATCTGCACCTTTAGGATGTGAAAGTGAAGCGCAGCCCGTACCTGGTGCCCTACAGCCTCCTTGATGAAAGGAGAAGGAGAGCGGGCAGGGAGAGGGTTAGAGAGGCTGTCTGTCCTCTGCTGGCCTACGGTTACAGCTTGGAGCCTCTCAACCAGGACCGAAGTACGTCCCACAGCCCTGCCGGCAATCTTATCCGTTTATTGTACCGGGCTTTATATATGAGGATATTGGATAATGCAGATAAAATAGTTAAAAAGAATTGACATTTAACTGAATAACCATGTTTTTTTTTCTGTTTCTCGGGTTCACAGACACTCTATCAGACACATGTCTCTTCGCTGCTGAGAAGTACAGAGTGTTCAGACCAGACAAATCGTACTCTGTGACCCAGGGGAAGTGGTACTTTGAACTCGAAATAGTGACACCTGGTAATATCCGAGTGGGCTGGGCCCGACCAGGCTGCTCCCCAGATAAAGAGCTCGGCTCAGATGACCAGGCATACGTCTTCGACGGATTCGAGGTGAGGAACTGGAATTTGATGAAAAGCCTTTTCAGTGTCAAAGTGGATAAAACGATGAAGTGATGACATGTCAGGACAGACAACCTCGAGGCACTAATTTCCGATCCTCTTGTTCTCAGGCCCAGTGGCACCATCGGGGCGTTGAGCCCCTGGGACGTCCGTGGCACAGAGGCGATGTGGTGGGTTGCTTGGTGGACATGGCCGAACGCACCATGATTGTCGCGCTCAATGGCGAGGTGCTGTTCAACGGCCGAGGATCAGAGCTTGCTGCCAAGGACTTCCATATCGCAGACGGTCGGGAAGATGTTTCACTCGTTTTTACTCCCTACAGCATAGGGGGTTGACTTAGTTAATGTTTATTTAAAAGTGCATTAATCCATTAATCCAATCGAATGTTTTTTTTTTTATTGTCTCTACTCATATTGCACAGGCCTGTTGCCTGTGGTCAGTGTCGGGGTGAACCAGGTGGGACGGCTGAACCTGGGCCACCGAGTGGGCTCTCTGCGGTACTTTACCGTGTGCGGCCAGCAGGAGGGCTACAGACCATTTGCCGTCAACATGGCCAGAGACCCGGCCCTGTGGATGAGTTGGAAACAGCCTCAGTTCACCTCCATCGTGCCTGATGATCCAAACCTGCAGGTTAGTTTAGCAGTCTCCTTCCTTTTACCCGGTAAAGCTGATATTGCATGTCTTGTGAAACGCGTAGCATGGTGCTACGGCCCTCTGGGACCCCGGGGTCGCTTATAGCACTCGATAATTGACCCTGAAAATCTTGTTCAAATCTCATTCAAGGTCACCAGAATCAGTGGCTCCAAGGATTCCTTATCTAGCCTGAGGGTTTCTCAGCGGCTCTTTGCCCACCACGGGGGGGGCAGTGAGTTGGGCTTTTACCGGCTCAGCATGTTCGTCGAGTGCGCCGCTGTTCTCAGCAGTCCTGCAGCGGCCGTGCTCCCCGTGGCCTCCAGCTCGCTCTCCCAAGGTTTAAGAGATATTACATCATATCATATCACACACACACACAGTGTGTTCAGGTCAGACACACAGCACTTGAGATGACTTTGCTAAGGACTACCATGATGACTTTTGTTCATCATGAGATGAAGAAAAAAGATTTGAACCCTGACGCAGCATGTCACAATTACGTTGAAATAATTAGTGTGGGAGTTGTTCTACCATTATGACCTTGATGTGTTGTTCTGTTTAAGCTCCTCGGGGTCTTGCTGTAATTAATTACCATTGTCCTTTTAGGAAGGAAAGAGCCAGAGGAGGTGGACTCTGACTTTGAAGTGCTGATGAAGTCGGCCCACAGCTTTGCTGGCTCAAGAGATGAGCTCAACCATAAGGATCATAGTCACGACAAAACGTCAAGATTGAAACAACGGTAGATTGTAGAGAAGCGAATTTAGCCCTGAAATACATGCATAGTAAACGAACGGAAGAATGAACACAAAAACATGAACATTTCAGTTAACAGCGCTCCATAGGTTGAAAGAATGTATTGAATCATTGCACATATTTGTCTCCCAGGTAATTAAAACATTTAGACTTTTATCAAAATAAATGTAAGAAAGCAGGAAACAAAGTGTGCAGACTTTCTCCACCTCTGTCTCAACACAGTCACAATGATTCTGCAATGTTCTTTTCTGGGTATAAATAAATGTGTTTATTTTCAGGTTCATGCTGAAGAGGACCAAACCAGAGCTAATCAGCAGCAACTCATCGGCACGGCTTCTCGAAGATGTGGTTGTCGACAAGGATCAGTGTGATCACCTTCTCCAGAGCTCCAGAGTACGGCTCTGATTTTCTCATTACAACCATTACTTATACAACACTAATAAGAAAACCATGTCATATACTTTTATTTTAGATGCAATGAATAATGTGCATGGGTAATGACGGAAAACACTTCATTGTTTGGACACTCTGCTGCCTCATGTTGCACTCAAATTAAACAAATTGCCCTGCAAGCCGTATGCACATGCACTGTGCAGCTCTTCAGCTCCTGGGTTGTTGATCTCAGGCTCGAGAGAGAAAAAAAAAGAAGAAAGTATCATGCAAAATGGAAACACCAAAAGTTGACACCAGCTGCCTTCTCTGTTTCAGTATAACTTCTCGGTGAGGGTTCTTCCAGGCCAGGAGCCGTTTGCCCTGTGGGCAGGCTGGGTGACCTCTGACTTCCACCAACACGACATGACTTTTGACACGGACAGTGTCCTCACAGTGACTGTCACCCTTGGAGACGACAGTGGAAAAGTCCAGGAGAGGTTAGTAAACAGCGAGACCGCCATTTCGTCGTTAGCGTTGCCTCTGCCAAGATTTTAATTTAATTTGATGCTTATGGCCGTCAGAGATGATGATGGTGTCGTGATAATGCTTTTCAAGCTATAATTACAGGCAGAAATAATGTTTTACTAATACTGATTTTCAACGTTATTCCATCTGTTCCTATCACTTTGCACAGTGTGAAGCGGTGTAACTGTTACATGGTTTGTGCCGGAGATGCAACGGGCCTGTCTCAGAGTCGCAGAAGCACAGGTTTGGAAATTGGCTGTTTAATTGACACAGCCACTGGGATGCTCACCTTCACCTCCAGTGGAATGGAGATGGCCACCTTCTACCAAGTGGGTCACACTCTGTTTGATTATTTCACACTTGTTCCTGTTTTATTCCCTATTCAGTATTTCTGTTAAATGAAATACATGCATGTTCTTAATCCAACACACATCAAACTAACACATAATTTGAACTATAAAGTAATTATAGTGAGCCATATTTCAACTTGGAGCATTGCATTAGCTATTATTACCCTTTTATTATTATCGTATCAGGTGGAAGCCGGTACAAAGCTGTTTCCGGCTGTCTTTGTCAAGCCCACGACGAGCAACATGTTTCAGTTTGAACTGGGACACAAAAAGGTAGAAAAGCTCTGCACTTTTTATCCTGTCAAACAACATTAGATGGGTTTTTACTCTTAACTAGAACTAAAAAAAGGCAACATAATTAAGACATTGTCAGCATTGTTGTTCAAAGATTAGATGAGTAATTAATGTGCCTAATTAGGTCACAGCTATGCTTTCAATGAGTGTTTCTCGGCCTGCGACATATCTTCCTTGTGTTTGCCTTCCTCTCGATCCAGAATGTGATGCCGCTGTCGGCAGGTTTGCTCCGCAGGCAAAGAAGGAATGCAACCCCTCAGTGTCCTCCGAGGCTTCAGGTCCAGCATCTCACGCCGGTTTCATGGATCAGAGTACCAGACCGTGCGTTAGAGGTGATGGTGGATCGGCCGGACGAGCGCCGCGGCTGGAGAGTCCAATGTCACGAGCCCTTACAGGTCATGACCCTTCACGTTCCTGATGAAAACAGGTACTTTCCATTGATCCTCCAGCATGCCTCTTGTTCCATAGTAATCTGCAAGCACATTTGGTGGCATCATTTTTGCCAAGTTATTATCTTGAGAAATCAACAACACTTCATTATCTTTACCTTCTGATTACATCCTTCAAGGTGCGTCAACATTTCGGAGCTGTCGGAGCACGGCGACCTCTTGAACTTCCACCACCACACTCTCCTCCTGTACTGCTCTTTGTGCGCCCTCGGAAACAGCAGAGTTTGCCACGCTCTCTGCAGCCACGTGGACCAATCCCAGTTTGTTTATGCCATTAAGAATCCCCACCTCCCTAGCCTCCTCCGCTCTGCATTCTTTCAGCTCCTTATTCAGGTAATTGCCAGTTAGTAAGTCTTTTTTTTACTTTGGCCTTTGGAGAGAAAATAAAGACGAATTCTTGTTCTTTAGGTTCACCTCAGCAGCCACACCACAGCATGTCACATGATGAACCACGAATACATCGTGCCTATGACTGACCAGACCAGAAAAATCACCCTTTACCCCGGCCCTGCTGATGGTGTCAATGGGGTGAAAGGTCAACCTCCAGAAGCCGTATCCTGCGCTGGTCTCAGCACATCCCTTAAACCACAGATGCACTTCTCGTCTCCTTGTTTCGTCAGGAGTGATGGGATGGAAGGAGATGGTGCAGGGGATGTAGCCTGCACAGACAGTCCAGATATCCCACTGGACATGTTGAAGGACCTGACAGTGGAGATGCTGACTGCGGGGGTATGGGCTGTGGGTCAGGGTGTGAGGGACCCCATAGGAGGCAGCATTGAGCTTCTGCTGGTTCCCCTAATTAAACTGTTCTACGTGCTACTGGTTTTGGGGGTGTTTGGAGATGAAGACCTGGGGAAAGTTCTGAGACTGATAGAGCCGGGAGTCTTCTCCATAGATGGCGGAACCACCGAGAAGGAAGAGGAGGAAGGAGCCAGTGATGACGAAAAAGAATACGACGGGTGCAACAAAAAAGAAGGTTACCCGCTTAAACGAGGACTCCTCCAAATGAAGCTTCCCGAAGCTGTCAAACTTGAGGTGAACAAACCAGCGGTTTCTTTCACGTTTGTCTTTCTTCTTCTTCCTTTTGGTGTAATTTGGGATTATGTGTCCAATCAATCATAAAGCCTCAATGACTTCTTCTCTTCTTCTTTCTCCAGCTCTGCCATCTGCTGTCCTACCTGTGTGATCGCCAGGTGCGCCACAGGGTGGAAGCTCTGGTTGCGTTTTCCGACGACTTTGTGGGTCGGCTGCAGGAGAACCAGCGCTTTCGCTATAACCAGGTCATGCGGGCGCTCAACATGTCTGCCGCTCTCACTGCCCGCAAGACCAAGGAGTTCCGCTCGCCTACACAGGAGCAGGTTGAGTTTGTTGAAATGCGTTTAAAGAAAAATCACTAAAGATTTGTCAGACTACACTTACTTGTTGTCTGTGCGTCTGTCTTTAGATCAACATGCTGCTGAGCTTCACGGGGGGAAAGCAGCAGGAAAACTGTCCGTGTCCAGTAGAAATCCAACAGCTCCTGAAGGACTTCCATCGGCTTCTCAGCACTCACTGTGGTTGGAACACTGTTTATTTTTGAATTATGCATTTATAGTCTTCTTTGAGCCAGAGTGCTGTGAAGGATCTCCTTGAAGGCACTTAGCAGTATTGCCACTGAGCACGTCTCATCCCACTGGCGGTCACGTAGGCGTTGAACTGGACGGCGACTCAGAGGATGAAGAGGATGCAGAGATGTCTCTCAAAGACCGTCTCTTCAGCCGTGTGGCGAGAGTCGTTGGACTGATGAAGACACCGATGGAAGTGGAAAGGAGTCGACCGCACAGCGCCAGTAATCGTATCTGTTTCAAAGCCCCTTTTTTTTCGTCCTACTTTGCACATTGTGGCTCATTGATTTACGTGCACATGGGATCGTGCAACCTTTTTTGATTCTGTGTAAATTCTAGAACCTCAGCTGAATATCAAGTATTAACATCCCATCAGAGATGTCGCGCTAAATACAGTGACCAAAAATGTAACATAAAAATAATCTGAAAACAAAATAACACAACATATTAAGTCTCCGCTCTTTCCCTCACTATGTCTTCAGAGTCCCTCAAAGCGCTGATCTCTGAGACGATGGTGCGTTGGGCTCAGGAGGCTGAGATGGAGGACCCTGAACTGGTTCGGGCTGTCTTCTCATTGCTGCACCGCCAGTATCAGGGCCTCGGGGGCCAAATGGCAGAACACCTCAGCAGAGCCTATACGATCAGCCAGGCTGCGGTAGAAGACACCATGGCTCTTCTGTCCTCGCTGAGCCAAATCCGCTCCCTCCTCAGTGTCCGCATGGGAAAAGAAGAGGAATGGCTGATGATCAGAAGACTGGGGTAGGGGACACTGCTGATGGGACATGGGTTGGCTTCATTTGACACCAATAATGCTTTTTTTTTTATTGATTTCAGTTCACTTTGTTGTGTGGAAAATATCTTTCAGTATTTTTCTTTTCCCGTTTCATGTACAGAGACATCATGAATAATAAAATTTTCTACCAGCACCCTAACTTAATGAGGGCATTGGGGATACATGAGACAGTCATGGAGGTGATGGTCAATGTTCTTGGAGAAGGGGAATCAAAGGTGAGAGACAAATTTACATTTATGTTGATGATACAGGCAATTACGTGTACAACAAAACACAGCATGTCTTTATTATTAATTGGTTACTTGAACTGTATCTGTATTCTACACGGCATGAACTAAAGGTTCAGCTTGTACTGCAGTGCAGTCAGCTGTGCCATAACCTCCCCACATCTTGCTTTTTCTTTTCACCCATGCATTGATTTCCTTTGTCAGGAGATTACCTTTCCGAAGATGGTGGCCAGCTGCTGTCGATTCCTGTGTTATTTTTGCCGCATCAGCCGCCACAATCAGGGAGCCCTGTTTGACCACCTCAGTTATCTGCTGGAAAACAGCAGTGTTGGTCTAGGTAAATCTTGTCATTCCTGAGGCCACAGTTTGTTCTGCCGTTGCTAGGATGGCATTCCTTTTATAATTGTGACACGAAAAGTTTCACTACGGTAGTTTATTAATTAAAGACGTATTGCAGAACTGTTGTACGGTTGTAAGTGTACACATATGTGGTGTTTTCTGTGACCCTTTTGCTCTCTACAAAGACATTATGTGCTCTCAAGAAAATAACCTTGCGAAGCTGTAAGCCGTAATATCCTGAAATGATTTATAGTTCATGACTGGTGTTGTATCATGACTGTGTCCTGTAGCTTCACCAGCCATGCGGGGGGCCACTCCTCTGGATGTGGCTGCAGCCTCTGTTATGGATAACAACGAACTGGCCTTAGCGCTGAGGGAACCGGACCTGGAGAAGGTGAGCTTACATCCGCCCGCATTCTACTACAGTGCTGATGTTGTTATTCTCCACTCCGTCTACAAGTACTCTGGGGTCTCGTCTATGTGTGGCTTTACCATAAAGCATTTTGTTAAATGATATCCGGGGTGGGTGATCGCTGTGATTCCATCCATCAGTCTGATTGCTTTTTTATACACATTGTGTTGATGCTCGTAATGTGTAATGCTGCATGATGGCAGCACTGGCAGAGGACTAAGGGAATGGAGGAATTAGAAGGCAAAGAAGCCTGGTCTGTAATGAACATGCTCTTACGTTCAATATGGTTTTGTGGTGTCTCACTCATTACCCTCATCTATGGTGTTTCTGTTTGTGAATCCTTGTTGCCCCGTCATGAACTGCATTCATTGTTCAGTAGCTGAACCAGTTGTATTGTTGTATTGACTGTTGTAATAATGGGATTCACTCTTCAGGTGGTTCTGTACCTGGCTGGCTGCGGTCTCGAGAGCTGTCCGATGCTGGTGGCTAAAGGCTATCCTGACCTTGGATGGAACCCTGTGGAGGGCGAGCGTTACCTGGATTTTTTACGTTTCGCTGTCTTCTGCAATGGTAAATCTTTTAGTTTCTACACATAGTCCTCCAATTCAGAAAACATCCTGGATAATATAAATGACAGTATTGGTGGTATGTGTGTTATTCTGATGATTCCATTATGTTCATTGTATATTCAGAATGAACATAATGGTCAAAACTTCATTGTCCCTCTAACGAGTCTGCCTTCATTATTTTATTTGACCATTGTCTTGAAGAGAATATCTGTCTTCTGGAAACCCTTAAAATTCCTTAATTATTTCACAAAATGTAATATTTATATACTCAGTTATACATGTGACCAATCCAATTTGGGGCATTCATCGCTTCTCAGATATTTGCTTATCGAGTTGCATGATCCAATTTCCAAGTTAAAAAGGTACAAGAGGCTGCATCGTGGCTTTCATTTGAGCTTCATGAAATCGAAGGAAATCAACTCTCTGGTTCTTCTACTATTGATTTTTATAACTCTGAAGTGGATGCCAGAAAGCATTTGTTAAAATTGATGGTGCTGACGGTTCGGCCAAATGCCATTAAATTCTAAACAAAGTTTCTTTTGTGTGTGTTTTTTCTTCTATGCCGACCCTGGCATCATTATTCTATTGATTGACTTTGTTTGTTTTGATTTGATTAATTTGCTGTAAATTTAATGAGGTCTATCTTAGAGAAATAGGTACTAAACCAAAGAAATGCTTTCCACGCAATCCACAATGTCATCGAGTCTAGCTTGCGTCTAACTTTTTTCCTGCTTTTCTTAACCACAGGTGAGAGTGTGGAGGAGAACGCTTACGTGGTGTTGAGGTTGCTGATCCGTCGGCCGGAGTGCTTCGGCCCCGCCCTGCGAGGCGATGAGGGAAATGGCCTCCTAGCAGCCATGGAGGAAGCCATCAGGATTGCTGAGGATCCTTCTATGGACGGACCTCGCTCCACCTCCCAGCCCAACAGAACACTGTCAGTACAAGAGGGTTGAGTCCTGAGGTGTTTCCCCCCCCCCATGGCAATCAGTGTTTTTAATATTTTGGATGCTAAAATTGTGCCCCACCCTTTCTTTTCATTTCTGGTTCCCAAAACTAAGGACGCCTGTTAGCATGCCTGAGCGGCTATGGGACACAAAGAGGAGGGATAGACAAGGTTCAATCAAAGATTCATTTATTTTATAATTTAATCACAGCATTCACCATCATCAATTAGTATATTCCTTCTCTACCAGTCCTCTCCTCCTCTTACCCAAACAATTGAGCTCCTTATATGAGGTTGACTCTAATTAGCAATTAGCAACTAATTGACTCCAATCAGTCAATCACTGCAGCAAAGGTAACTCCGGTGCGTCGTTACAGCGCCAAAATATGTTGAATGTCTGATTCACTGGTTTTTAACTCTGCAGTTTACAAGACCACAGGCAGTTTTAGTGCATCACATCTTAGTGTTTTGTTTAGTATAACATTCATTTATTCATGACATAACTTTTCAATGCACAGTTTAAAACGGGGGTTTGTTTGTGGACAAAGATGTTATATTAAGGTTATGCTTTCTGTAAATAGCATTGAAAAACATCCAAATCTCGGATAATATTTAGCACTCTGTTTTTATGCACAATCATAACAAGTCCCAGGATTAATTTTCTCTCAGGCTTTTTGCAGCATTTCTTGGCTGGAATGCAGAACCTATGTTCAGCCAACCATCCCGCGGTAAATAGAGGTTAAATAAGCGATGTACAACAGTGGAACAGTTTAATGACACTGTTTATTTTGAATCTGCTTAATTCATTCAGGATGTATGTGGAGTGGGAGCTCACCAGTGCTCTATCTGCATTTCTTCTATTGTTACAGTCAGAATTTGAGATAAATATTGAGGTCATTAGAAATGAGGAGGAAAGATCTTATCTTATCCGGCGGGCTGCTTTATTTAGGAATAATCAATCATTTGATTCTATTCAAAAAGGATGATTAATGATATGTTTTAGTTAATGACAAGCTTTGGACTTGCATGGTTGTCTCCCGTAACAGAGATGTTGTCCAGGACAATGATGATGACCTCATTCACATGGGCCACGCCATCATGACCTTCTACTCAGCCCTCATCGACATGCTGGGACGCTGTGCTCCAGAAATGCATGTGAGTGTTTTTCCAGCTTTCAGAAGCCCTTCTGCATCAATATCAGCTTGTGTGTCAAAATATAAAACCTAATCGAGAGGGTCTGAAAGCGGCTTCAGAGAAAACTGAAAACATTTAATTGGTCATTGGATGATGCTTTATAATGCACAAATACCAAGGTTACTACTGTAGCGTACTGCAATACTTTATCTTGTTGAACTTCACAGCATTGAGAATCGGGTTGGACTTTACTGTTTTAACATGGAGTGAATCAATACTATGATGGAGACACTACAACGCTGTTGTCCTCTTATTTTTAACATTTGTTCATCAAAAAGCTACTTCCTTTGTCCTTTTTACTGGATATTGACAAACCTGACTGAAAGGAAATAGAAAAGCATCCTTTGAAAAGGATTTTCCTATTTTTGTATTACGTGGGTATTGAAGTTTAGAGGCATAAGGGATAATTGTTGATAATTGATCTTTCAAACACAAAGGCTGTTCAAAGCGCGTTACGGAATTCTTAGAAATGTATTGAATACTAGTAAAATAGTCAAAGGTAAAAGAAATATATCAAAACTACCACACTTTGAGTAAATAATCAAGTTAATACACAATTCTTCAAAAGAAATGACAAACATTCTACATAGTTTCTACATTTGACACAAATTTGTGTACAACATCAATGAGCTGCAACTCATCATTCGGAAGATGTCATCAGAATATTATAGAAGCTCTGTATTTCTCAAACTAATACCGTAAGATACAATATTGTGGCTACGGTGTGAATGACCAATTATAATGTTTTTATTTTTAATTTCTCTTCAGTTGATTCAAGGGGGCAAAGGAGAAGCCATCCGGATTAGAGCGATCCTGAGATCCCTCGTCCCCATTCAGGATCTTCAGGGAGTCATCAGCATCTCCTTTCAAATCCCTTCAGTGTCTGAAGGTCAACAGTTTTTATTCAGGATCCAGAACCACACACAGGGATCTGCTCACATACATGTGCAATACATATGTCAATAGGACCTCTGGTGTTGACATGCAATCTTTACTTTTCATTTGTGTGCAGATGGTCTGGTGGTTGAGCCGGATTTGTCCACAGTGTTCTGCCCAGATCACAAGGCAGCTGTGGTTCTTTTCCTGGACCGGGTCTATGGCATTGAGCACCAGAACTTTCTCCTCCACCTGCTAGAAGTTGGTTTTCTGCCGGACCTTCGGGCAGCCGTCTCCCTCGACACCGTGAGCGGAGAAAATTGTGTTTTGTTGACCTGTTCAACTGCTCGATATGGACCCAGGATTGACCTGTGACCTCTTATTAATCCAAGTGGCACCTTATCAGAATGAAAGATTTTCCACTTTTCTCCCAGTGTCTCCCACAGTGTAGCACATCAAAGCATTACTGTGATCAAATGACTTAAATTAGACTATTTAACATTTCTGACATCCTCTATTTATTCTAGTGAGGGAATGTTGTGTTTTCCTTTATTAGTTTTCTCCCTGCTGATAAAAATAAAACTAAATTAGGACGTTTCCTTTCCTTTCCTGCCTCTCTTTTTCCTTGCAGGCTGAATTAGGCTCCACCGATATGGCCCTGGCCCTCAACAGATACTTATGTACATCTGTTCTTCCCCTGCTCACCAAATGCTCAGCGCTCTTTTGCCCTTTAGAGGACCACGCTTTGCTGGTGGATTCTCTCATCCAGGCAATCTACAACCTCTCCAGGGCTCTCAGCTTGACCAAGGCTCAGAGAGACACGATTGAGGAGTGTTTGCTGGCCGTGTGCAGGTAACGTACGATGAAGCCACATTGTTAGAGTGGTCTCTCTGCTTGTTATGGTCATAAAGAGTTGTCGCTGTTTTCAGATGGGATATGGATTTTGTGTTATGGTACAATGTTATCTTTGAAAGCTGCATCTCATGTGTTGTGGCATTTGTAATTGATGAATTATTGCACCATTATCTTCCTGTATCGATTGACCTGAATGCATTTTTTGCGTTTTTATTTTGACCAAATCACATGTGGAGAAGCGAAAGATGACACAGTAACAAATGCCTGTCTACTGACGCGAACACACAAGGGCACTCTTGTTCCCAACTAATTATATTTAATGAATCACTGTGAAGCCATTTTTTCCCAATTTAGACGTTATTTAGCATTGCCAATGACAAAATGTTAACAAACTAATTGGATTTTGCCCATGGCATCCTCTCAATTCTATGTGACATTTCTCTCAGACACTATAATTAGTCATAACATCATCCGTCTGTTGTGAGTGTGTTGGTGGATATGATTTGTATCTGCTCATCTGACAAATTCTGCCCTCAGTAAACTCCAACCAGCTATGATGCAACCTCTTCTTCGGCGTCTTGTCTTCGATGTTCCCCATCTCACAGCCAACAGCAAGATGCCATTGAAGGTGAATGGAAATCACAGTTTACTACAGCGTATGTGGAAAAAAAGGAAACATTTTTTCTCACAAGATGAATCCTTTCATCAACCAGCTTTTGAGCGCTCACTACGAGCAGAGGTGGAAGTACTACTCACTGGCTGGAGGTCCTGCCGACCACGGTTCGGCCTCCGAAGAGGAGCTCCACCTGTCTAGAAAGTTGTTTTGGGGTGTGTTTAATGCCCTGCCAAAGAAGGTAAACAATTTGGAATTGACCCAGTATTTCCTTTTTGAACTGCTGTCGAGAACCGCTCGTTGCTTGTTGGATCCAATGAAGTGAAGTGTTTGGTTTCAATGTAAAGTTTGTATATCAAGCAGTCAAAACGAGCTGCGACCTGTCTGCAGAATGTTGAAGCTCCGCCCCTCTGCTGCTGCTGTTATGGATTAAACACTCACACTTGCAGATCCTTGGGACTTGGGAAAAATACAAAGGAAACATACAATACATATATAGAGAGATATATTATGTCTATATTCTACCCATGCAATCTCTTTTTCTTCTCCCCCCCCTCCAACGTCATGTCTCCAATGTCTCCACCCTTCTCTGCATCTACAGCACTATGAGCCTCAGTTGTTCACACTGTCTGTCCAGTGCCTGGCTGCAGTGGCCACGGCGCTGCCCCCCGACCACATGGACTCCAGCTGTGTGTCCCGTACAGAGAGGAAAGCCTCGATGGACACAGAAGGACACTTTGACCCACAGCCTGTGGACACCGCCAAGTAGGACACCTACCATGGATATTTATTATGCATAAACATGTTGAGTGTGTATTTTTTAATGCTCTTAATAAACCTATAAATCATAAACATTTCCTTTGCCTCAGTGTGTCAGTGCCAGAGGGACTCGAGTTTGTCGTCAACAAGTGTGCAGAGCATACGCACGAGAAGTGGTCACTGGACAAGGTAAAAATACAATAGTTGTTCTTTAAAGCTGAGCGGTGTTGATTTTTGGCCCGGCTTGAACCAAACCACTTAAGAATACAGCTACAAGATCCGTCTGAACGGGTCAAAACATCTGCCTGTGTTGTGTGATTGAGCTGATCTCACGATGTCTGCATATTTTCTAATGAGGGATTTGTTTTTTACTGAACCTGTGTTTTCTCTGTCAGTTTGCCAACGGCTGGGTCCATGGGGAGCAACTATGTGAGAAGACCAAGGTTCATCCTCTGCTCAAACCTTACAGGGCTCTGGCTGAGAAGGTAGTGAGGAGTCACAAATGAAAGAAAAAGAAAGCAGGGAACTGAGAAATCCCACATTGCTTGCTCAACGTGATGTGTGTAATATAAAAGATTTAGATTAAGGTTCGTGGTCTTTGTTGTGCGGAGTGGACAATAGATGTCCTGCGCTTCTGCTGATAACCTGTACGGTTCAGTTTTATATGAAGGTTCCTCCTGTATTTCAGGAGAAGGATGCATACCGCTGGGCCATTAAAGAAACATTAAAGACTATGCTGGCCTTTGGATGGACCATAGAGAGAGCCAAAGAAGGAGATGCGTTCGGTACCTTTACCTGCACACAAAGGGTATCCCAGGCCGGACAGGTACATGTAATCACTCACAACTTACATTCTTCTCACAAGTGTTTTTTCTCTTTGTTCATTAAACAATCAGCCATTTGTTGTGTGTCCCAGCTGTCATTTGAAGGAGCATCAACCTTTAGCCCCAAACCGATGGACATGAGCAGCATCACCTTATCGTGGGACCAGTGTGTGAGTACTTTTTCCATACAAGAACACTGGCCTATTACAATGGCTGTGTAATAACGCACATCCATTTGAATAACAAAATAACATATTGCATGTAGTCTGCGCTACAGCTTTGAGTTTTGAGTACGATGTCATGCAAACCTCTGAAGTAAGGCAATGGATCGGTTCCATGAAGTGCATTTCTTGTTGGAGAAATGGGCCTTGGGACTCCTTCACGCTTTGTTAGTGGATTGTGACTTGGCTGATATTCATTTCAACATATTTTTTTTTTAGGCTATGGCTGAACTGTTGGCTGAAAACTACCACAACGCCTGGGCTAAGAGGAAGAAATTAGACGGTAGGAACCTCACCAAGCTCTCAACAACCGCTCCGTGATACTTCTTCAAGTTCTCTCCTTTTCTCGTAGTAAGCGCTAACAAAATTGCGGTGCATTTGACCCATTCCTGACCGCAGGAGGGGGTGGCCATTCAATGCTTGCACCCTACGACACCCTGTCCGCCAAGGAGAAGACCAAATTGAGAGAGAGAGCAAAGGACATCCTCAAGTTCCTTCGGCTCAATGGCTACACAGTGTGGAGGTGAGCACATAATGAGCTGGCCGTTGGAAAAAGGGCAACGTGATGCAGTATGCATGAAGTGGGCGTCAAGCGACGTGTTCCATTTTCATGTCACAGTGGTGTGAAGGCCACTCGGGACGTTTTAAGTACATAGTGCAGATTTTACGATGATTAAGGGTTCATTTTCCCTTTTGATTTCCATTTCTCTACAGGGATCGGAGGACGGCGGAGATGGACTTTCCAGCCATTGCCAACTGCTTTGGCTACGCCCTCCTCCAACGACTGCTGTCTCACACCGAGGACACCCAAGGGAACATGTTGGAGTTGGGTAAGAAGACATTGTCAAGGACACGAAATGCGTAGTAGTCGAACTTTCACATTTTACATTGCAAAAGGTAGGAGCACTTTGTGTGGCTGACACTGTACGATGTTAAATACATCACTTGAACCTCCACATGTGTCAGTAATGGCCAGCAGTGTCTTGCATCTCCAGCCTGCCTCTAGTTTTGTTTTGAAACATCACCAGATAAATTAACTTTTATTATCTTTCAGCTTTTCAGCTTTATCAGAAGTGTCTTTGCAAGTTCAAGTCTCGTTCTTTGTGTTTCATTGTGCTTTTTCTCTCCAGAGGTGATTCAAGACAGAGGACAGATGTCTAAAAGAGAGAAAGCTTCACACCAGCAAGCAATGTTTTTTTTCAAGGTTTGCCTCACATCAAATCCATATCTAAACACAGTTGATATCTTTTGTCTGAAATTAAATCTCTACCATTTACTTAATGGCCCCTTCCTATTGCACTTTGACAATGCCATTTTCTACCATCCCCGTTGCCTTTTTTCATTCACGTCATTTAATTAGTTTCGTTGGAGAGTTGCCCATGGCAACCAGTCTCAGTAAAACCCTTTGTGGCTGTGTGTAATTTATTTAACCATTTAGGGGATCCATGTGGGCGTGTCGATTACCATCAGGACACTGATTAAAGCTCCCCACACAGATCTGCCTCTGAGAGGGCAGCGAATGGAAAGGGTCTCTTGTTCAATGATTGGACCCACTAAGTCTGACCCAGTCTGTCTCTGTGAAGAGCATTTAACTTTATCCCCCCCACGGGTCCCTGTTGGGTCCGTCACTGCAAACGCATCCTGAGCAGCCACAGCTGAGACCATGAAGTTTTCAAATTCACACGACACATCAAATCGTCTGAATTTAGGGGACATTTCTTCAGAAATTTGGAAAGATTTTACCAGTGGGGAAAAAGTACTATTTGATATGGTGCAGTCATAAAAAAGTTTTTTATACATATAAAATCTGTTGTCAATATACTTGTTTTCAACAGGTTGTCCTTCCCCTTTTGGAACAATTTGTAAAGAGCCACTGTCAGTACTTCCTGTCCACTTCCCTGTGCTCAAGAAGCTATGCGTCAAAAAAGGAAAAGGAGATGATTGCGAGGTTTGTATCACCCCCAAACAATACACATGGCATGCTGATTGCACTGGAAGGTTTTTGTGCTATGGCACATTGCATTGTACTGGAACGATTCCTCATAATCAATTTGGGTTTTTTTCTAACAGAGGAAGCCTCATTATTCTGATTGTGTGCTCTGTAATTGTTTTCTCTCCTCCCTCCTCATCACTGAGCTTGTCATTTCTCCTCACCTCCTCACCTCCAGCCTCATCTGTAAGCTCGCAGCTCTGGTGAGACACAGGATCTCCCTCTTTGGTGAGGATGATGTGGAAATAAAGCTCATTCAGACATCAATTGTACCACTTGGTCTCTTGATTTAGTTGAGTTTTATTTTAAGTGTTTTTCTGTGAGATTATGCATTTTGACTTTTTGATTTTCATCTCTTTGTGATAGAAGTGTTTATGTGTGTGTTTTTCCAGGAAACGAGGTGTCATCAGTTGCAAGCTGCCTACATGTTTTGTCTCATGCTCTGGACGCCAGGTAGCTAGATGGCACTACTCACTCTGCCTGAATCAATATCCTTGCTCTGCCTGCGGTCAATGTCACATTAGTGTCACACCAGCAGGTCTGAGGATGAGATGACTGGTATAATTGAGCCACTGACACACTGATGATATCAAACTGTTTACTAGTTAACGACAATGCCTTGGGAGTATGATGCAAAGGTTCCTGATCAAAAATTGATGTCTTTTTGTTTTGCAGATATATCCGCTGCTTATTCAGTCCAAGTCACTATTTATCGTTTTGGTAGTCTTAGGAACATAAATTCCCATTTTCTCCTCTCTTGGCCCTCAGGACATTGATGAACTCAGCCCCAGAGTCCATCCACGTATCTCTACATTCGTTCTTTGAGGCAGCCGCAACTGATCTGGAGATGACAGTGGAAAACCTGACCTTGGTCTCTTCACCTCAGAGTAGGAATCAATCGCCTAGAGGGGCAGCCAAGGTTCTCAGCTTCACAACCTCCGTTCTCCTTCCCACCCTCACGTCCCTCTTTCAGCACCTTGGCAAACAGAACTACGGCGTGGACATTCTCGGTAAGAATGAAAAAGCTCACTGAAGTTCACACCCTCCTGTACACATTGTTCATATACAAGCACCAGATTTGTGTTTATCCTGTAAACACGGGTACTGTGACTGGAACAGTTGTCTCATTAGTTCCCGAAAGCTGGATGAACAGCTGGTTTCCACATCCCTGAAATCGTTCAGAGGGATTCCCCCTCCAATTCCTACCTTCTTCATCTTTAAAACCGGCTTTCATTCAGCGTCTCAGTGATGGCCACAGAGCCGCAGGAGCAGATTGTCGCCTTCACTAATATCCCGACCCTCCGGGGAATCATTCATTACCTGAATCAGCAGAACTTCAGCTGGTCCGTCTGTCTGTGTTTGTGAGCTATCAGCTTTCCTGCTCGGTGCCCTTCTCAGCTTTATCCATCACCTTGTCTCTCCAGTGGGGAAGATCCAGCTGTCCTGTTATAGGATCCTCAACAGCCTCCTCTCCCTTGGCACCAGTAGCAGCTTCTATGTGGAGGGGTATTTCCTGTTTTCCTGAGTTTGTGCTTATCACCAAAATGTCTTATTTTAATCACGTGTTCTCTCTTGGTAATGTCAATGCTTTTATTTGTTTTACATAAGCTTTTGGTAAAAAAAAAAAAAAAAAAGACCAAATGCCCATTGGAGGTTGGTCAGCTCAGTGCCTACGTTCTAACCCAGCATTCCCCTACAGGCAGCGGCCAGCAGCAGGTGCTTGTCTTGCAGCCTTGGCTGGGACTTTTCCTGTTTGCTTCTTGGAGCCGTCGTTAAACCAATCCAATCCGTACTCCATCTACAACACCATGACTGCTCCTCAAAGAGAAGGTGATAATCACACACTGCATTTCTTTGTTGTCTGTATTATCTTGGTTTTCTCGGAGAGTTCCGACCACGCCCCCCCCCCCACCACCCCTCCTCCACTGGGTTTTCGAGGGCCATATATTATTTTCCATATGTGTTTCTGTCAGACCTGGGACTGCCAGATGCCGTGGAGGACATGTGTCCCCTCCTGCCCTCTCTGGAACAGGCCCTGGGGGAAGTGGAGAAGTTTGCAGGCGCCGGCGCCGCAGCTCACCAGGCCCACTACATGCAGGTCACGGAGGTCACTCTGCCCATGCTGTGCAGCTACGTGTCCCGCTGGTGGCACGGCGGTCCTGGGGGCCAGCCGGCCAGCGCGATCTGCAGCGCTGTCACGCCTCAACATGCCAGTGACCTCCTTGGCCACATCCTCCGTATCATCCACAACCACGTGGGCGCCAGCCAGGGCGATTGGATGAAACGGCTGGCAGGTACTGTGACTGTTTGCAATTCTGTGGTTTTTTTGAGTGGATTTCTGTATTGCACAGTAATTATTTTCCCTATGTTAATCGACTTATCTTTCAGTTTTTTCTCAGCCAATCACATGTAAAGCTGGCTCTGAGCTGTTAAAGAGCCACTTCCTGCCACTGATGGAGAAATTGAGGAAGCGGGCCAAATGTGTGCTGCTGGAGGAGGAGCAGATGAAATCAGGAGGGTGTGATACCTCCGAAGCAGAGTTGCAGATCCAGGAGAAGTTCACTGTACTGGTGCAAGACCTCTACGCCTTCTATCCCCTCCTCATCCCATTCGTGGATTCTAATCGGTGAGGCTGGTGGGGTAAATACACGTTTTTACAGATCCGTTAGAAGGTGAAACTTACTTCACTACTTCTTTTCCCCCCTTCGGTAATCATCATCAAGCCTTGTGAACACCAAAGGTTCCATTATGGTTCCTGGAAAACTATTTGAAAATGAAAAATAGGAAAGAAGAACTATGTGTTTTGCTTTGTCTCTTCTCAGAGCCAGCTGGCTCAAAGATGTAAACCCTGACGCTGAGCAGCTGTTCGGCATGGTGGCAGAGGTCTTTACGTTCTGGGCCAAATCTCATGTGAGGTTTGACGCACAGTGTTTCGTGTTCATTTCTCCCGTTAAAGAGAAGTTAAGTTAATATTGCAAACGTTTCTTTCCCACCCTGGTTTTCTGAACAGAATTTCAAGTGGGAGGAACAGAACTTTGTGGTACAAAATGAAATCAACAACTTGGCTTTCTTGGTCAACAGTGACAGAATGTCAAAGGTATTCACGTGTTCACTAACCGGCGTTAACACAGTGCAGTGAGTGTGGTCACTACTAGTGGTTGTATTAAAAATCAAATCCAATTGGCTGTTTAAGTCTCAAAGTTAATCTCCTCCACGGCTTATCGATGCTCAGTTTGACCACGAGCAGAGGCGGATGAAGCGGAAGGGGGATCGTTATTCCACACACACATCTCTCGTCGTGGCCTCCATGAAGAGGCTGCTCCCCGTGGGACTCGGGCTTTGTTTTCCGAGCGAGCACGGCCTCATCACGTTCGCCAAGAGCGGCTTCGCTCAGGTCAGAGGGAAATCGTGCCATCGTTAAAGAAAAAAAAGGACCTTGATGTATTGAGTTTGTCTTTATGACAGCTATCGTACTAAAGGTGAGTGTCTGACAATATCTTTGACAGATGTATTTAATGTTGGCCTTTGCTTTTCACAGAAGAACAGTCGAGATGAGATTCGAGAGCACGTATTTGATCGTCTAATAAATCTCCACAATCAGGTAAAGGCTGTCACTGGGCCTTTCGTTCTAAATGAAAGAAAAATCATGTATTTATTCATTCACTGATTGAAGCTGTCTTCTCTGCTGACGTTCTGAATAACCGTTGCCATGCCTGAGAGCATGTGACTTTTAATTTAGGGATAGCATCAAGTGTGTGCTAAATTTAATTGAAGAATGCTCTTGTATTCTGCCAAATAATAATCATCTTTTTTGTGTTACTCATTGTTCACCAGAGACATCGATGTGACACACTCAATATACTGTTTGGAATACGCATGTAATATTTATTTATTAATGAGTCACTGATGAATATCTCTATTTAAAAGTAGGTGATGAACACTTAAATTCTGACTCGTCATTACCATGAATAAACTTTTAAATAATACTTACATTTTTTATTGGGCTACTCATTTCCAATTCCAGGTGTTTTGAAGGCGCTGAATTATCTTTTCTCGTTGCCACTGTCCTTTTTGCCCCTGAACCTGGGACTTCTGCACCAGCCTTTCTTAAAGAATATTTAATTGAAGTGAATGGTTGAGATACGAAAGAAAGAAACCGAAGCCCAGCGTGGTAAACATTTTTTCCCTTTGCAGGCGTCAGATGGCTCGAGGCAGGAATCCATTCATGCAGAACATCTAAGCCAGTTAAGAGCCGTCTCTGACGCCCAAAAGACTGTAAACAGCATTCTGGAAATAGCACAAGTCCTTCATTACCTCGACCAGGTGAGAAAAACCTTTCCACGTTTGTATGGCTCTGGCAACAGCCGTGGTTGGATGTTCTTTCGGGGTGTCTGGTCCATTCTTGTGAAAGCAATATCTCAGGAAAGCCTGCAGGTGATTCTTCACATGAAGCATCAAAGTTCACTCGGACTTGAGGTTGAGTCGAATAGAATTTTGGGGGTCAACGGTAACAGACACCTTGGTAAACGCCTTTTATGTCAAGAATTGAAATGCTAAATCATCAATGCAAAATCCTTGTTCATCTTTGGTTGCGGGTTCAGGTGGAACATCCGCAGAGAAGTCAAAAACCTGCGTGGCACAAGGTCTTGTCCAAACAGAGGAAACGAGCAGTGGTGGCCTGCCTCAGGATGGCTCCCCTCTACAACCTGCCCAGGTGCAGACATGTTAATCCAATAGATGTAGAATATATATGAATCTCTTGGAGTATTGGCACAGTGTTTTATATTTTGGTTTTTCCGAAATCAAAGCTGTTGTAACCACCTTTTACTCTGCAGTGGCTGTGGAAATTCTTACCTCAGAAAGGCATGAGAGGCTGGGATGAATGGCAATAAGTGGTCTAATCATAGCTCTTTTATATTTTAATAGTGTCTTTCTATGCTGGTTTTTTTTTTTCAATCTCCCATTTACATTTGGCCATGCATATGCTAATCTCTTGTTGTCTCTTCCCCCTTTCCTTTTCCTCCCCAGGCACCGAGCTGTCAACCTGTTCCTCCAAGGCTACAATAAATCCTGGATATCAGCGGAGGACCACAACTTTGAGGAGAAGCTTGTGGAGGATTTGGCTGTGAGTCGAAGAGAAAGCCATGTTACATTCGAGAGTTAGGCCAGACCTAAATGTTGAATTATGTGATCGTCCATATACCACACAAATTACTGTAAAATATAATATCTGGACTGAGGCACCGGATTAAAACAGGTTTTTGCACAGGAATTTGATCACATCATGTATATTTGTGAATAGTGTGTGTGTGTGTGTGTGTGTGTGACAGGCCGCTAACCCGCTGGCTGTAAACATTAGTCACCAGCCGGTGCCTGTCGATGGCTTTACTCTCTCTCTCTCTCTGGACTGCAGACGGGAGGAGTGACGGAGCTGTGTGGAGGCGACAGAGAGGAAAAAAAGAATGTGGAGGAAAGGGCCAAACCGATCGATCCTCTCCTACAACTCATTACACACTTCAGTCGAAGCGCCCAGGTGGAAAGGAGGTGTGTGTGTGTGTGTGTGTGTGTGTGCGTGTTTACTGTAAAATATTTTCATATCTTTCATTACTTATCCAACCCATCAACACTGGAGGGATGTGGTCATATCGGACTAGTGTACCGCTGGGTAGACTTGTGAATCGAACGATCTCACCAAAGATCCACATTCTGTTTTGAGGCGTTTTGAAGGCCTTGTGCATTTGATTCTGTAATAAAGGCCGGGCTAAAGCACCGTGTATGGATCCGTCATTGACCCGCCGCTTTTAAAGGCTGCATTTGTCCACACCTTGATATACGATGTCATCTTAACCATCTCACCTGTTCACAGTAAGCCTGAAAATGATGGCCTCTACAAGTCCTACGCTACCATTATGGCCAAGGTAATAGAACATTATAATGATCTCATTTGTGATATCTAAATTTTTATTAGTGTTTCAATAATAATTGCATTGCTCTTGTGTGTTTTTGCATTTAATATTCCAAAAAACAAGTGTTTGTTCATGTTGAACATCTTTTATATTGATCAATTTTCTTCTTTTTTTAACCCCATTTTTTGAATAATGGCTCCTGTTTGTTCTCCCAGAGCTGCCACAGAGACGACAACGATGACGAAGAACAGGAGGTGGAAAGCTTTGAAGTGAGAGAATTACCTCTTACTTCAAGTTAACTTTCAGCTTTCTGCAAATTCCATTTACTGACTTTTTTCATCTTAACGTTTTCTATTTCTACAGAGAATACAAAGTATTTCATTTTTTTCCACACTTGAGTTATTTTCTGTGGACAAAGTAGCAGAGACAAAACGGAGATCTAACCTTTCTGCGCTTCAGGAGAAGGAGATGGAGAAACAGAAGCTGCTGTACCAGCAGGCCAGGCTGCATCACCGTGGAGCTTCTGAGATGGTCCTGCAAACCATCAGTGCTAGCAAAGGTACTGTAGCACAATGCTAAATTAGATATGCATTTCATATTACGGTTATTTTGTTGCTTAGTTAAGAGAGGCATTCTCTTTTGGCAAGTTTTGGTCTTACTTTATATTTGCTGAATACTGAACCAAAGACCCAGTAGTTGAGATTAAAGTAAAGCATTAAAGCATGTCTTTGATCTGATTGTGATTAATCTGAAATCCTATCAGGAGCCATTGACTCCATGATTGCGCCGACATTGAAGCTGGGTATTGCTGTTCTCAACGGAGGGAATGCTGCAGTTCAACAGGTACAGTAATGCATTTCTGTCTCCCCGTCCAATCATTACCAGAGTTTTATCTCGGGGTAACGAAAATATGATTGCACATTCGCAGATCTCAATATTGACACATAAGACTAGATAGCATAATAAAGTGATAGTAATGCCCGCCAGGGAGAAGAGTTAAGATTAGATTAGATTATACAAAGACATAAAGTCATTGTGGCAGCTAGATTGTATTGCTAGATTTATTGCATTCAGGAGATCAATATTAAATAATACAGTAAAGTTATCAGTAACTGTGAAAAGTGAAGCTGTAAAATATGGTATATAGTAAACGTAGTGGTAGCCGCTGCATAGCAAGTGACAATATTTATAATAAATTCACATGGATGTTTTCAAGTCGTGGTGACACATTACGTGGTAACAGCCCATCACTTTGGTAGTGCATCATTAACTATTCCTACATTAGTGGAAAATCCAAAAAGGGAAACCATTTCATAACACGTGGAGTTTTTCCATTGTGTCAAAACACATCCCTTTTATATTCTGTATATTCTCCTTCATTTATGACAGCGTGTGTTTGATGCTTTTGTGTGATAGAGAATGCTGGATTATCTGAGAGAGAAGCAAGACGTTGGCTTCTTTCAGAGCATGGCTGGACTCATGCGGTCGTGCAGGTGAGTGACTGCAGGAACATTCTCTTGAGGACTTCACTCAACCGATCGATGCACTGAGTGCAAAAGGTTCCTGTAATGCTTTTGTGTGGTTTTCTCATATCCAGCGTTCTGGATCTGAATGCATTTGAGAGGCAGAACAAAGCGGAAGGATTAGGCATGGCCACGGACGACAGCTCAGGTACTGAATTCACTAGTAAAAAAATGGGTTGACAGAATAGCTGAAAAGATCCCCGGACTTGAACAGACTCTAAAAACATACTCTAAATTCAGAAAATCCTATTTCTTTCCCTATATCTGTCAGCACAGGTTATATCCCTTCACACTGCACTGCCGTCCAATTCTGTTTTCTCACCTCTTTCTAAATGATGTGTACGTTCTCTCGTTCGTCTGCGGTACATTTTCTACAGTATTTCCCCGTTTTGTGTCCTTCATTCTTTCCACTTGCATCTTTTTTTTTTGCCCCAGCAGGGAAAGTGATGCCTGACAAAGACCTAACCTGTGACCTATTTCGTTATCTACAGCTGCTTTGTGAAGGACACAACTCAGGTTGTTGCAGTACCCACCTACACACATTCACAAAGTTTACATCAATTATATTGTAGTTTGTGAAAAAGGTACCACATACTGTGACACATAAGAGAGATGGGAATGCTGGCTATGTTGTTTTTTTGTCACCTTAGCGTGATTTAAAAAATAATGGTGAGAGGAGTTTAGAAGTATTATAATTGTCTACTTGCATTGAATGCGCCGGATTAATTTTCACCGCAAGACCCTTTAACGTTTTACCCAGCGTGCTCTCTCTTTATGTTTTAGACTTCCAGAATTACTTGAGGACACAAACAGGCAACACCACCACCGTGAACATCATAATAACCACTGTGGACTATTTACTGAGAGTGCAGGTAAGTCTACAGTCAAACTAGAATGCTGATGTTCCCGTTGTTGTCCAGTAATATTTGCTTGTGGTGAGAGAACATCATATTTATTATCAATGAATATTATTCTTATCACAACTTCTGAAACAGAATGACAAGCTAATTAACCACAAATATCTTCACGTGCTGCACTACAGGAGTCAATCAGCGACTTCTACTGGTACTACTCCGGGAAGGATGTGATCGATGTACACGGACAGCGAAACTTCTCCAAGGCCATCGAAGTGGCCAAACAGGTCTTCAACACGCTCACCGAGTACACGCAGGTCAGTCAATTACGTGTATGGCGCATTCTGCGATTTGTCAGAGCGTTGAAAACCGAGCTCACATTATCAGCGTGCTCCTCCAGGGCCCGTGCAGTGGAAACCAACAGAGCCTGGCCCACAGTCGCCTGTGGGACGCTGTCGTGGGCTTCCTCCATGTTTTTGCCCACATGCAGATGAAGCTTTCTCAGGTATTGCTTACAACGTCCTACTTGAAATGCATAACGTTGCTATTCTGTCTTTCCCGGGCTCCTCGTTCGAGTAGGCAGGCAACGCTGTCGCAAAGCATTTACTGTAAACTGCAATGGTTTGTGTTTTGTGGAAAGATGTGAGATTCTGCAAATAGTTTTTCTTGTATACAGGATTCAAAACAAATTGAGCTTCTGAAAGAGCTCATGGATTTACAGAAGGACATGGTGGTGTTCTTGCTTTCCATGCTGGAAGGTGGGAGTTCCACTTATTCTAAAGTCGCGTCACAATCTATCGTCATAATGTGTTTACTAATGACGATGGTCCCTCTGCAATTCAGGCACCGTCGTGAACGGAACTATTGGAAAGCAGATGGTGGATATGTTGGTGGAATCATCGGGCAATGTGAAGAAGATTCTCAGGTTCTTTGACATTTTCCTCAAACTTAAAGACCTCACCTCCTCGGATGCCTTCAAAGAGTACGACCCCGATCACAAGGGCTGCATCTCCAGGAAGGACTTCCAGAAAGCCATGGAAAATTGCAAGCGTTTCTCCCAGGCGGAGATTCCCTTCCTCCTCTCCTGCATGAAGACAAGTGACAGTGAAATCGTGGATTACGAGGTCTTTGTGGATCGCTTCCACGAGCCGGCCAAAGACATCGGCTTCAGCATCGCCGTCCTCCTCACCAATTTGTCCGAACACATGCCCAACGATTCGAGACTCGAGGCCTTCTTGGAACTGGCCCAGTGTGTCCTGACGTACTTCCAGCCCTTCCTCGGCCGCATCGAGATCCTCGGCAGCGGGAAACGCATCGAGCGCGTCTACTTTGAGATCAGCGAGTCCAGCCGCACGCAGTGGGAGAAGCCGCAGGTGAAAGAGTCCAAGAGGCAGTTCATTTTCGACGTGATCACTCAGGGTGGAGAGAAGGAGAAAATGGAGATGTTTGTCAATTTCTGCGAGGACACCATCTTCGAGATGCAGCTAGCGGCCCAGATATCCGGCTCTGACGCTGGCGAGAGGCACGCTGACGAGGGGGAAGAGCAGAGCGAAGATGAAGCCGAGGGCAACAAGGGAACGTTCCTCCTGCATTCTTGGCTGCTGTTGCTGAGTTCTTTGTTTTCTTTCAAAAACCTGAAGGCATTGATGAAGATGACCCTGAAAGATATCCTCGTTTCAGCCGCTCTCTTCCTCAGATTCATTCTAACGGCTCAGTTGCGGTGCGTTCGCGTCGTGACCGGCAGCATCTCGAATGCGCTGTACGTAGCCTTTGTTAGTGGGGGGCTGATAGAGGGAGCCAAAAGGATGAGGATGTCAGACCTGCTCGACGGTATCCTCGAGCCAACTCTTGATGAGGTCACGAAGGTGCCAACTGGTGTGGATCGACTGAGGAGGTACTCTGCCAGTTTCACTTCCCAGAGAGAACTGTGGGAGGCGGGGCATGTGGCGGCTGTGACCTCCCCCAGGGAGATGGATGTACTGTCAGACATATTTGGCTTCAAAGTGAAGAAGGAGGGAGGTCAATACAGACTTATAACACCCGACCTCACTGCGAGTTTGACCGATCTGTTCAACCCAACCTCCAAAACGATCACCGCTACTGATTTCTCTGAGAAGCATCGGGGGACGGTATGAATCCACCTGTATTTGTGAATATGTGACAATGCTCATAACTCATTTTTTTGTGCTCATTATGTTGTATTTCACTTCATTTTCATTCAGCATCATTTGCTTTCGTACCGTACCGATTGAGATTGAGACTTTTTTTATTTCTATTTTGCAACTTTAGACCCATTCTGCCGCGGACGAAAAAGAAGATCATGAGACAATACCTGAAGTAAAGGATGGAAAGTGAGTCTTTTGCTTCATTTTGATTATTTTACGTCTTCATAAAAATCTAAATATTAAATGCTGAGTCAATTCAAGTAGAAAAACATGTTTCCGGCCTTCAATTACAATACACTACACTATTGAATTGGTATTTGAGACAGCGCTTGGTGCGGCTGTTAATGTTGCACATCAACAAATACACAGGTTTATTTTAATCATATCTTTGAGCCTCTCGCTGTTTGTATTGAACTGGTTGCAGGGGGAACGAAACTGTGACGAAAACTGAGAAAGATTCAAGATGCAAAGTGGAGAGATGTAATAAGTCAAAGGAACCAGAGAGCCAACACTCGGCATTCTGGGAGATTATAATCTCTCATAACAAAAGCCTGCTGGTAATATACAAATTCTCTCCCTCATTCTCATGCAAACAGACCTACGCCGATGGTTTATTTCTTTTTCTTTTTCTGCCCCCAGAATTACTTTGCAAGAAAATTTTATCACATGCGCTTATTGGCTTTGTTTGTTGCCTTTGCAGTCAACTTCATCCTTCTCTTCTACAAGGTGAGAGTTCGCTAAAGGAATATCTAAATTGCATTTAATGTGGTATCCAATTTGCCATGTTGAGAGCTGCGAGGAAGCAATAAATGTGCTCTATATATATCGCATAAGTAATTCTTAGGTACTTTGGCATTACAATGTCATGCTTTTCTATAGGTGCACTTAATCACAAAGGGAAATGTTTTGCACTTCTTACTTTGGATGCATTTATTTTACAGCTGTGGTTACTAAAGTATATTTTGCATGAAAAAAAACTGATGGGATCAACTGTGTCATAAACCACAGCAGAAACTGGACAACATTACAATACTACAATGCCACTCATCAAGAATGCATCAGTAACAACGGAATAAAAAGTTTCTACCTCAACCTGAGTAAAATGAATTTGATTGAATAGCGCAGAAACCAGATAGTGTGTCGGAGAGGGTTTTTTCGTTTTGGATGCTGTATCTTACCGTCCAGTCGTATTCCATCATATTGTGTGAGCCGCATATTTATCAAAAAGTATTCTAGTGTGGCTCCTGTATTTCACCGTCTCCCTAGGTAGCATCCTTGCCTACATCACAAGAAGAGGAAGAAGTCCTCCCATCTGTCACCAGTGATGGACTGAACTCATCCGCTAACGACAATAACGAGGGCAGCGATTATTTTGTGCTGGAGGAGAGCAGCGGATACATGGAACCGTCGCTCCGTTTCCTGGCCGTGGCTCACACCATCATCTCCTTCTGCTGTATCATCGGCTACTACTGCCTCAAGGTATATTGTTTGAGGATGTGTTTTTGCAGATGTATTCGGAATAAATTTCCCTTCTTTGAAGTATCTCAATCATATAGAACTGTGTGCTATTTTAAAACATCGGATGAATTGGAAAATTAAGCCCGTTTTTCACACTTTGATTCTTTTTCAGCTGGTCTAAACTTCGAAGTATCACCGACTGAGGGTTCATTTAAAGTGTGAATTGACCTCTGCAGTGCATTTGATTGGCAGGTACCATTGGTGATCTTCAAACGGGAGAAGGAAGTAGCACGAAAGCTGGAGTTTGATGGGCTGTATGTGATTGAGCAGCCCCCCGAGGAGGACATCAAAGGGCAATGGGACCGACTGGTCATTAACACACCGTATGTTCACATTATTCGGGGACTGATGTCATATTGACATCAAACATGCTTAATACTTATTCAATAGGCACCTATTAATAGTCACACTGAAAGCTATACAGTACAGGAGAAGTTTCACTTGCAGCAATGCGTCTGTTTTTCATTAATATATTTTCGCCTCCAAACATTTTTATACTTTTTGTTTGTCTTTTCAGATCATTTCCAAGTAATTACTGGGACAAATTTGTAAAGAAAAAGGTAAAATATTCTTAAGCTTTCATTTTTAACAGCCAAATGCTAATGTGTTATACTTTAAATCTGCTTATGGATGTACGTTATTCCATGCATATTCACAAAGTGAAATTTAATGAGCCATTTCATGACAGTTATGTCAGTTAGCACTACTATTGTATTGTCTCCAGCATCTTTTTTAGCTTCATTATTCCGATTGCCTCTGACATGCTCAAAATGATTCTTCGCTTTCAGAACATTTAGTTCACATGAATTCTCAACTAGATTTAATATCAAGTAGATGATACACTTAAGTAAAATAAATCAGCACTTAAATAAGGAGAGCCACTCATAATAAGACGCGTACTCCAACTCCATCCTCAAGTGTTTCTGTTAATCCTTTTGGGATGTTGGAGGATGTAGATATTGCTTACCGTACGTTCACATACTCACGTTCTAATGTTTCGCTCTTGTTCAAAGATTATGAAGTAATACAACGTCTCTTACAGCCACGACAAGAGAAACTCTGTCACAGGATTATGTAAAATAAATATTTACTAGACATGGTTTACATTACATTTTAGACGGAAGGTAAAACGTAAATAAACTTAGATCACATTATATTTATAGTGTATAAAATGCTTTACGAACTTACACAGCCCCTTGAAATAATGTGTTGGCAACATAGGTATAAAGAAAATCCTTACTTCTTTGTTGAGTAGCTATGATAAGCACCAGACCTAAGCTGCCATCACATCTCTTGTGATTCTTCATTCAGATGATAATCCACTAGTGAGACTATTGTTTCGTGTAAACCTGTTTGCTTTCCTCGTCAGGTGATGGACAAGTATCGTGATTTTTATGGCTGTGAGAAGATTAGTGAACTTCTTGGTTTGGACCAAGCCGGATTAGACTTTAGCTCTGAGAGAAAAGAGAGGAGGAGACTCCAAAGACAAGCTGCCTGGAGTACTCTGTAAGTATACATTAAAGCAATAAGGTACGAGAGGCTGTACTTCATCGTCCAATATTATAACTGTTTCTGGTCGCTTCCGTTACCAGAAAATAATTGCGTGTGTGTTTGCATAAAAACAATCAATATAATGAGAGAAATGTTAAAATTCAAATTTCTCAGATGTATTTTACTGTAGAGGTAAATGGGAATCCTAAATTCCCTCTCTGATGAATATGAAAATTGTTTGCTGCATATCCAGATCTCGTTTTGTCCTTGTTCGTTTCATTTCCGAATAATGTTTTCACAGATTGGATCGTTGCTGTCATTTAAATATGAAAAGCCATTTCACTAATACGCTCTACATGTTTTTGGAGTATGCGCGTGTCACCCAACAGGGGTGGCCACACAAAAGAAGGTCCTAGAACAGAATGTCACACTTGAGGAGGAACAGGACATTCTGAAATGGAGCCACATAACAGACGCGCCTCTTCAGAAAAGGCACTGTAGTAACAAGGGTCTGGCTTCGGCGATGGACATTTTGGCCTCGCTTTCCGGGATCTTACCGCCTTGCTATCTGTGTGGTGATACTTATCATTTCAGATTCAACTCCATTGACGTGAAGTACCAGGTCTGGAAACTGGGAGTTGTGTTCACTGATAATGTAAGTTCAGGTGTAATTAATGGCTTTGTGGGTCAGTTTGGTTGCGTGTGCCCTGTTGAAGCTAAAAAGGTGTCACCTCCTGCAATTTATACTCAAAGATAATGTAATATGACCAAGCGGCGATATCTGATATTTTATGACTTCTCCCTCAATTGTTTAAGCGCTTGTTCTGCTTTGCCTGCATTTAATTTCACAGATTTACACGTGTTGCAGGAGTGTCAGTAATATCCTGTGATTCCCCCTTATCTAAGATACACATTTATCTGGTTATCTTCCCCGGTAATCTATATTGCCTCTTTTTATGAGCGTATGTCCTCCTGTGTCTGGTCTCGCAGTCCTTCTTGTACTTGGCCTGGTACATGGCCATGTCCGTTCTGGGTCATTACAACAACTTCTTCTTCGCTGCCCACCTGTTGGACATCGCCATGGGCTTCAAGACTCTTCGTACCATCCTCTCCTCTGTCACACACAACGGGAAACAGGTGTGTTAGGGTCTGCGTGTCTGTTTGTCAGTCTGTCTTTTAGTCTCCATCCATCTGTCTTCGTGTGTGCTCATATTTGCAGTTTGCGCGCATGTGATGTTTGCTCTCACGGTGCAGGGGTTATATGGGGGGGCTTTCCTCAGGCGAAGAAGCGCATTAAAGCCCATCTGCCTTTTATCCCTTTTCTAATTACGTGTGTGTCTGTCAGCTGGCCCTCACGGTGGGCCTGCTGGCGGTCGTGGTGTATCTCTACACCGTCGTGGCGTTCAACTTCTTCAGGAAGTTTTACAACAAGAGTGACGACGAGGACGCCCGAGACATGAAGTGCAACGACATGCTTACCGTGAGTTCAGACAAAACACGCGTACAAGCACATGTGTCAATCAATCCTCGATATCACTCTGTTTATCGCTTTCCAACACAAACAAACACACACAGGTTCATTTTCTGCCTCTGCAGATAAGCAAAGGAGGATTCTGAAGGATAGAACTGCCTCGTAGGCTTTTTACTTCCACAAACGATGGACAAGCGGTTAGAAAACACTCTCTCAAACCTCAGCGCAGCTCTTTATTTGGCTACTCGGGACATTAACGGCCTGCTCCATCCTAAAGAGGAGCGCACCGGCGCTCACGAAAGCGGGCGGATGGGCGGCGATGGCATTTGAATAAATCCCTGCTATTATAGGAGGCGCTGGATATTACACCAAATCACTCAACGTGTTATTGTTTCTGCTGGACTGACAACAGTGATTTGCGACCCCTTTTCCATCATAACAACAACACCAGCAGCAGCGGCTGTTTTTGGAGAATGCAATGCCAAATGAAAAAGTATGAATGTTTTCCTCTTTACTGTTAGCATTTTACTTTTTTTTTTTAACTTTTCATCCTTTTCAATCATGCTTTGCACTCACAATAAAAGCACAGTTCTTGCTTCATAAGCAAAAGATTTTCTCTTCTGGGCTTAAATGTTTACATAAACACTTTGAGGGAAAGCATATTGATTAAAAAGACATCAACAAAATTGTATGATAATGAAGCTTCTTGTTTGGACCTTTGAAAGGCCTTTTCCCAAAAAGCAACTACGAAAGGATGGAGACGGGTGTGAAAATGAACTGAAGAAATTCTCATTTTGTTTTTGAACTGTTTCCTATTACCCCAAACACAACAGACAGCCAGAGAAAATTGCAAATAAATCATTTTTAGGCCAAAGACTCAAAGGGGGCAACTGTACATTTCTCAACCACGCTGATAAAGATGCATTTCGTTGTCAGTGCTACATGTTCCACATGTATGTGGGGGTGCGTGCGGGCGGGGGCATCGGGGACGAGATCGAGGACCCTGCCGGAGACGCGTTCGAGGTGGAGCGCATCGTCTTTGACATCACGTTTTTCTTCTTTGTCATCGTCATCCTGCTGGCGATCATCCAGGGTGAGTTATTCGCCGAATTCAAGCCTCTCAAACGCAGCACAGCTTTCACAAATAATCCACATGTTTCCACCGAGAGGCACACAGATACGTTTGATTCCCCTTGTTTTCAGAATTCTAATTCTGTGCAGAATTAGAAACGAAGCGTCTGTTTATTCCTCTGAGCGCTGTGGTTTCACTGTTACCGGTCACCCAGAGACCGGCACAGCAGTGCACATGCATAGCTGTGCACACACAGATCCACCAGCGCACACGATTAGGTCTCCTTTTCTTCCCAGGCTTGATTATTGATGCCTTCGGGGAGCTCCGTGACCAGCAGGAGCAAGTGAAAGAGGATATGGAGGTGAGATTTGACACTTTGTCTTTAATATGTGTGCACACGTGGCACGCCACTGATGCCTCCTTTTTAATCTATTTTGTGTAGAATTGGGTTGTATAGGATACAATTGTGTGTTACAAAGATATTCAAGGAGACATACTTGAAATCAGTAGGCAAGGAAGGTTAAGGTCAGCTGTAATCGAGTGTGTTTGTGTGCGTTTGATTGAGTAAACTCTTGGTTATGGGAACCCATCACACCAATGCCTTAATGAAAGGATACCATTACCTTTTTCACCAACACGATAAGTGGATGAGACCTGAATTTTTGATCAGACAAAAGAAAACCTCCTTGATATTAAAGAGTTATCAGTGAAAATGGAATAATATATTTTCTGTTTGTTTCCCCTCCTTCCTCAAACTTTATTGTTTCACTCTTTCAACACAGTTTGCGCTTTGCATAATATTATATAATAATAATAATAATATAATATAATATTCAGGCTATCAAGTCCTAAAGTGCAGGAGAGGCTGGAATACTGAGGCAACAAACTAGTTTGGATTTTCTGACAAAAAGCAGTTAGCTACCCAAATATAAAGAGTGTACATGTGATGTTACTGAACACACATCAGTACTCCTACTTGTATGTAAAACACACAACCGCGCTCTGCTGCAGTCAGCTATGAAAATGAGTTTTAGCAGCTTCCATTCCATACTCCCATAATCGTTTTCCCTAATTAGAAGGATGCTAAAACACATATTTCATTACCCCAAAAAGATCCTTACTTCTCTCATTTAATCAGCACAAAACCATTGTACAACCACAGGGGAAATATGGGCAAAAGTTGACTGTTTGGAACCCGTAAAATGATGCAAATCCCTAGCAAATAGCCTTCTCTGTCCTTCTGAAAAGCTGGCAGCCAGCAAGTAATCCCGGGAGTGTTAAGTTGCTCTTATTTGCAGTCTTTTGCCTTTTGTGGGCGTCCTTTGAGAGTTGTTGTTAAAAGAAGCGAGTTTGAAGGTGTCCTAATGTTGTACTGGCGCACTAAAAGCCGTGTTTGAGTCACAGAGCACTTAAACAAAAGGCCTCTGATGCCGAGGTTTGGATTTTATTTTTTGTGTTATTCTCATATATTCTCTGGAGGACATCGTGTTTGTTCAAGTTTTGTTTCATGAATCATGCATTTCTCACGTCTCTCCTCCCGCAGACCAAATGTTTTGTATGTGGAATAGGAAGTGAGTACTTTGACTCAGTCCCTCACGGCTTCGAGACGCACACTCTGCAGGAGCACAACTTGGCCAACTACCTGTGAGTTGATATAATGTTTAATGCTCACATTAATTCAATGTGTGGAGGGGTGGGTGGGATGTGAGTCGCTACATTAATTCCATCTTCTGTGTCCTGGCAGATTTTTTCTGATGTACCTCATTAACAAGGATGAAACGGAACACACAGGGCAGGTATGATTGTTATCTCTCTTGTGTTGTGCACAATCCAATCAAAGTAAGAACGAGGTGTCCACTTTTAAAGCTCTTTAACAGTTGGACCGTCGTTGCCAAATGTCACATTCCTTGATGTAACCTTCCGCAAGGGTTCCTCCGTGCCTCAATGACCTGTGTATTTTAGAACACTGTAGCGTAACCTTTTCAACTGAGGCAGAATATGTATTCATTGTGTCCCTCAAATGTCATATCAGCCCCGACATTTGCATTTTATGATAATTTACATGTCAGGCATCCTTCTTATTAGTATGATATATTTACCCTTAAACTATTACAGCTAAAAATATGAAGGGGGGTGGTTTCAAATCGCATGTATTTTTATTTATTTGCCTTATTATTTTATGACTCGTTGCAAAAACACGCAAAGGCTTTACTGTAAATCAGCACAAAATGTTAATTCTTTCCATTTTTATTTTCCTAAATTTCTGTATTCCTTTAGTATTTTTCTCGGGTGTAGATTAAAGGAGAAGCTGCTAGGGCGGAATGTGGATAATGCTGCTTTGGTATGCCAGTCAAAAACAGCAGACGGAAATTAATGGACTTAATGGACTTCAATCAACGTTCTTTGTGGACATTGTTATTTTACCGAAATGTGTGTAAGTTTCGCACAGATAACGACTTTAAAGACGCTTTACACATCCTTTGTCTTCCCCAGGAATCCTACGTGTGGAAAATGTACCAGGAGCGCTGCTGGGAATTCTTCCCCGTGGGCGACTGTTTCCGTAAGCAATATGAAGATCAACTGGGGTGAGATGTGAATCCGTCACAGATCGAGGCATCACACTGAAGCCCTCCTCATCGATGCCTTCCTAATCACTAAACCAGCTTTTGTGTGTGCACTATTCAATTTGGACGGATTTTCCCACAAAGTGTATATACACAAACCAATATTCCTACAGTACTAGTTAGTGTTTACACATTAAATGTATTAAATCAAAAGGAATAAAGAATGTGGGCCACATTATGTGTCCTGACACGAAACGAGTGTGCTCTTTGTTTTGTCTCTTTTTATTTCTTGAGTCGGCTCATTATCTCAAGTACGCAATGCAAATCAATTTTGCCGGCTTCATGTGTCTCTGTATAGCTCATGTTTTTGTGAATGAAGTGATTTGTCTAATCACAGCCTCCCGTCCCCGTCCCCCGTGTGACATGCAGATAAACACTCTCCTTCCAGCATTTGTTTGTCCTTTTTCCTTGTTTTCATACCCTCGTCTTCAGCTCTTCTCCTTCGTCGTTATCAGCCGCTACGTAGCATGCTGGCAGGTGTCCCACTGCTCAGGTCAGAGTTTCGAGGGGGAAGAGGATGAATCGTCTGACCGCTATTGCCGGGGGACAAGGAAGTCTTCAGGGAACCCTCGGTTTATAACAAGTTGTTTAAAAGGGCGTGACTAGTTGGACGGCCTCCCAGGGATTTCTTCCTCATTATGAAAAGGTCGAATGCTGGGTTCAGACACAATCTGCTACTGATATGCATTCTTGTTGCTTTTGAGCTAAGACTTGTACGCATGGTCACATGGGCGAAAAAAAGGTTTTCAAGTAAAATAACTTTTGCTTTTGTTTTGGCACAGAACAGAACAATTCAGCAATTAATTTAAAATATAGCAATATACTAATGGCTTCTGTTTGAACTTGTTAAAATTAGTGGACTTGATCAAGCATTTTTCCCCATTTAAAGAGCGATAGTCGTGTAATTTTCCTGGTCGAGAAACAAATGCTGACAATCGTAGGCCTGCATGGATGTCCTTCACTGACACTAATACTATTACGGACATCGCGGTATTTACTGAACTTATTAGCTTCACAAGATATCATCCCCAAAAAATACATGCAGTGCCAAGAAGTTTACTCTTTCAGCCTCAGTCAGGAGGCCAAGGAATTACGGAAAAACCTCATTAAAAATCGATTTCATTTGGAATTCTATCCCTTTGTAGTGTGTATAAAAGTTAATCAAACTGTCATTACACCAAACCCACTGAAATCCACCCCCCCCCTTCTCTGGGGGAGAGAAAGTAGCCTTCCACGAGCAGATTTAACAGTATTAGAACCAGGGCTCCCAGCTAAATGTATAGGTAGAGGGTGATGTCCACATCTGCTTGATCCAACGATACTGTGGACACGATGGATAGTCCCGTCTCCACCGGCCAATCTCTCTGCTCTATTCTTCAGGATCTTTCCATACTGCGGTCGAGGCCAGAAGGTTTGGGCTTAGTTAAGGAACAAAATTCACACTGTCTGCTTGAAATATGATCGTCAGATTAACGTGTCGCGGCCCTAGTTTTCCCTCCCTGCAGCCGCCTTCTCACTGCAGCTATTCATTGAGGTAACCTTGCAACAATGCTGAGCCACGGACGTTGATATTAAACACTTGCACATACTTGTCTGAGATTTATTTGACACTCACAAGGGGAAGACATTTCCTTTCCACAGAGGTAGGTGCTGAAAGCGCGGAACTAAAAAATAAAACCCGGACGAAGCGAGCATTTACGGCATGCAGTATCTGTAACCTATTGAAGGTCGAGCACACCAAAATCCAACAATTCACAGTTGCTTGAGCTTCCTTGTGTCATACGACGCATTTCAAAAATCTAGTGGCCGTGTGACCCTTCAGCAGGTTGCATTCCGTGAGTCGCGTTTCTCAAAATCTTCAATGGGAAATGCCGCTGGTGATGGAGAGTACCTGCGGCCAACAAAGAGGAATGGGGGAATTATTCATGGGCAGATGGCTTTACTGTAGGTTGCCATACAACAGCTGTACAAATGATTATGGATACGGTGGCATGTGGCGGGATCATTCTCAATATTGCCCATGATACTTTTGATTCTTGTGGAGATGATGCCTCTGCACCCAATTCTATCATGGAAATGTAATCTGACTTGTGAATCAATGAAAGGGGAAAAAAGGCCAAAGGGGTTTATAAGGGGGGGGGGGGGGGGGTGCAGCCTTGGATCTGCTCATACCTGAGGCCAAGTACGCTGAATTCAATTTGAGCGGCGGCTCCTTTCTGTTACTGCCTCTGATTTCAGTTTGGGAGCTTGGCTCCTTTGTGCATCAATTCCGTGTTACAAACATTGAATAGAAATGTATCGTTGTTGTGTATTTAACACTTAGCAGTGTTGGGCGGACATTTCTTGCTTGCTTGTTCTTGCTTTCTCATAAAAGTTTAAGTAATTTAGTTGATATTCTAGTGCTGGCACCAGACATACTGCCTGTGTTTCAGTATAAGAAGGACATATTTGGTGATGCGAACACATGATCCATTGCACCGTCTCCAGTTAGCACGTGGTGGGAGTACACGCTGTGCATTTATGGGCACCTTTTGATATTCACCTTAAGTAATAGTCTATTATTCATCCATGCTGTCATCCCCACACATTCCCTTTGCAAACTCATGTTCTTTGTCTCTGTCTTTCTTGGTTCCACTGACCTGTCAAGGAGTCACTTGATGCCTTTCTTCTACCGTGTAGCATATGAGAGCTTTTTACGGAGATACGCGAGCAGAGCCTCAGTCATGCATTAACAATTAGGAAAGTTCTTGGGTTTTAAGTCGTTCTTTGGTTGCTCGTAGCTACAGAAGCATGAAACGTTTAGATATTCACAGCATTGGCTTAAGAAAATAACTTTTATTACCTGAAAAGTTGTATTGTTCCTGGTATCTTTGAGAACATCGTTGCGTTATTTAAAATATTGTATTGAATCCTTATAGCCATTTCAGTTAATTACCACAGCCTCTTAATTAAAATGTGCTGCATCAAAACGCAGCAAACATCATGTGTTATTATTCTACCAGTTGTGTTTGACTTTAATTTTAAAATAGAAGGTAAACCAAGCTGGGAAATCATCTTCCTCTAGTTATTTGTTCAACCTCATTTATTTTCCAGATAGTACACAATTTATTGTCTTTATTTACCCCAGAAGCTCTGTTAGTTAATGGAATCATCCAGCGCAGGTCGCATTCGTCAGACAGAATTAAAATGACCCTCGGACACTCACGAGAATCCAATGCGATAAATTTGGGAACACAAGCAGAGAACCTGGGTAGAAAACAGCAGATACACTCAGAAAAGTTTTTTTTTGCCAAAATAAAACATTAACTTAATTTAGGCCTTTGTTTTTGATCTCACAAAGGACTCAAGACCCGATTCTTTCTATTGACATGTATCGTCTCATGATCGCCATCCTTTCCTTTTCATTACAACTAAATATTTTGTGTAGAGAAACTGTCTCCCAGTAAACAAGAATTACACCGGTGACAAGAGAAAGGCCGTCCAAATTACCATTTATATTGAACGACTCAATGCTAAGAGAAAGCCAATTACTCCGACGCTTTAGCAAAGAGTGAGTAGGTATCCCGGCACGCGGGGTCTTATTGCATCACTCCTCTTTGAATCCTGTGTCACTGAAGAATTGTGTTTCATTTCGATGGCTGTTACTTTAAAATCTGCAGACAGAGTGGATTTCTTCTCCGCAGCGGTGTTCATGCAGTGATCAGAGCCACTGGAACTTGAAAGGAGACAGGTGCTGCCTTTAATAATTGAAAATGGCAAATTGGCTCATTCAAAGCGAAGCCAGTGCATTCGGGGATATGACCCATTTTCCAGCCAAGCGGAATTATGTGCGTTTTCCAAAAAATCCGGTTTGAGGAGCACTTGTTTATTGGCAGGAATTATTAGGATTTTAAAAATCCATTTGATTTCTTTGGGTGCTAAAAAAAAAAAAGAAAGGAAGATTAACTTGAAGCCAACAGAGATGAATACCAATATTATGCTTAATCATCATCATATTACATTTCTAACTACTTTAATCTGGGGACTCAAGCCTGGCTTGGTTCAAAAGAAAGAATCGTCCAAACTGTTATTGTATCCACAGCTGTGTGGACATATGCCTGCTCAGCTGTTCCCCTTCTCCTCTCCTGCGTGTGTGTGTGTGTGTGTGTGTGTGTTGTGATGAATAATTTAAAATATAAGAAATCCTAGTAATCAGTCTTACAAATACACAAAAGTATAGATAACTTATGTTATTAGCGGATGTGGGAAATGTTTATTTTTTTAGGTTTTGTTTAACTAATGTGGAGATGAATCCTTTTAGTCAGTATGAGAAATGAGTACACCCCTACAATAAACTACAGCTGCAAATGACAATTTGTCATTATCATGTATAATGGATGAATAATTTGGTCTATGAAAATGTACAGAAATGGCAAATCACACAAGTGTTGAATGACATATTATATTCAGAAAACATTTATGAAAGTTATTCAGATAAGCTTATGACAATTGTTCCTGATTAAGTTTCTCTGTAATGAGCAATCACTTTGTCAACTCAGCATTTTATCTGAATTTTAGTCCAATAAAAAAGGCAGAGAATACTCTGCATTCAGAAGGACACACGGCCACGGATAGATGCTGTAGCCAATCCAATGTGAGAAGTGTTTTAAATGCAAGAGAGGGTCTCCTGCCTGACAGATGCAGAAGTCATCACGTTCGTTATGTCCTGAGGTTCAGTTTTACATAGAAATGTGACAAACCCTGCTCACATCAAGACCCGTCCCTGTCTCTTTTCTCCGTGAAACACAACTGTTTTTTTCCAACTGTCCGTTTAAATAAAGCAAACATACGTTAATTTTGGTGCACTGCAGAAAAGGCGAGGTTCCTTGTTTATCTGGGGATAAACGATAAGCCTGCAAAAAACTCAACAACCTTACCTAGTGTGGCAGACAACTTTAATGGCAGCACAGTTGAATAAGGGCAAATGTGCAGCGTGAATGGCCTCACTGCTGGCAATCAGGCTTGTTTCTTGTGTCATATGATGACCCAGATATGGCCCAAAGGAACTCGACGTGTGCACACATTCAGAAATTAATCTTGGCGCTAGAAATGACAACTGACGGGACCGGACGGATCCAAAATTGCTAGAAATGTGTCATTTTTTCCCCCTAATTAATCTCATCTAAATATTTAAAAGAACAAACAGCTTTTTACTGTCTG